CCCCCAAAAAAAAAAAAAGCCACCAGAACGGTACACACACAAACATTACCCGCAAACAAAGCACGACGGAAGAGACGATGGGAAATTACGTAAAAGAGCGGGAACGGGATTAAGAATGTGATGATAGGGGGCGTTCAGATCGCCCCGGACTCGGTACTCGGTGTTCGGTCCACATATACCATTATACATACATACTCTCAGTACTCGCCATTCAAGCGCCTTGCTATAATGAGCTGCAAGGGACCCACGGCGCTACCTCCGTCGTCCGACATCGTCGGATCGGGGCAGGTACGAGGCCCAATCGGGGTATTGAGGCGCGCTCGTCCGAAAATAGCTGTAAACGGTGTTCCACCTCGAAGAGGCGATCTGGATTGACATCGACCCTGACACACCTGATCCTTTGATGCGATCCGCCCTGCCTCTCCGGAATTATAGACGCAACTTGTACTTGTCATGAATGAACCGGACGTTTCCCTCAAACGCGAGCCCGGTCGCGGCGTTTCCGCCCCATACAGAATGTAACAGATAACGTACGCCAAGTCGCCGTACGCTCGCGGGGTCTTTGCATGGCTCATTCAATATATACATACTTGGTGGACCTTCGGCGATGTGATCCCAAAGGCATCCCCCTTCCCGCCGGCGTCTATTTTTCTATTTTTTTTTTTTTTTGAGAAGCAGGAACTCGAGGCACACCGCTGAATGGCAATCGCGGGGGTATGCGTAAAAAAAAAAAAAGAACTCTGTGTGAAGCCCGGGTGTCGGAAGGTGCAGACGGCGTCTGCTCAAACGGGTTCGAGACGAAACGCTCTCGATCCCCGTTGGCACGAGACTCGCCCCGCTTTCTCTGTCCGTTTCTCGTCGCACCCACATCTTCAGCGTTCTTAGGCGACCGCAGGATATATATATATATATATATATATATGCAAACGGAATTCCGCGCCGGGGCCATACCGACACACGGTCCCTCTAAGATTTTTTGCATTTTCTCGCTCATTTCTCGCGGGGGACTGACCGACTCAATGGCCCGGTATCCTGACGTCGCGAGGGGACCCACACCGGCCTCTTTGTTGTTCCCCCACCTCCGAAGCAAGGGCACACGTACGCCCACCCAGGCACCGCGTTCAACTTGAGCGCAGGCCGTCCGTCCGATATACAGTTGTGCGACGACAATGCGACGGGCTCGGAGGCGGACAATATTTTTTTCACGTCGTTTGTGGCCGTCGGCAAGGTCCCCTCCCGCTATCCGCGGACCGTCCTGTATTGTCAGTCGTTTTCCAGACCAAGTACTAGTATGTATTCCGACGCCCGATTCCCTGCGGCACGAAAGGTCGATTACATGTTGACGAGCTAGGGTTTGGTCATCTGGACGTCGACGTCCATCCAATCACCCACCCTTCGAAGGTGGACCATCCTGCGATTCCACCACGGAACGGAAAGGAAAGATGCGCCATCACGGTATAGGATGGCACGTTTATGGATATGTCCGCCTTCCGCGTACAACGTCATTTTGGAAGCAGATTGTCAAAGCGCCTGTCTTCGGAGAGAACTAGACTACTGTCTAACATGCGGCTCCCCGCAACGGACAATAAACAAGGATTTCTGTTTTTTCGAAAAAGGGCGCTGTCCATGGTACAGAATCGGAAGCCCTTCTTTGCTCTCGGACGTGGGTGTTAGCGCTGGAACTCTGAGCGTGGACAAGCCAGACGGGATAAGCGTCGAGGGGCCGATTTGCAAAAACCCATCGAGGAAGGGAGTAAGCTTGTTGCGTTACCGGTCCGGAACGGCAAGGAAGAGGGAGATGAAAAAGTGGACGGCGCGGCAACCAGCCCGCGACGATGCAACATATGAGACATATTTGGTGATTGTGATTAAAGACACTGCGAGAGGAACATCTGCACGTCGCGGCCTGATTTCCAAAGTACCGGCTTTGTTCGACCACCACCTTGCACTTTCACGTGAAACGACGGGCAAATTGCCTACGCGGAGGAAAGTGCATTCATTCTGTTCACATCGATGTCCTTGATGCACCAGCCTAGTCATTAGTCCTCGTAATCATCTGATTCGTCTGCTGTCGTTTCTTCCCGTTCGCGCCACATCACTTCCCTTACTTTCAGGTCTGCTTGCCGCCGTTCCAGCACATCCTGAAGCCTGTATTCCATCTCCTCTTTCGTACCGCCGACGAGAATCATGGGGTTGCATTCCGCATGCGCGGCTAGGTTTCGCCTGAGAGCACCGATACTGAGCGAAGCGCATGCGCCGGGATCCCGAATGAGCGGCGGGGCCGGGTCGATCAGATAATGGTGCTGTATTCCTGGAGCTGGAATGAGCTACGCCGATCAAGACAAAGGATTGCAACTGACGATTGATGTACACCTCGCAGCCATGAGGGAACTCGACGTCGATCTCTCTGCCTTCGGCGCGAACGCTTGACGCGAACTTCCTCAAGCCCGACATCCCAACTCCTGTTTCAATTAAGGAGAGGCTTCGTAACCTGTGCAGCCTGAGTAACGGGGCGGCCGCATCATCAGTGACGCGCATGTTCCCCGCGAGATCCAAGTTGAGCAGTGTTCGGCGGAGGCGAACGAGGTGAAAGACACTGGGCGAAGCTACATCAATACCGTGAGTACACAAAGGGTCAGAAACTCACGCTTCGTCAGAAATCTCAGTGTCGTTGAGCATAAGGGTGCTGACCCGTGGGAGGTGGTGGATGTGGGTGATGTCCGAGTCTCGAAGGATAGACCCGCCAAGGTCGAGCTCGGCAAGAAACAGGAAACTGTTCGGTTTGGTGAATACTTGCACATGGTCAGCTCAGCTGGGTTTATATGCGGGATTGAGGTGGAGGATACCTCGCAGCAGGTCAAGAGCGTCAAGATTGAGGCCACTTTGGTCCATTAGGGAGGGCGTGAGGTTGAGTGTATGTATCTCAGACATCCGCAGCATATTCAGCACACGAGCGCTAAGGCATCCTGAGGGAGGACGTAAATGCGGCCAAAGCTACTACAGTCTGCTCCGGCTAACGTCCACTTCACGTACCGTGTGCCCCGAGAAAGTCTGCAATGCTTTGATGGTTTAAATTTTCGACGTGAGGGAGCCGTCGCCTGAATCCGGTACCAGCGAGCAGCATGTCAAGCTGATCAATAAATCTACTTAAGCTGCGCGGAGTTTCCGCTCCAAGTCGCGGTCCATAGAGCTCATCTGGAAGCCACGTTGAAACCAGAGTACAAGACTATACAGTAAAGTGCGCAAGATCAGACCTTCCAGGGCGACAATCCTGGCCTCCAGTGCTCTTGTATTAGGCTGAGTCTGCGTGTCGAACGAGGGCGGGGTATATGCGTCGGAGCTGGGAGAGTGACCCGTCTTGGGAAAGAATGTCTTGATAGGCTCGGCTTTGTCGCTCAATACAAATGAAGTGTCGTTCGCCGCTTGAGAGGAGCGTTCACGCTTCGTAGGCGCGTGGAGGTCGCTGTAGCCAGATGAGCCAGAAGAGGTACGTTTGCGCTTAGCCCGAAGCACAGAGTCCACCACAGTCCGCCGGCCGAGCCTATAGGTTAGGTGCTCTTCGTACGAGGATGGACCAGGAGAACGTATGTGGGCCGGGGAGCGGGTATATGCGTCCAACTGGCGCTTGTGTTGGCCTTCGGGCCTCGAGATAGAGTATATCGTATCCATAGTCGACTGCGAGATGATGTCGAGGTCGTCCTCCATGTTCCTGTGCAAGAGGTCCAGGCCGCGTTCTTCGCCATCCTCTTCCACGGCTCGTTCGAGTAGCTTTGTGAATACGCCGGAATCCCCGTGCACGGAGGCGCCCGAAGGCCGGTAGCATGGGTTTTCGTCGTCTTCGGTAGGTCGTCCCCACATCGCTAAAGTGGCAGTACGGGCCGGGAGTTCATATACGTCTCGGCGTCAGGTGCGGAAAGGATGCAAAGGAGGTAAAGGGATGGACCGCGTGCTGTCACAGAGGCGAAGACGCGGTGACTGGGTGACTAGTCACCATGTGACTGTGACGAGACAAGGTCCCTTGTCAAGGCTCACAAGCTGCAGTAATTCTGCATTAACGCCTTACGTCCCGTACAAGGCAGACAAGGGACCCAAAGGCAATCAGATCATCTAACCAACCTGATTCGAATAAACAGAATCGCATAACATCACATGAAAAAGCGATTGAACTAGCATCGTCGATAAATGCCTCGTCGCATCTCCTCCTCTCTGTTTTCACGTGATGAAACACAAGTATACGGATACATAGAACACTGACAACGTACCTATACTCAAACATCAGCTGTGCTGCTACGAATAAGCAGATACAGGCGGCAATCAAGAACTGTACGCCTGCGCTGGTTGTCAGCACCGATATACTAGAATCTAACGATGATTGTCCGTACCAGCGACACTCGCGAACAGCTCCTTGAATATGTATGACGTTCCTTCGAGCCCAATGACAAAGCCAACCAGGTTGGCCGCCATCATCGTGAGTATATTGCCCACAGCGCCAACGGCGCACAGGTGGCGATACCAGTACGCCGTGCCAAACTATGCGCTGATGAGTCCCTCGCACATGACGGTCCGTCGAGCGAAAATGCTGACCTGCTTCTCTCCGAGGTATCTTCCCAAGAACAGCTCGGGAATGATGAACAAGCTGACAAGCCATCCCCAGGCTAGCAACTTGAAGGACAAATCATGCCAAAGAGCCACGAAGGTGAACACGATCACGGTAGTGAGGACGGCGTTGTTGGCTCCGCCAAGCGGAACGTAGATATAGCTGGCCAGAGCGACAAGAATGAGCCAAGAACAAGCCGCACATATCGGTGGGGAGCTCACCGTACGATCCATAGATTGTAGCTTCTATGCCAACTCCTCCAAAACCCCAGCGGCGAGTAGTTATTCGCCACGCATCGAACCATATTTTCCGGCGGATCTATCCCGTCTACAAGCGCCCACAGGCGGAAGAATCGCCAGGGGAGTAGCAACTGTCAAGCACAGAATTATTAGCTCCGAGACGTCGGTATGAAAGATAATTTCGCACCTTCAACCATACCACAATGAGATTCCAGAGGCCTACAAGAGCTAATTGCGCAGGCGTATATGGAGAAGGTCCCGTCCATGCCTTAGAATCCTTGATGGCCACCACGTACATGAAATGTAGGATAGTCTCCATGGTGAGCAGGCAAGCGAGGAAGCGAGCTGCATAGGAAACGACTGCGCGCCACGGTAGAAGAACAGGTCGACGAATCTGCATCAATTATCGAAGTCAGGACAATCACAAGAGACGAAGTATCGAGAGGAGAGACAGAACCTGCCACATGAAGTCGTTAAAGGTCATGATCGGGCCGGCGATGTAGAGCGGCGGATACAGAACATAAGCGATATAATTGTCGAAGCTATATGTTTCGAGTGAATGGGGGGTCCGAGATCGTTCTTTCTCGTCCAGAACAGCACCTGACTACTGACGAGGGGTTGGCGGTGAATCATTTAGGCGACGGACGTCAAGAGAAGACTTACATCTCGAGGTCCAAACCGTCTATGCGCCCAATGATGGTCCATGTTGAAGGACACCAGTCTGAGCATAGTGATGTTGAAGGACAAGTGCCAGCGAGGATAAATGCCGTAAAAGGTATCCTGCGGCACCGTAAGTCACAAACAGAAAACGACGCAACAACGTGTTCGAAACTCACCAGGACTTCCAAAGAGGGATGAATTGCGCCAAAACGATAGCCCCCGTTCCATTCATTCGCAAACAGTACCCCGCCGTTGAAGAGCCACGTCAGCACTGGTCCCCATTTCGCGCCTTTCGAGTTCTTTCCGATGACGTAGTTGACGAATAGGATCACTAGAATTTTGAGAGCAGATGCGCCGTGAAGCCCGAGCAGGAAAAGAGCGGAGAATACGAGATAGAACGGAATATAATGCGTCGAGTTTGTCGAACTGAACCGCAGGGAACGGGTGTACACTGCTTTGAGAGCGACAAATGCCCCGACGACAAGTAACAGGTAGGGTATGTTGGAACGAAAGGAGCGAAACTGAGCATCGCTATTGTCCTACGGATAGCTTAGCCTGTGCGTGACCCTGTGATGGAGAGAAAACACGCACGACTCGACGGCCAAACAGCCACCCCGCCGAGAGCCTTCGCTGGAACAGAGGGTAGTTCGGGTGTGATGCTGTCTGAACGTCAGTCCGTGTACTAATGAGGGGTGCTATCGTTCGTACGTGAACTTAACGTGGTCGGTATCCAAACCATAACAGGAATGACTACGGCCGCCATCACGTAGTATAACACGAATTCAGGCGTCGTCCATCGTGAGGGTGGTCGCGTATCTTCTGCAGGCACCTTTCGGTATGATGACGGGATGCCGACCGTCAGGTGGAGGATGCCCCTCCGTGGATCATAACCGCCAGTCCGGGGGTCAAATTCTGTGTTGAACGAACTGTTGTGGTCCGCCTGCATGTCGATGGTAATGTCCCCGTTCATTCCGGAAGGAGTATTGATCAGAGACAAGTAGAGCAGGCCATGGTGGCTCTTGGATGCTGGAAGACGAGGGTATTCTGTCACACGACGCGGGTGACAGCGTAACTGGCAACGAGACTGTCGCACGGATCATCTCGACCTCGCACTCGGTCCTCGGATGCATACTTAACTGGTGCCTTGAACTATCTATTGCACGCGATCTACCGGTCTAGAACGACCTTAATCGTCACCGAATTACAGATCTTTCCCTTCAAAAGCAAGATCAGGGCAGAAAACCGCCCCCTTACGGGAATTGCAACAATGCCAGCTAGATATATAGCGGATTTAGACGCGACAGCATACATTGCAGAAGTTCACAATGTACGAAGGTTGTACACGATGGATCGTACTAAAACTAAGCAGGCATTCACAATGTATGTAGTACGTTTACAGAGACTGCACTCCCTACTCCGTCGTTTGTGACTATTGCTTCGGCAAGATGAACCAAGGTTCGATCATTCATCGACTACAGCAGCTGTAACTCGTAGCTGGCAGACTTGTAAGCCATCTTGATCCGTCCAGAAGAATCCAAACATCAATCAGGTGTACAGTATCGCGCAATCATCGCGACATCGCAACGATGTTGCGTAGGATGCCCTCTCAGAAAGCCGGCCCATTGGTCGAGTTGCCGGGACCGATAATGACGGGCTTTGTCTTGCTAAGTTTGGCGATAATATCGTCGCTGAGCCCTAAGTGGGCCTTAACGAGCGCAGGAGGGGTTAAAGCGAGCCACTAGGTTTGTCGAGCGTTATACAGGCCCGACACCGCAGCAGAAAATGCGCATACGTACCTGGTTCAGGCTGATATCCTGGAAACGATCGGTGAACGAAAATCTCGAGGATTGTTGCTAGTCGGAGCGTTATGGGGCTGTTATGCTCTGAACGTGTGCGTACTCACGACAGTCGCTAGGTAGTTTGGCCCTTCGGTGTCGATGGAGGTCACCTGGATCTTGCCCTACAAGGTGCTCGGTTCGCGTCATTTGCATTGTCATCTCTCGACTCACCTTGAGCACGTATGCCCACTGGCGTATTTCGAACTGTGGTTAGCTCCTACGTCAGCTTGGGTTGGCACCGCACGGACCTCCGCAGCCGTGTGTCAATGAAGTTCGCTGAATGGCAGGTACAAGGTTAGATATTACCAACGAATGCTAAGCGACAAGCTCACCGAATGGTGCCAGCTTCAAGGCGCATATTGACGCTTGCAAGTCCTATATGCGAGTCAGCGCGTAGCACGGGGAACTGTGTGTATAGACCTGACCGGTCGCCGCCGGCATGTCATCGGCTAAGTAGGGTACAGATGTCAACGGTCGATGATCAAACGGCATGCGTGAACCTTACTGTTCTGCTGACGCGCCCATCCTCCGGTCTGCAGTCGGTCGTGGCTCAAAGAGAACGGCCACTTGAAGCTCGACCTAACGTCCTATCGTCAGCCTTCGCGATACAGAACCACCAGACGCGGAAACTCACACCGTGCCGTGGTCGATCGTCGGCGGCGCAAGCAGGTCCGCGTTCTCGCGCTGCAGTGCCTCGTTCTGTGGGTCTATGATGTTCGCGCCCAGCTCGCCGCGGATGGGCTGATACACCCCACGCCGGCGGGCGAGACGGTGGCGATCTCGCTAGGCGGGGACGCCGTGATCGAGCCTGCGGGAGCGCATAGCACGAGCGTTGCGCAGGCGAGGAGTGATGCGAAGGCGATACCGGTGCGGAGGTGGACCATGTCGGGCTTGAGGTAGGTTGCGCGCTAAACTGGCAGGACACTCGGAGGAGCGAGTCTGTATGCGTCCGAGCATGGCTGACGCTTATATTCGCGGCCTGGCGCAGCAGCCGTAGGGGACAGTGAAGACAGAACGCCGACGTTGGTCTAGGAGGTGTCGATCTGCTGCCCTCTAAACGTCCATGGTATCGTCGTGGTCGGGGGTTCAGAGGCGAGGCAAATGCATTCGAAAGGGCGAAGGGGCGAAAGGGAATCCACTAGCCGCCGCCGCACCGACGCTCTAGTCCACGTGAAGATGGAAGCCACTGTCATCCCAAGCGCCGTGCTAATGCAGTCCTCCCTATGACTACTTTGTGCCTTTCGACCCTGCCGGTTGCCGCGATCATGACAATCGAGTGGACACCGCATCGTAAAGGTAGGCGACCACAGGCGACCACAAGGCGAATAAACAACTCCTGCATTGCGTACGTCGGAGGTTAGACCTGTCCAGCACACATGGCAATGATTGCAGAACTTTGGACTGCATGCGCGCGATTCATGTCGCTATCGACGATGGGAATCGAACCTTTGCGAAGGGACCGCGCATCGAATTATTCGTGAAGACGCACGATGGCCCCGATGCCAGTGCACCCCAACTCTCACGTCTTCGGCGAAGCGCCAAAATGCTGTCGCGATGTATGCGCCATTCCGGTAACAAAGAACGCCCTACCGACACCCCCCTGCCAGAAACGGTACAAGGATTCTGATCACTTGGGGCCTCTTGCATCGCCTTGCTCCGGATCGACTACCCACGCGCGAGACGTACATATGGTCTGCAACTCTGCGCAAAGGTGGAGATGCGCGACGCTCTGACTCCTGAAATCCCTGCAACCCTCGTTCTTGCCATGGCTTCCCATCCACAGCCCGCGGTCGATCCGTCCAAGGAGCCCGAAGTCGCCGATTACCAGAAGAGATTGGATCGCGCCCTGGCGAATGGCGAGACGCTGTTATCCGTCGTGGAGGCGCTCACGGAGGGCGTCGTCGTCTGCGACCCTCTGAAAGGATCCGTCAAGCTGGCCAAGGAGCTCATCAAGATGGTGCAGGTACGAGACGGATGTTTACCTTTCATGCTCGTTCCATATCGACGCGACACTTGACAGAAAGTCCGCAAAAACCGAGATGACTGCGACGAGTTGGCCCGACGTGTATTCAAGCTGACCGGCACTATGCTCGGGATCCTCGACGGCAAGCGGGACGAAGACGTACCTCCAGAGCTCAAAACCTGTCTGGACTCGGTTCACGCGTACGTCGAGCAGGGCTGCCACAAGATCTGGTATCATGTTAATCTCGCTCCTCTAGTACGCTGAAGAAAATCAAGGATGGTCTAGAACCGCTCAGATTGTCGAAGCGATTCTCGTTCAGGGCTTGGATTCGGGCGCTCCTCAGGAGGGAATACGTAGCGGACCGGATCACCAGCTACAACGCCCAGATCGATCAATGCCTTCAAGAGTTCACGGTGCGATACGACGATTGCATATCCTTCAAAATTCTGACCCTGCGCGTTTTTTCTTCTTCTAGGTTGTCGTCGTGGGACAGGTCAGCTTGGGGTTGATGACATTGAACTCCGCGGTGGGAGTCGTGTACTCTCGATTGGACGATGTCTACTCTAAAGCGAGGGACGTTAGCACGGGCGTGAAGAACGTTCATTCTGACGTCAAGAGCGTCCGTTCAGACGTGACGGATATATACACGGCGGTGATTCGGATTGAGTCTCTCATACACAAGCACTTGGAGGGTACTTCGAGCGGTACGCAGGCCAATGCCTCCATAGACGTTAGGTCCGTCGATCAGACTGGTCATGCGTGACAAAACATCCTGATAACAGCCTAGCAGCCTTCAATTTGTCCCTGCCCCTCCCCGCTTGTACGGACGAGATGCCACCGTGAAGGACGTAGTCGGCAAACTTTGCGATGCGGAACAATACCATATCGCCATCTTAGGGGTAGGAGGGATCGGCAAGACCTCCGTGGCACTTGGCGTCGCCGACGACTCGGTGATCAAGGCCCAGAACAACTGCTACTTCATCCGTTGCGACACACTCGGCACTGAAACATCCCTCGTCAACGCTGTTCTTCATGCTGTGGACCGTACCTCGTCGGTACACGGGGATCCCATGGAACACCTCAAGACGCGACTGGAGAAGTCGATCCGTCCCGTGATACTCATTCTGGACAACTTTGAGAGTTCCTGGGACTCGGACACTCCTTATATCAGACAAAAGCTCACCGAAGTGCTCAGGACATTAGCCGCGATCCCAAAGGTCCAGCTGATCGTGACTATGCGAGGAGACAGTCCACCCGCCGAGGCGGACGTCCAGTGGTCTCCTGTGCGTCTCGACCCTCTAGGGCATATACCAGCTCGCGAGCTCTTTCTATCCATAAAACCGGAGACGCCGCCGAATGAATACCGGGACCTCGACCTGCTCCTGGAAAAATGCGATGGCCTTCCTCTCGCCGTCAAACTCCTCGCCCAGCTCAAGCCATCGTCGACCTGCGGTCGCCTGCTGCAGCGATGGGATAAACGCAAGAGCGCGCTGTTGCAGACTGACCACCTCTCTCCGTCCCGCGAAACCAGCCTGCGCGTCTCCATCTCGATGTCGCTCGAGTCCGCACCGATGCGACTTATCCCCGAGGCGATCCCGTTGCTCGCGGTGCTCTGCCAGCTGCCGGATGGGATCCCGGGGGGCGTCAAACAGCTCGAGGAGATGGATCTCGGCTTTGAGGACGTCGACGTGGCTTTGGCAACCGTACTTGGTTCCGGCCTGGCGTTCAAGGCAGCGGATGACAGTCTCAGAGTCCTTTCTCCCATCCGAGAGCATATCATCGACCATGATGTCACCGTCCCGCAGCGACCCCTTCTTCCTCACCGCCAGTACGAGGCACTCCTGCGATATTACGTCCGGCTGGTCGAAACACATGCCCGTAGTAACCCCGGAGATGACGCATACAAGCCTGCATACGAGGCCTTGCTTCCTGAAATAGGCAATATCATCTACTTGTTCAAGCAGGAGCTTGTCCGTGGAGGAGACAAGGTGTCGGGTGTCGCACGGGCAGCGTACTCGTTCGCCCGCTTTCAGATCAACCTACGGCCCTCAACCGAACTCATCGACCTACTGCTAGACCACTGGGATCTCTACGAAATACGTAAAGCTCGCGGTGACGCTCTAGCGGTGAGGGGTGGCATTCTCATGCAGGCAGACCGGTATACGTCGGCGATGGAAGACTACGTCGCGGCCTGTGAGGACTATAAAAACTCCGGTGATATGCTACACCTGGCGTCTGCTTTGAAAGGGATTGGGGATGTCTATTACATGCAGAGTAGACACGACGACGCCATGGCCGCGTACAACCGGGCCTACAACGTGTGCTCCGTGATTGGAGACAAACAGGGCATGGCGGATTGCCTGAAAGGCTGGGCCGACGTCCATCGCATGAAGAACGAGTTACCACAGGCGATCATGAAGCTCACCTGGGCCCACCACCTGTATTCCAATATCGGAAACCGACGGGGCGTGACGAATTGCCTGGAGACCTTGGGCGACGTCCATCGCATGCAGGGCGAGTACCCCCAGGCGATAAAGAAGCTCACTAGGGCCCACGACCTGTACTCCGAGATGGGCAACCGACAAGGGGTGGCAAATTGCCTGCACAGCTTGGGCGTGGTTCATCGCATGCAGAATGACTACCCGCAGGCGATAGAGAAGCTCATCCGGGCCCACGACGTGTACTCCGAGATCGGATCCCGACAAGGGGTGGCAAATTGCCTGCACAGCTTGGGCGAGGTTCATCGCATGCAGAATGACTACCCGCAGGCGATAGAGAAGCTCACCCGAGCCCACGACGTGTTCTCCGAGATCGGAGAGCGGCTGGGCATGGCGAGTTGCCTGCGAAGCTTAGGCGAGGTCCATCGCATGCAGGGCGAGTACCCCCAGGCGATAGAGAAGCTCACCCAGGCTCACGACGTGTCCTCCGAGATTGGAGACCGAAATGGCGTAGCTAATTGCCTGCGAAGCTTGGCCGACATCCATTGCGAGCAGAACGAATACCCCCAGGCGATAGAGGAGCTGACCCGGGCCCACGACCTGTACTCTGAGATTGGAGACCAGGATGGCGCTGCAGATGCTCTTCACAGATTAGGCGATATTGATCGTATCCAGGGGCGATATGATCAAGCGGTCGAAAAACTGGGGCGCGCTCTTGACCTTGCTTCAAGCGCCGGGAACCAATTACGGATGGCTTTATACCACATTTACATAGGCTTGCTCAATCACGACCAGAATCGCGATGCTGACGCGAACGAGCATTTTACGACCGCTCGGACATTGTTTACGGAGATCCAACACCAGACAAATGCGCAGTACTCCCCGCGCCTCATTGCTGCCATTCGCGAGTCAATGGTACGCTGCATTCGCCCGCAATATCCATTCGCCGCTGACCCGCGTCGTGAAGGTTGTAGCAGAAGCCGAGTCTAGCTCTGCTACAGGTTCGGTCGCGAATAATGACGAAACTGGAGGTATATGAAATGCGATGTGCGAGTATATTTCAATCTTCGATCAACGACATGCTCTCTTGAGCGCCTCGCAGAAGTTCCGCGTGACCGGCACGAAGTCCTGTTCGTTCATGTCAATAGGATGCTTCGGGTCGTACGCAATGGAATAGCAATCACGTACTATACTAGTATATGTCTCCTTCTTTGTATGCGGCTGTGGATGCGCATGGTGTCATTGGATCTGACAAGTTGGGAACAAATGTCCTACAGAAGGCGGACGTCATCGATTCGGTTTTTCAGGAACAAAAACATACGATTCACGGCTTACCCGGCACTGGATGGCAGGTATCGTGGTTCGGACTCACGGGAGATCAAGCGAGGAGCATAGGACGGATTTGCCGCCATTATGCCTGCGTGTTGAACACCCTAAGCTGGAATGACACGAAGAAAACTGTCATGACGCACGTTATCACGGCGAAGCGTTTCCGTGAATAGTCTGACCGTATAAGCACTCGCGAGACGGCTGCGCCTCCGAAAGCCACCGCAGAACGTTGAGGGCGAGTGATGACCGGCCGAAGTCCGTATCACCGAAGGCTGGCATCGGGAACAGCGATTTTGAGACATTCTCCGTGAAATGCGGAGCGCGAGGAGACGGTCACAATCCGTCGCTGCCACCTTCGTTCTGGAGTTAAACTTCTCGGTTCACGTCTGGTTTCGAGATCTCTTGCTCATAACATCGCGTAGATACAACATACGCCAGAAAGCAGATATGTGATGGGAGCGGGTGCGGAGGCGCGCGCTTGATGATCGAGTTGACGACGTAGATATATCGTGACGCGGGAAATGGGGGAATGTTGGAAGTCACGGCCGGATCCATTGAGATTTGAGACTCTTCAGTGAGCTGGAGCGATTCGTCAATTGAAGAAGGTCCATGGCTTGTTGTATTGGATGCCACTCCGTGAGCATGTATGGCGATATGTATTCCGAGGACGAAAACGGTTTACGAGAGGATCAAGGCTGAGCTGTCCGCCTGTGAGCCGGACGGAACAAAGATGGCGATGAGAATTTCGTCGGGAAAACTCTCGATCAACCGGCGAGCACGCTGCAACGTGAAGTTGGGGTGACGAGCTAGAAGCTTCATGGTTGGTTTGTGTTCCTGTCGAAGGCGCTCTGATGCAGGTGAGCAGTTATGATCTACAGAACGATATCGACGACCTACTTCCAACGTCCATGATCCCTCCAAGTTCACTCAGCATGCGCCGTCGACATGTCGACAATGTAGCTCCCGGAGAAGCTCTCCTAAGTAGAACTATACTGCAGCCCATCAGGAAAAACCGGATTTGCTAAAAACCTTCTAAAACGTACTAAAACGTGCTAATTTAGTAGCTTTAGAGGGTTTCGGTACCCAATAAGCGACTCTTTCGATAGTCCGATTTTTCCTGATGGCCCGCCCTCTACCCCCTCACGCGAAGCGTGACATGGAGATCATTCCTTCACGTCCTCCTACGGACATTTGTGGACACCTGAAAGCACTATAACCGTGTTCCACAGGCTCGAACTCGAGAAGCTATACGTCCAGGACGAGATCGAATCAGTCGGAGATCCACGTCTCGACACGCTGGAGCACCAGAAGAGCGCTTCCCCTGATGCCGGTACGAGCTAATGCAATAATTCGGCGCTTTAATCTGTCCATGGTTCACGATGTTCATTGTAGGCGCTGCTAGTTACACGACCACGACTTCGTCAATAGTTGAGCGCTGATCGTGATAGCATTTCTTGAGTCGTAGGCCTTGTCATTGAAGCGCCCCTGATTGGAATGTTGTGGACTCACAAAAATTCAGGAACATAAGCACCACAAGATTACCCATATCCATCTCGCCAGCAGTCCCACCACTGTGGCCATGGCAGTTGCGGTCCAAAGCCTTCCTGGCTGTGCATTCTGTTCTAGATTAGGCAATATTGCACAGCCCTCCGTTTGGAGGATCGAGCTCTTTGACTCCGCTAACGTACGCACCCATTGTATGCTGACTGCGCCTGTACCATGTTCCTGCTCTCTATGGATTTGCAGCCCGGCATTATTGTCGCGGCGCGTCTAACGACTCAAAATGCTATATGGTTCTCCGAGCTAAGAATTACGGGAGGCTGTTGAATCCCAGTGCAACGTCTGCGTTCCGACGCGCTGAAAGTATGCTATTCTTGAAAGCACGGCGCCCCGAGCCCTCTCGCATCGCCATCTGTGGGCGGGACACCGCGTGATGGCCATGGGGGCGGTATGCACCTGACAACAAGCCAGCCTCTCTTCTTCCCTCCCTCGTCCTCTTCCCTCTGCTCACCTCACCGACGATGGAGCATCCCGAGGGGCTGAAGTGGAAGCGCTTCGATGCCGCACTCGAACACAGCAAAACGGTCCTCTCCGTCCTCGGTGCGATTTCGGATGGTCTCGTCATGTGCGAACCTCTCAAAGGCGCCGTCGGATTGGCCAAAGAGGTCGTCGCGATGATCGAGGTGAGTCGATGAACGTGCTTGGCTCCCGTATCGTATCCGGCGCTGACGCGGACTCCTTGTAGAAAGTCCGCAAGAATCAGAAAGCGTGTACGGAGCTGGCCCGCCGGATAGGCGCGCTGATCTTCGTCATCTTGAATGAGCTCGGTGGAAAGAAGGAAGAAGAGGTACCTGACCACCTCAGGTCATACCTCGGTAATCTGGCTCGGTGAGTGCCCGCGTGCGCTGGCGTCGGCGTGCTTATCCACCTTTTTCACAGAACGTTGACGGACATCAAGCAGGGGCTGATACCACTGAAGCTTCACAAGGAATTCTCGTTCGCTTCGTTTGGGTCGGCACTGCTAAGACGAGAATCCGTGGCGGAGCAGCTGTCGGGCTATAACAGTCAGATCGACCATGCTGCTCAGGAGTTTATGGTGCGACCGCCGCCGGCTTCCTCACCATCGACGCAAGCTGATGTTTGTCTTCGATGCGCAGATCGCTACCCTCACCAATCTAACCCTCGGCATGAACAAGTTGCATATAGCTCAGGTCAGTTCGTCATCAGGTTGCTTGGCGTCCACTCACGCTTTGAACCAATATAGACCTCAACATCCGCTATTCCAAGGTTCGCTCCCCATATATATCCCATCCCAATGCGTTTATGTTGACGATTTGAAGTAGAATTCAGATCTCGTCTGTCGTCCCTACACCCCCGATCTACTTTTATGGACGAGATGATGTCGTAGAAGATGCGGTTGGAAAGCTAAGCGACAAGGAACGGCCTCACATCGCTCTTCTGGGTACCGGTGGCATCGGCAAGACGTCAGTCGCGCTGGCTCTCCTCGACCACCAGGCCATCAAGTCGCGCAATCGCTGCTGCTTTGTGCCATGTGACTCCCTTCTCACAGCGTCAGAATTGGTCCAGGCCATCGTGCAAGTTCTTGGTGGTAGCTCGTCATCTGGCGGGGATCCTATGGAGAAATTGGCTTCTCTTTTGAACGTCGGGTCGGTGGTACTTGCGCTGGACAACTTCGAGAGTCCATGGGATTCGGGTGGTACACAGACAGAGCTCACCGAGGTTCTCCGCATGTTGGCTGCTTCACCGAACGTCCGGTTAATTGTGACGATGAGGGGAAATTCCCCGCCCGCTAAAGGAGACGTTCGATGGTCACCCATCTCTCTGAACCCCCTATCCCCCGATGACGCGATGAAGCTCTTCTGTTCTGTCAATCGAGAAATCACAGAGAACGAGAAGCCAGATCTCGATTTACTCCTGGACAAGTGCGGCGGTCTGCCGCTGGCCATCAAGCTGCTTGCCAGCGTCAAGGGTGATCTCCCCTGCTCCAGCCTCTTGCACCGATGGGAACGACAGTCCACCGACATTCTCAAGGCCGAGCACGACTCTCCTACCCGCCTGACGAGCGTCGACGTGTCGATATCATTGTCCCTCGATTCGAAACGGATGAAAGGCGTTCCGGAGGCGATTGCGCTGCTCGGCGTGATTTGCTGTTTACCTGACGGGGTTCAAGGGGGGATCGATCAACTGATCAAGATGAACTTGGGCCTGAAGGACGTAGACACTGCCCTCGCGACTGTCCTTGCCGCCTCTTTAGCTTTCAGGGCCTCCAATGGGTCCGTCAAGGTGCTTTCGCCGATCCGGCAATACATGTTGAAGCATCACCCCCCTTCCGCTTCACTCTATGACCAGCTCCTTCAACACTACATCCGGCTCGCGGACAAGTATGGGGATCTTGGCCCCAATGATATCGGTTTCACCGAGGCATGCGCTGTGTTGCTCCCAGAAGTAGGCAACATCACCTATATATTCAAGCAGGAGCTACTACGGGCGCAAGCAGGTACACGGGGAGTTGCTCGCGCAGCCTTCAAATTCACGAACTTTCAATTATGGACACGCCCTTCGACTGATCTCATCGACGACCTGCTCAGTCGATGGCCAGACTGTGGGCTGAACGTCGGGCGTCGAGAAGGCCTGGTAAGGAGGGCAAGATTGCGGCAGCGCACGAATGACTATTCGGCGGCCAAGGCGGATCTGGAGTACGCACTGGCGGAGTCGACCGCAGTTGCGGATCAGAATATGGTAGCACGGTGCTTTCAAACCCTAGGCGACGTACATCGCATGCAGGGCGAGTACCCGCAGGCGATAGAGAAGCTCACCCGTGCCCACGACGTGTCCTCCGAGATCGGAGACCGACAGAGTGTGGCGTTTTGTCTGTCCAGCTTGGGCGAGATCCATCGCATGCAGAACGAGTACCCGCAGGCGATAGAGAAGCTCACCCGGGCCCACGACGTGTCCTCCGAGATCGGAGACCGACAGGGCCTGGCGCATTGCCTATCCAGCTGGGGCGAAATCCATCGCATGCAGAACGAGTACCCACAGGCGATAGAGAAGCTCACCCTGGCCCACGAGATGTCCTCCGAAATCGGAGACCGACAAGGCGTGGCGTTTTGTCTGTCCAGCTTGGGTCACATCCATAGCATGCAGGGCGAGTACCCGCAGGCGATAGAGAAGCTCACCCTGGCCCACGACCTGTACTTCGAGATTGAAGACCGGATTGGTGCTGCAGGGGCTTTGCAGAGTTTAGGCGAGATTGATCGTATCCAGGAGCAATACGATCAATCCGCAGAGAAGCTAGGGCGTGCCCTTGCCCTTGCTTCCAGCATTGGACATCGCTATGAGATCGCTTGGTGTCATGTTTACATGGGCTTACTCGACCGCGACCGGCGTCGTTACGCCGAGGCCGTTGGGCATATCACGACCGCTTGGTCATTGCTCACGCAGATTGGACGAGAAGGCAACGCGGAGTACTGCTCAGATCTCCTTCGTGAGATCCTCGAGCTCATGGTAAGGTTGCCGTCACTCGCGACATGCATTCGCCGCTGACCCGCGTCGTCTAGGCTGAATGAGGAGCTAGCGATAGTTCGGCGACAGCCTCAACGCGACCGACGAACTCGAAGGTTTCATGAGGTGCGATGTACGAGTATAGTCCACTCCGTTGTGTGCGACATCTTCGGTGCGGGTGCTGCTACTATAAGCTCGATGTTCCCTGCTACCTTTGCGGCTGCTTAGAGAACTCGCGCTGCCTGCCCTGAGCGTCGTGCAGATGTCCCGCGTGATTTTCACGAAGTCCTGTCCATTCATGTCAATATAGTCGTTTGACTTGTACGATCCGGGCAGAAATCGCGTACCACATCACTAGATGCCTTCGTATCATCGTCATTGATCGTGTTTATCCGCCGTACCATACTCCCCTGCGCATGTAGAGCTTGCAATGACCTCATCCGCGACGTGGTAGAGCTTCGAGAGCGGGTGCTCCATGCTGGGTGGGGAGTGGGGAAGCCTGCGGCGCTCTCGCAATCCATTTACCCCAATGAACTCGCCGGTTTCGAGGCGGCGGCGGATATAGTCCTCAAAGATGCGGTGTAACCCGCCGACGAACGCGTATGTCCGCATGTTCACGTCGAGTTGTAGGCACCGTCGTATGAGCTGGTGGACGCACGTATGGCGCTATTGCGTTTCGGGATGAACGGATGTCTCCTGTGGAAGATGGATGTCGTTCGACCGGATTTTGAGGATAAAATTGCAGATACTTCGCGACTCAACCGGCACTAGACGATATCAGACTATACGCACATAGCCATATCGCCGTTCGGACTCGCGACATTGAACGTGTAACCGCTTCGACCCGTTTGCCGGACAAGGAGCTGCGGTGATATCAAGAGGAATCCCGACAAAGCACCTAATAGCCACCGTCCGTGGATGGTTTAACCGGCCGCTGCTAAACACTCGCGAGACGGTTGAGGATCATCACGACGAGGACATAATAGCGCTGCGCTGCCGCGAGGGTTTCGAACGACGATGACAATGAGTGGCGTCGTCGTGTCGGCTAGCAACGCGAGCATAATAGAATCGGCGCTATATAGACGTTGGTCGAGTCGTCGAGCCCGCTGAGGCTCTCTTGGCTACTAGCGCTGTCGACGACCCATCGCAAGGCCGCACGCCAATTCGCCAGGAGGGAACGCGCAAAGGTCACCGTGATTATCGTCATCACCGGATCGGGATCCGATGCCGGCGGAAGCAAAGGCTTTCCGGATATGGACGCGGCTGGCCCGATTGCCGCGTATGGAAGATTGCTTTGTCAGCGGTCGCCTTTGGTCTTTGCCCGCCACAGCTGGGGTCGGGTCTCGCTGCAAAACGCGTTTGCTCAAAGAACACTCCGAGGCGCGTTCGCACAGGGTCGCACGGATATGCATCTAATATTTGCTGACAGCTTGAACGGTGCGCCGATACGCGGAAAGAAAGGCGGCGCGGCGCGTCGGGCGCATCCCGCCCCTCGCGTCGGGAGGGGTTGCCTTTCGCGATTGTGGACCCACAACGGCTCTCCTCCCTGTGGGCGCCCCATTTCCGTTCCCGGCCCACTCAACAGCCTTGATCGCCTTCCCTGCCTCGTTCCCCGGCCCAAAAAGTCGTTTGGCCCCTCGGGCGTGGGTCCCCGTCCAGAATGGCAATCCTCCCCTTCGACCTCCCCTTTGACCTGTTCGCCCCGCCAGCGAGGGGGGGTTAGCTAAGCAAGTCGCACCAGGGTTCGGTGCGCGCACGAATCATAGACTTTTTGGGCTCGAGCGAGAAGCGGGGCGGTTGCCTTGTATGGGAGGGGTGTGGGCGCCGTGGCGGGGAGGGGCGAGGGGAATAAAAGGCGAGCCCCGCCCTCGGACGCCCTCAGGTATCTGCGCGTTGAAGGACGTGCCAGAGACGACCTACGAGCCCTCTCCGACGAGTCTGCGACTTTTCCGAAGTTTTTCGGCAGCGGACGGACAAAGGGATCGCTACGAGCTCGGTTACGACACGTCGATTCCTTTGAGGTACGTACGCCACTTCCGGATCGGTGCGGACAAAGGGATCTGCTCGGCTAACGATTTTCTGCCCTTTTTTCCTTCTCCCTTTGGCTCCCTTTCTTCGTCGCTCGGATGGACCTCGTCGCCCTTGTGCCCGGCGTGGAAACGGAAACGCGGTTCGCGGTCCAATCGTCGCGGTTGTTGACGTACCCTTTGGCGCTGTGGGTCCGGCCTCGCAGCAAGGAGATCGCCGTTTGTTCTCCCTTTTTTGCCAATAGCGACGGCGTGGATGGATCCGAACCGGACGGCACACGCCGGGTCGTGGGCGAGCGCGCCCCCAGCGGCCGGCCCTTCGTCGTCGTCGTCGCCCGGAAGCTTCCCTTTCTCGTCCGCTTCGGGGCAGCCGGGGTTCGCCTTTGACGCGTGCGAGCTCGAGGAGGCGAAGGTGTTTGGGCGGCAGCAGCAGCAGCAGCCGTCGCCAGGCGCTTCCGGATTCGGACAGCAGCAGCAAGGGCAACAAGATCACCACGCCGGCGCGCCTTTTTCTCCCCTCGGGCCGTCTTATCAGCCGCATCACGCGCCGTTCGACGCGCTCTACCACCCGGCGCACGCCCAGCAGCCATTATACGCCCAGGAACGGTCGCCACTCCCCTTGTCGTTCGAGTACAACGCCCCTTTGCCCCCCGGAGCCCATATAAACCTCTACCCACCCGCCGCCTTCGCTCACAGTCCAGCCCCCGCCCCCGCCTCCCACGCCGAATTCCACCCCCAGCCCGCGTCCGAGTCCGCAGCCTTTCCGCCGAGCCTTGATCCGCGCCTCGCCCACACCCACCCACACGCTCTCCTCGTCCCCGCCGACGACCACCACCAGCTCGCGCTCATGCCCACCTTCGCGAACAGGCACCACGCGCACGCGCCCCAACACGCGCAGCGCCGTCCGGGCGACGAGTCCAGCGGCCAGGAGCCGTACACCGACACCTCCGATGACGCCGCTTCGTCCTCGTCTTCGTCCGCCGGGAGCCCCTACCCGCACGCCTCCCAGCAGCAGCCGCCGCCGCAGCAGCAGCAGCAGTACCAGCAACAGCAGCAGCCGCTCTCTCAGGAAGAGCGCGAACGCCGCCACGCAGCAGCCGCCTACTACGAGCGCGAACGCGCGCGGAAGCAAGCCGAAGAGCGCGATCGCGAACGCCACCGCGAGCGCGCGACCTCGCACGCCAGCCGGACGTACTACCCCGCCTACGACGCGCAGAACAACCGCGTCGGGATCGAGCCGGTACGTCCCCCTCCCCCTGCCTCCGATCGCCCCCCGATCGCTGACGTCTCCGTCCAGCTCGACGCGCGCCCCGGCCCGCCGCCCGACCGCCCGTACTACCGCGAGCGCGTGCGCAACTACCCCGGCCAGGACTTTGGCACGCACGACTACTCGTTCCAGCGCACCGCGCCGCCCCCGCCGCGCGAGTCGATCATGTACCCGACCTCGTCCCACGGCGGCGCGACGACGGGCCGCCTCCAGCCCGCGCGCTACACCCCCCCTCCTCCTCCCGGTCCCCCCTCGACGCGCCCATGCCCGACGCCTACCCGCCGGACCCCCTCCGCCTGCCCCAAGCCCCCGCTCCCCCGCCCCCGACGCTCGACTTTTCCCAGCAGCAGCCCCCGCCCTCGCACGCGAACTGGCAGCGCTACGTCGACCCGGACCCGCGCCTGCGCCCGGCCTCGCCCGAGTCGGCGCACTCTCGCCAGATGCGCGAGGTCCTCGCGCTCTCGGCCGACATGCCGACCACGCTCGCCGACCTCCACGACCCGCCGGACGGCGCGCGCCCGCAGTACTCGCTCCCGAACCTCGCCGCGCTCGCGATCAACGGGAGCGAGAAGAAGATGCTCACGCTCCAGGGCATCTACGAGGCCATCCAGGCCCGGTTCAAGTGGTACGAGGAGCACAAGAACGATAAGAAGGGGTGGAAGGTGAGCGAAAAACGCGGTTTCGAGGCGGATGTTTTAAGGCAAGCTGATGGATGTTTGTTCTCGATGTTGCAGGGCTCGATCCGCCATAATCTGTCGTTGAACAAGATCTTCAGGAAGATCCCGAGGCCGATCACCGAGCCCGGCCAGGGCAAGTACTGGACGCTCGACTTTTCCCAGGGCGCGGGCAACAAGCGTGAACGCCGCCGCGGGAAGGGCAAGCGCAAGCAGCAGCAGGAGCAAGAGGGCCAAGAGCAAGGGCAGGAAAAGCAGAACACGCGCCGGACGCGCAAAAGCAAGCGGCGCGCGGCGGACGACGAGGACGAGGACGACAGCGACGCGATGGACACGGACGACAGCGACGACAGCGAGAGCGCGGCGGAAGAGGCGGACAAGACCGCCGCGCGCGCGCGGGCGCGGCGCGAGCGCGAGCGCCAGACGAGCCTCACCGAGGAGGACCTCGAGGCGATCGCGGACCGCGCGAGCATGAGCGCGAGCCCCGCGCCCTCGCCCGCGACCTCGATCGACATGCAGATCGATCCCGCGCTCCGCGGGGACGAGGGGCACGTCGTGGGCGACGCATCCGCCCCGCGCCGTCCGCGCCCGCGCCCGATCAGCCGCGCCAGCCCGCGCCCCGCGCCGTACCCCACCCCTATGCGCCTCCCTACCGGCGCGCCGGTCGGGATGCCGAATATGGCGATGGGCATGCACCCCGCCGCGTACCCGCCGCCTCCTCCCCCTCCGCACGGCGCGTTCGGCGGGCCGTCGCACTCGCGCTCGCCGTCGGGCGAGGCCTCGGACGAGCAGCAGCAGCAGCACGTGAACTTTCAAGGTCAAAGCTCAGGGCAGCCGGGGAAAGCGCCGCAGCCGTACCGCGAGCACCAGATCAAGCTCGGCCGGCTGGGCGCGAACGCGCCCGCGGCGCCGCACCCGCAGGGCCAGGCGCCGCCCACGTTCGGCGCGACGGGCTTTGGGCAGCCGTCCGGGCCTGGCTTTGGGCGGTTCTCGTCGCATCCTCCCGGGGCGTTCGGCTCGCAGCCTCAGCAGCAAGCGCAGGGGATGATGGGCGGCAACGGCAACCACAACAATCCGAACCCGAACCAGGGCCAGCATTATCGTACTGCGCCACAGGTGCCGGCCCAGTTCCAGGCGCCGCAGGGGATGGTCCCGCAGGCGGCGTATGTGCCGGCACATCAGCAGCAGCAGCAGCAGCAGCAGCAGCAATCGCAGCAGGGAATGCCGGTGTATGGGCGGGTGAGGCCGGATGTGGAGATCGTACGCCATGGAGGGTTGCCGATGGCTATCCCGCGACAGCAGATGCAGCAGCCCAATCCGTTCGGGGTGGGTAGCCCGGCGGGATCGGGCGGATCGGGCTCTGGGTCATCAAGCTCGACACCGACACGGACGTCGTGATTTAGGTCAGTTTTTTTCTTCGATCACGATGCGCGTTCCATCTTGGACTCATCGTTTCCTTATAGAACCGCGGCCTTGTTTTTACGACGAAGATCAAGATTCGATATGCCTACCACACGCTCGTGATGCTCGCCATCGTTTTCGTACCGCTCTGCCTCTCCCCACGGACGTTACTCTCCATCTTGCATTATCAAAATTTGACGTTACCGAACGCAAACACAACGATTTATCCACACGCGACGCGGCGAGCCGAAAGTGTTCTCTTTCGGATCGCCGGCGGTTTCTTGCACCTCCCTCCCCCTCCATGCGTCCCCCTTGTCTACCTTAATATCCACCCTGTAGACGCTCTTCCGTCGATCGCTTTCCCCCTTCCTACCTCAGGCTTTCTCCCTCATTTATAATCATAAACCAAAAATATTCTTGTTTGCTCCTCACCATACCCACCTATAAAAGCTTGCCTTACATCACTTTCTTCCTCCTTCTTCCTCGTCCTATGCTGCTCCCTGTTTTCATCGCACAAATCATCACAATGTTCGAAGGGATTTCCCAAAACCCTCATCATCGTTCCGGTCGACTTGCAATCTGCTGTTTATACGCGCACCGTCCGTCGAAATTGTTGTCATCGAATCCAATCCTACGACGCTACTTGCTCGCTCTCTGCTTGTCTTTTTTTCTTTCAATTCGCATTCCATGTACTGTAGATAGCAATGCTCGTCTGCTGTGAAATCACACCGGTCTAGATAGTGTGTTCGTATGCGGGCGTAGGTGACCGTAGATTGCCGACGTGGTCCAAGAACACCGAAAATTAGCCGGAAGCTCGATGTGCTGACTAATCGTTACGACGCTGTCTCGCTCAGCCGTCGACCTCTCGAGCGAGACATCCTTGCGAAAGGATGGACTGCGGACGCTTTCGCGTGTCGTTATGCACATGTTTCGGAATGATCTTGAACGTCGTCTTTACGACGGAAGCATCAGAATGAGGCCGACTCCTTGGAGGTGGCGTGAAATTCTAGAAGCTCGCACTCTCTTTCGTGCGGTTTGTTTCCAATGATTGCCGTCTGTGTCCGGAATGCTGATGCATTGTCTATGCAGCTGATGTGATCTCGGTGGCGATGGAGGCATCAGACGAACGATTTTTCCCTTGAGACTCGCATGCCTTTCTGGACCTTCCTTCTCCTTTTCCCGTCCGATTCATTCCAGTGCTTCCAGGTTGTGATCGGCCGCGGAACGCTGATTCGTACAACGACGATCTCAGCGAGAGACCTGCGATGCGGGACCCGCCTGTGGCGTTGCTAAGGAGTTTCGGATTACTGTGCAAGTACCTTCAGGGTACGTTCTCATACTCATGGCAGTATACGGATCAATTATACGGAAGTAGCGATGCCGAAGTGCTTCTCTTACATTTGCACAGTCGTCTCCACTGCAAGACACGGGACTGTTGAGCGCTGTGCTTCTGTTGGTCGGTCTATGATGTTCAACCGTCGAAGCAACAACCTGGTATGCTAACGTAACCCCTTCAGCATGATCGCGCGATTATTACTTATGCAGTGGATCGGCTGCAATCCCGAAGGTCAGAGCAAGCGCGCCACAGCAGAGCTTCGACGTCGTGCGCGCTGCGTCGCTTTCCTGAACGACTCGCTTCCGTCGCTTCCTTGAAGGCTGGGATCGACGCTGCAATTTTGAAGCGTCTAGCACCGTGTTCCCCAGCAGGATCGTCATAGTAGCATCCCTTATAGTGATTCGTCCGGTTTCACCAATTGCCTGGTGCAGCATACACTGACCCCGGCTTTAGTCGAATTCTTTCGTCGGGAGCCCGTCAATCGACATCGATGTCATACGAAAAAGACAGACGGAGAAGTCGTTGAGTCAACGCCAATGCGACACGTCGATCTGCTTAGCCCAAGGCGCCTTCATCGAGGACCGTCTGCAGTGTTCTTGTCTAAGGATCCCGTGCGTGTAGGCTCGCCAAGAACCGAAGAATCATCAGGGCCTTCTCAGCATTCCGCCCACCGTCCGCTACGTTGGGAAGGTATGATCATGTCTGACTACATGTGCCATTCCCTGACGGGTTCTCGATGGCCAGCCCGATCTGGTTGTTCCGATGGAGCGAAGATCGTGACACGGAAAGCTCGGTCTTGCCAGACGCGAAAACGGTATAAAATGCGCGGGCCTTCCATCCCTTCAACTCCAGTCCAGCAACCGAGAATCAACCGCTCTTGCGTCTGTTCGACTAGACTAGCGCGATGAGGACCCCGCTCTCTCTGATCGTGCTCTTCGCTACTATGGTCATCGTCTCCGCCACCGTCATCAGCCCTAACGCCGACCGCATGAGGCGCGGACTGCCTCCTCTTGCTCCTCGCCAGCTTTACAATCCTACCGTCGCATCTGGTATGTGGGGACGATGATGCATAGGAGGGATGGCGCTCATTCAATTGAGCATGCAGGGGCTAAACGTCAGGAGCCCTCGGGATCGGCCTCCAACGCCGAGCGCATGAAGCGAGGACTTCCTCCTCTTCCTCCTCGTCGGCCTTATGCACCGACCGCCACGTATGGTATGTGGATACAATGATGAGAATAGCGATTGCGCTCACACCATGCAGGCGCTAAACGTCAAGAGCCCTCCGGATCAACCACCGCCTCGCAGTGCCCCGAATCCGGCACCAATCTCTTGTGTTGCGGCTCCGTTACTACTGTGCGTCTTCCTTTCTTTGAAGCTGATTGGTCGGTGTTGCTTATACTGCCACAGCCGGACAATCCGGAAGCTTCTGGCATTCTGGTAGACCTCGACATCATGCTGGGTGATGTCACGCTGGTCGGGCTTGACTGTACCGTGCTCGACCCCGCCGACACCTGCACCACCACTCCCACATGCTGCACGGAAACCTTGGTATGCTTTGCCATTGTCCGCACACGCGCATGGTTAACCAATTTTACTACAATACTACATAGGCTGGCATTATCTCCATCGGTTGCGTCAATGTCAACGTTTGAGTACTTTCCGGTGCTGTGGAGGAACCTCGCGCACTTCTTCAAACGATATGGACGTTCACAAGTTCAGTTCGATGTGACCTTTCGTTCTGGTTGAGACATGTTACGATATACTCGTGTTATAATTCTTAGCGGACGTGCAACATCGTCCATAACTGTCATTACGCCGAAATTTTGTTGGAGTGCGAGCATTGACGCGAAGCAGATATGGAGGATATATCGCGGACCGTTTGCAACTACGCAACTTAAGGTGTGTGTTTCCGTTTGGACGATTTGCCTGGCTCGACGCCACGCGAGAGCCACGCGGGGGTCATATTGGATCTTCCCGTATTGGGCCCCGCGGGCGACTGGAGGGAGCCTAACGCCACGTGCCCCCCGTTTGCACCATAATCTCGGATGCTACTTTCATCCCGTCAATGTGAGCTCCCGCCGTGAGTCCAAGTCTCCGTTCCCTTTGACGGACCGGATCACATACCTGTTCTTTTTTATTTCCAGTATATGCAGCATGCGTTGTGCAAACAAACATGATCACTCTGTAAAAGCACTCAACGCAAGCAGCCCGTCAACTTGAACCGCGCACGGCCAAATCCATCCACATCCGCGCGCGCCTATAGGCCGACGTTCGCAATGTCCGGACCTAACACACTCGGACGTGGAGAACGAGCGGCGCAACAATTAGCGCCGGGTACCTTGATTGAGCGCTCCAAAGAGCGTCCAAGTATCATTGGCTGCTGAAGCTACTCCGAAACATAGAGCCCCCTGTATGCGTTGACCGTCTCCGACGCGTGCTCCCGTAGCTTCTTGTGCCTTAGCGCTGCGAAAGCGATTTGACCGGAGGCGAAACACGAACTTGCTCGTCTGTCGGGCTACGTGGCGACCAGCTGCTGAACGCGGCAACATACTCGCCACTTCGACCGTCCATGATCGTGCGCCGAGCGCAGTGCTTCCCGACCTCTTTTGTACCTGCTGGCACTACTGCTACACTGGTGCGTATTACATACCTCGACATGCATGGTTTCCCAGCGTCCACTGAGCGCTTTCGCAGCTCGATCGGCATTTGCCAAGGTCTAACTCCCCAAGCGATGACGCAAATTCTGCGCGCCTGTCCATGCGCGTCTTGCTTTCATGACGGTCCTCCATATGAAACCATTTCTCGAACAAAGCTAACCACGATCGCATCCGCCGCGGTACCTTTATACTATCACCCCGACGCGCGGCCCCGACGCGACTTGCCTAATGTATCAACACCCGCTGCTTGTGCCCTGAATCCCGTGTCTATCGACTCCACCATACCAGGCACAGTGCTTGTTTTCTGCACAGTACGCTCACTGCTCAAGTTCTTCTTGGAATGTCGAAACCAAGGTGCGTACTTCTGGGGGATGAAAACCGTTGACGTCGAGCATTGGCTATCGCCCCACACGGTCCAGACTTCGACCTCCAGGTACTTGTGCGTCATGAACGGCGAACAACTATAAAGACACCCGTTCTACTCTCAAAATCTTCAGTCGAACAACCTTGACTTCCAGTCCCACTCGCGACCACCCAATTGCATCTTCAAGATAATCACCATGAAGTCTTCGTTGTCTCTCTCGTTGCTCCTCGCCATCGCGGCGTCGGTCTCGGTCTCGGCTTCCACCGCCAGCACCAACGCCGAGCGCCTGAAGCGCGGGCTGCCGCCTCGTGCCCCTCGCCGTCTCTACGCACCGACGCGCGTCTCTGGTAAGTATCATTTGACGAACATCTTCGTTCTTGAACTGACGCTCGTCACTCTGTAGCCGCCAAGAGACAGTCTCCTTCCGGCACGCCTTCCGCTGACACTTGCACGACCGGTCAGTTGTTGTGCTGCGGCGAGCTTACTCCCGTGAGTCTCGTCTCGAGTGTTCGCGCGTCTCCGCTCGCGTCGCTAACGTGTACACAGGCCGACAGCGCAGACGCCGTAGACGCCTTGGCTTCCATCGACGTGACCTTGACCAGCGCCGAGGATGTCGGGCTGAGTTGTGAGGTGCTCACGACCGACGGCACCTGCGGCGGCACTGCTGCCTGCTGTGGAGGCATTCTCGTAAGCTCTCTCATGATCGCATAAGCTCTGCTATTCACCGTTGTTCAGAGTGGGCTCGTCTCGATCGGCTGCATCACGGTTGCCCTTTAGATGTGTATCTTTCTCGCAACCTTGTACCTGTTCCGCGGACAATTTCGTTCTCTCCAAGTATCTACTACATTGTATTCTCATATACGGATCCTTGTATCCGCCCTTTCCTTTCGATACGACAAGTCAGAATAAGACTTTACGCCGCTGAGACTACTGGAGCGAACACTTGCGACGCGTCCGCCTTGCTGTCACCTCGCTAGCCGCTCAACCGGCGTGATCGGAGAAAAGAGCAGGTTGTGTACTTCTTACCGGTCTAAGGTTTTGCTCTCCGCATCAAAACCAAAAGGGTACAAGAACTACTCCACGCACACTTCCATGCAGCATTCATTAAGAGTACCTACATATATGATGTAGCAACAAATGAACAATACGACGCGAGAAATGCCATGGAGTTGCTACGAGTATTCCAGCTCTTCCAGTCGGGCGATTTGTCTGCGGATGCAGTCAGCTATGTGTCCTAAGAAGCTGGCAGTGCAGCGAGCACTTACTTATCCCTGACTGCTTCCTGCCAACGCTGCAGTTTGGCGATCTCGTTCACCTGGAAGCCGAAGATCTTAGGGCGGTAGCGTTCGGCCTTGAGCGCCGCGGTCGCGGTGCTGAGACCCTCCGCCGCGCCTTCGGCGACCACCTCGTCTTCGCGCGTCGAGCCTCGCCTCCGCACGCCCTTCGCCCAGTCTTCGGCCCTGCCATCGCCCCGGGCCGGATCGGAGGGGTTCGCCTTGGGAGGGATGAGGTGGGGGTAGACGAGGAACATGAGGTGGGGGAAGGTGGTACCGAAGTACGCGCCATCGATCGAGCCATGACGGGAGCTCTTCGGGGAGTAGATGTCCTCACACCGGCCGCAGTATAGCTTGACCGACTTCTCGTACGGGACGTCCGTGAGGCCGACGGGGAGGAGTGGCTGAGACTGGCAGAAGACGCGCGGGCAGCGACCGAAGTCGGCGCGCTTGTATTTGTCGAGCATCTTCGAGAGGCCGCGCACGGTGACGATCCATCGCGCGTGGATGAGGCCGTATAGTAGACGGGCTTGGACATCGAGCGACCCTCGAAGCTCGTCCTGCACGTCGTCGTCTTCTGGGCCAGTGTGGGATCAGGGGCTGGGTGGACGTGCGACGATTCACGTACCTAGATTATCCGTTATCAGATCCAGCGCTTGTGAGTAGTTGGCCACTTCGGTGTTTAGACCGGTAAGGTTGAAGCGGTCGAGGATGTAGTCTTCTTCGACTTCGCAAAAGTATTCGTTCCCTTTAGAGGAGAGGAACCACGATATCCACTGCAGAGCGTTACAGTCGGATCTCATACACGATAGAGGAGTATATGCATACAGAACTAGAGCGATTGAGCACGCAGTAGCACCATAGCCATGTGGGACGCCTACTTTGAGTAATCCGAGTCAGAACCGGTGGACACATCTTCCACTAGGTGGTCAAAACGTTGATCAAAGCGGCGCGAACACAGTGTATCGAAGACTGACTGGTGCTGAGGTTACTGATAGGAGACAGAGAGTCGGTTGTGGTCCAAGCCAAGGTGCGATGACCTCGAGGCTGGCTGGCGCTTCCGCCGCATCCTGATCCGTCCACCTCCTTTACTCTTGACTTCGACCGGCGTTCTACTTTCCAGTCTCATGATCCAACAGGTTGCGTCAAATAAATGTGCTAGGACTATAATCGTGAGGGATTGGAGGGATACTCTCCGTTGATTATGCCGTAATTCGTTGCGCGAGCCGCGAGCCTGTCAAGGACGAGAAAATCTGAACTCACTGCTCTACACACCACTTGGTACCAGATAGGGCCTATGTGCATCATGGATAGCACGGCATTCATAACTCTGAGATGTAGCAAGGCTGTAGGCTCGACGAACCATCGTACGGACTTCTCCCATCGCGGTCTGGTGCCATATACAAGGAATGCTATCATGATCTCGCAGTCAGCCTAGGCTGGATAATCTCCTCAAGCTGGTTGTCACCACATTGACGTTTCAAAGCAGCCTGCTATAACAATGGCTCGTGCCGATACGGTCTCGATGGTAGAACGCCTCGCACGCGCTCGGACTTAGCTGTTCTGTGACGTTCCGAGGTACGTCGTGTTTATCGTCGTGCAGCCAGAGCTTACTCGGAAATTACAAGTATACAGAACTCAACACCGTTGCTCTCCTTGGTTTGCAAGCATAACACCCAGTCGGGCACCAATCTCGGAGCATACGACATACGCCTGATACTATCTCAAGCTCGGAACTCGAAGGCGCGCGTACTCCGATTTGCCTTGGCTTTTCTGGCTTCACACCGCCGCCCACAACCGGAGTCATGTCAGTGTCTTTGAGCGCGCTCGCATAGCCCAACAAAATTGAGAAAGAAGCTGCGATGCTGTTCAGCGTTGCGCGGAGGGCTTGAGGCACTTGCAGGTCAACGGCGACACTAAACGTGGATAAAGAGCAGTTTTCCCCCGAACTGCGACGAAGATTGGAACCAAGGCAATTTAATACCAAGAACGCATGAGATAGGCAACTGTTACTGTCAGTCGAGAGCCCAACATTTGCGAAACCCACAACGATGATGATGTTGCATACATGCTTCTCTTGTGTTGAACTATCCGATACATACTTAAACTACTTGCAATGACCTTATCGTGCATATACACACGGCGACTGGCAAAACATGTTCAGTCCGTGATGTCGCATTTGCTCGGATCCTCCACCTGGTATTGATATCGGGGGCGTCAATCGTGGACGATGCTCGCTTAGAGATCGACGTACGTTGAATCTAAGTCCCATATCTCCTGTCCTTTCCGGAGAAGCTAGTCGGGGTCTCACGGTGATGGTGTTCAGCGGAAACGACGTATTACCTCTTGCTCGCGGATACGGTCGGTGGCTGTTTCGGTCTGCTGGCGAAACTGCCCAGTCCTCCGGAGACTCGAAAGTGTGTATACCCCAATCTTTCCGGTTACCGGCTGCACCTGCCTTCTTCAAGGAGAGGATCAATCGGTTCATCAGAAGCGATGTGAGCCTGAAAAGAGCGGTAAGTGGATATGGCAGGGTGAGTTACGTCCGCCCTCTTACAATACATGGGCTCTGTGTCAGCAATTCAGTAAGAGTACTGGAGCTAGGAAGGGATTCAGACTTACTCAGCTTGGATGGATCGCAAACCAGGCTGTATATTGACGTAAGGAACGTCGATTCACGAACCACCGCTTGATAGCTTACCCGTCCATGAGATAACAGGAGATGCCAGATCAGGATCGAAAGGAAGATAATAAGGAACGAGATGGCTCCGTCACGCAGCATGACTACCATGAGTCGGGAACCATACCGAGACCGTGCTGCCGAAACGGTGTAATACGCGGTGAAGAGAAAGATCAGCCCATGAAACACGAGGCCGAGTTCCAGTATGACCGCGATGAGAGGTAAATGAGGTGGCACAAGGAGGCAGACTGGACGATGGGTCTTAGCCTGAAAGTAACAATTTCGGATGATTTGTCACCCACTTCTCGTCACATTATCGCCAATGAAGGGCGAACCTGAGTACGACATGAGTCGCTACAGTCATACTAGCAATTGACCGATACCTGTGTTTCCGGGATTCACGATTGTGTATAAACCGACTCCGGCCAAGGCCAGCATGACTGGAATCAATGTACATTGAACCAGCCAGTTCTTCTTGGAGACAGCGTAAACCCTGGAATTATTTGGGTTAAACGGAACGGGTAGCATAGAAAAGACTAACCGGAACAGCATTATAATCATTGATACGACCGTCACGAGGATGAGATACAGCTGCTGGCTGTATGCCCACTGATTGCAACTGTATACGGCTCATGAGTCAGAGATCGTGTGTTATCTTTACCCAAAGGGTAGCGTCTAATGACAAGTCAGAGCATGTGCATCGTTGATCAAGGGCTTCCATACACATATCCTGTGTCCACGAAGATGAATGCCATGCTATTGAATCCTCATGAGAATAAGATCGGATTATCAGAGAACGAGAACAGACCTAGATTCACGAGTAAGGCGAATGTGAATGGTATGTAGCGGTTCTGTTATGACGATGCTCAATTCTGGTCTTCGGTGAATTGCTGATGTTGGGGTTCCGTGCTTACAGCTAGGAAGAGAAGGAATACTGTATTACGGAAATGGGTGTTGATGCGGAGAACGTGTACCGGTGTTACACTCACTTGGCGACCATTTCAAGTTCCATCCCACCCATGCGTATCGTATCTGAGCGATATATCAATCCGCGTTGCTGTCATCAAAGCGAAAGCGAGCTTCAAATTGAACTACTGACCTCGTCGGATAATGTCAACAAGTAATCATAGACGTACAGCGTGGTCATAGAGACAAAGTAAAGCTTCGCGTATTTCCATCATCATAGGTTAATGTACGAACATCGCTGCATTGGTTTAGGCAATCACCTTCGTTGCAAAACTATAAGCAAGTGATGTTACAAAACCTCTAAAGGATATGATGAAACTCATACTCACTAATCACGACCAAGTTGCAGTGTCTCAACATCGATAACGGGCGACTGGGTCGATACCGGCCACAGCGACATGGCGAAAAGCGCATGCAATGACCCCTCACGATTACCTATATACGTATCTGGCGTAGCTGTACGAAGACACCCTGGGTTATAAACAGACCCATCATCAGCATCTCTCAACAGACTACACACCTACATCACTGCCCGTTTCATTTCCGCTTTACCCGACCAGAAGGAGATACCTACACAGGATCTCATCAGCAAGGAAGGGCATGACTGCATTCGGATCCCACCACCTTATTCGGCATAGAGACAACGGGATGCACGTAGGTATCACGTTCCAGCTTCTTCAGTGGAGTGAACACATGCACACGGTGTGGAGAGCTGATCGGAGAACCGCTAATGAATTCAACGTTTGTGAACGATGGTACGCAGATTGTGGGCGTGAAGTAAGAAAAGAACGCGCTCACATGCGAGGTTTGATATTGGCTGCGGCGTTAGAGTGCCGATATGGCAAACTCTGTTAGCGTTGAGAGCTCTATGAGAAGAATGGGATGGGAACGGTCCCATGCTTCGCGAGCTTATTGGACGCACCTTTGTCGGACTTACGAATCCCCGTGGCAGTGATGATCCTGACCAGATCCAGAGCGCCACAACGGTAAGTGAAATATCCCGATAACTGCGCGATTTCGTTGCGACCTCCACAAGATGGTCGTAAAAAGAAGAGCGCAGATAATCAGATGGCCTGCCTAGTTATAAAGGTTATTAATTATCAGTTGACTTCGGGGAATAGGACTGGAAGCCGAGAGAAGGATAGGTATGCTGATGCTGTGCCTCCCGATTTGGAACCATGGGAGGTACGTAGCAGCGTTGTGGCGTTGTGAATGGGGCGGTATCGATCCGATTCAATGATACATTCCATTTCTTGGGCGGTGCACGTGGGTAACCGTGATATCCACTTCCGCTTTCTTCGCGATCCTCTCGCATCTGGTAGACGTATACCTTATGTTCATACTCATGAAGCGTGTATGGAAAACGGCGTCGGCAGAAGTGGTGTCGTGCTCCCTCGCCAGCATCGCGAGGCTCGCTTGCTCGTAGTATGTGTGCTGCTGCCAAATAATGAGCTGTTATCAGTTCGACTTTGAATGACGCCATGATCCACCAGCGCTCACAATAGTGAAAATGGTTGGCGAGCACAACTCCTCGAAACGCTCCTGGTGAACGGCAGCAGCGGCGTTTTTTCATATTTGCGGACGTTCTGAACCGCCGCAAGCTGAGCATGGTTACGGGCTTCTGCTTTTCATGTATCAGCTTCGTACGAGGGACTCTCACCGCGCCCGGTTTTGAACCTCGTGTTATGCGGTCCTCGCCCGAGGCTAGTTCTGCATCTGATGTGAGGTACGTACGCCAGCATTGGCCTGCAGCGGCACGCATATGGATCGCGCAGCGATGGTTCACTCTCTTTCTCACATCGCCTTCGGCGTGCACTAGTGATTATTGGTGCGCTCGCATCTCACGCGGCGGGACTGCACTCAAACAGTTCATGCGCAGAGCAGTAGCGGTTCTCGAACGGAGAGAAACCACATCTCACGGTTCAAATGACTGCCTCATGATTAGATTCATCAGAGTTGCGAGCGAATGCCCCATACGCACTGATACGTTCGTAATCCTATCACCTTCCTCGCATGATGGCGTCGAAGTTTGAAAGCGCATCCTTTGGGACAAATAGACTCCTTGAGCCTCGTATACATAGCAACCCTAGTATGTACCAAGGTCACCCACCGTCTTCAGACTCCAGGCCAGTACCTCGCATATTCCTCCACAGAAATGCTTGAGATACAGCACACTGGTCTCCCTCATGCCGCGAGGGTAGTCGGAGCTTCATCCATCGCTACACCTGTCATATACTCGCATACTCAGCCACTTCCACCGTATCCCGACGACGCACACAATGAAGTTCTTCCGACATACCAGCGATACGCTTCGGTCTTGCCATGGCTCGAACTTCTACGGCATCCCGCATGGGAAAGTAATTCCGATCTTGCACTGTTCTTGCGGTCGGATGGCCATCCAGACCCACCGAAGGTCGGCTGGAAGGCCCAATACATGAGCCATGTCCATGATTGCCTTGAAATGGGCTTGGCTGTGGACCCGTGCAACGACGTCGAACAAGATCACATGTTTCAGTCGCTCACGGACGAAGTAAGGTCGTACGTGCGCGCCGAGATGCCCCCTGAGCTGCGCTGTGAGTTGTCAGACATCACGCACTTCCCCATCCTGAAAGCCGAGTCTTCGCACAGCCGCCGCGCTGAGCTTAGCATGCCGTTCCCTCACTCCGGAACCGCTCAAGCTCAGCCCGTTCTTCCTTGATGCTCTGACCGCGGAGGCGTCGCGTCCACCATCGACCATACCGTCTGCGTTGCCGACCCGGCCTTCGCCAGATCTGCATTGGATCCTCGCCGAACTCCGCAGCGTCAACCCCGAGTTGCATCTCCTTGACTTCACCTACTTGCCGCAGCGCAACCTCGACGCCATCGTCAAGGCACTTTTCGTGCTGAGGTGCCGCGAGCGGTTCTCCAGGGCGGCACGGCGGCGCGTGTCCAGTCGCCAGGCGGGCACGTTCAGCAAATGGCTAAAAGGCACCGCGAGCAGATGGAAGAAAGCCGAGGAGACGCGGAAGCGGGGTGTCGTGACAGAGGCACGGCATGCGGGGCATGACGTCTTTTGCGCTTTCTCCGTTCTGGACTAAGGGTTCCAGATGTATTTGCGAATTCCTGTCACATTCGTTCACATCACTCCTTACATATGGATGAGTATTCAGGTGAGCACGTACGAGTCGCCGTTCTTCATTGACGCCTTGCTCATTTCGGCTACCTTAGTATGAGGATGGTCGCCGGTCAGGGATGGCCGATCACGCGCGACTATATCCACAGCGACTTCACTGCACATCACTGAACTGATAATGTCTGAACAGTAAAACCACGTGAGAGATACATATACAGCGAGCTGGCGATGCGCACAAGAATACAATTCGTCCAACATTAAACTGTCCGCAATGCAGGAGCAGGTGCTGTCAAACTCCGTTGAGGCCGCCGCCATATCTTACAAGCTCCTCGTGCTTCGTGTCAAGCAGCTTCTTCCGTGCCTCGAGTTTGTCCTTATGAGTGCTGATCGACCGGTCAAGCTTGGCGTACAGCCGAGCCTTGGATCTAAGTGCAGGAAATGCAGTCGTAGAGCGCTCAGGGCAGCGTAGGAGAAAGCATATAACATACATCATATGGTCTTTCACCTAATGTAAGGGCGTAAGCGAAAGGTTGGCTTGGAGCAATAACGCACGTACCGTATCGAGCAGTTTCGAGAAATCGGAGATCAGCTCTACACGGTCAGCAATCCATCAGCCGCCTGCTATCTGTGCGAGCGGTAAGCGGATTCACCATCTGCACCTGCGGCCCACTCGGCTGGAGAAGCCTCCGCCCAGCGACGCTTGTTGCCTTCATAGGCGCCGAGATGCTGCGCGATGTAGACATCGATATCGATGTTCAGAATCCGAGCGAGATCGGAGCCCGACATGTCAGGCGTCGGCGGAGGCTCGATCACCGCGCCATGATGGTGAGCGCCAGCCCCACCATCATGGGCCATGGAGTAGTCGCGCTGTCGAGCCATGACGCGTTGTCAGAGATAAGGACGAGAGGAAGAGGACTCACGTGTTCGTCTGGAAGGTCTTGACGATAGCGCTTTCCTGGGTGTTCGGGTTCGTCCGGATAAAGCAGTTCGTCGTCGTCGTCGTCACCCTCGCGCTGAGAGTGAGAGCGCTTGCGAGCGTAGCTGACCTCCTGATGTGTGCCGCGATGACTGTGAGCGGCAGGTCCGATAGATGACTGGCCGCTGGAAAGGGCATATAATCCGTCCGTCGAGGGCAGAGCGAGCGTCGAGCGCATCCCACCACCAGGAATAGGCGAGTGCAAACCAGCGTGAGCCAGAGATCGTTCCGAATGGGATATATGCGTTGCTTGTACGAATGTATGCGTCTCCTGGCCAGGTGTATGCGCCTTGTTTACTTGAAGATCGTTCTCAGAGAAGGGCGGACGCATAGGTCCTGGACGAGCTTGCTGAAAAGAGTCAGAAGGGGCGCCAGATGCTATATCGTGACGGGATGGCGGAGAAGGTAGCATCGTCGGAGAATCGAGCAGGCCGCCGAGAAGTCCATTCGAAACTAGAGCAGAGGAGGCGCGAGGAGAATGAATCTGTGGGGGAGCCATGCCGCCCTGCTCCAACGACGGAAAAGAATTAGAGACGCGAGAGCGAGAGCCTTGTTGTTGAGCTTTATGATGAGTCTGCGGGCCCATCCTCTTCACGAGTCCGGCAATGTTGAAAGGTTTAGGTGCGATATTGTGTAACATGGCTTGAGGGTCAGCGGACGCGCCTCGGGTAGGAGCTGCGCTTGCCGGCCTTTGAGGCGGCATGGGTTTTTTATCCGGAGCTAGCGCCGCGTCCCTGTTACCAGCTACAGACGGAGGTCGAGAGGGAAAAAACTGGCTGCGGTTGCTCATCGTGGTGCGGAACGAAAGCAAGTCAGGAGAAGACCGCGGGAAAAGGCACATGAGGTGCCTGCATGCTCACGTGCACCCACGCGAGAGTTCGAACTCAGTTGGTTCTGTTCGGCCCTGGGTTCTCTGTTGTCTCGACTCTCATCCCATCTTCCTTCCGTCCGCTCATCCCTCCTCCATATTATCCGCACAACCTCTAACGACCGGCCCACGAAACAAAAGGGCCAAATAACGCGGTACGTCGCGAGCAATCACGCGGTGGACAAGGCATACTAACTCTCAAACGTCTATCAAGCAGATCGCTTCCCTTTTCCAGCCACTGTCATTCACTTTCGAACGCATACATCAGTTATTCAATTGCGATAAGACCTATATCTATCTGTGCTACCCAATCACACTCTCCCACCTGCCCCGATGGCCAGCCAAGACCTCCCGCCATGGATGACGCTTGCCACCAGCACCTTTACCGACGCTGCGGGAAACCCGACCGCAACGGCTGAAGTGACGCTAGAGCTGCCGTTGACTTACTTCGGACCCAGCGTGAGTCTCCCTCTGCGACTGAGCTGGCACGGGCAAATTGCTCGATTACGTACGGTCGGATTGACTGCTTGGGGACAGATACCGCTCGGTCCGGACTGGGTATGGGGTGGCTCGACAGAACCAGCGTCCATCGGCATCCCAAACACGGGCATTACGACCACGACAGCGATACCTACCTCCGCGCCGGCGACCACCACCAGCGTAGCGACGACCGTACCGACGGCTTCGGAAAGCTCGGACACTGCCTCCGATACATCCGCTACGACGTCATTAACCTCTATCGGCCCGTCCACATCCAGCATACCGAGCTCGCAAACAGCCCCTGTAACGAGCATTGCACCGACCGGCACGCTATTATCTTCGTCACCCGTTCTGCCGTCAACACTTTCTTCGTCCTCCGCTATTCCAACCGCAGTCTCCGGTCACACCTCCCATTCGCGCACAGTTACCTTGATCGCGGCCATAGTCGGTGGCGTTGCCGGACTCTTCCTCATCGCCGCACTCCTCATCGGTTGTTGGTTGTGCTGGCGCAGACGCCGCCAACGTCAAGCCCCGTTAGGCACTGGTTGGGAGATGATCTACCCCGAAGACCCGTCAGCCTTGCAATCGCCCATTTCACCGACTCATAGCATCGAAGGAGAACGTCCCCAGTCTCCAGGAGAGGGCGGAGGAGAGGAGGACCCGTTCTTGCAAAGGAGCAATCGAGCGGATATGGAGATGATCGGCGGTGCGAGGCTGGTGACCGTTCCCCCGCACGTGCTCAGGCCATCCGACTCGGGTGGGGATGATGGAGGAATGTACTACGTGGATGCAATGGAGGATCGGGCGTTCTACAATCCCGACGAGGAGAAAGAGCGAGAGCGTCAGGCTCAATTGACCAACGCGGCTGCAACGAACGCCATGGTCACGCAACCTCAATCCCAGCGCAATTCGGACTCGGACCCTGAGGTCGGCGTCGTCGGTTCCAGGAGGCACTCTCAGAAGGAAGACGAACAAGCACAGACCATGCGCGACGCGCAGCCGCAATCAGACGGCGAAGACGACCTGGACGGGACGACAGCACACGACCACGACGAGGCACCAGACGCGGACGCGCCTCTCCTTCGTCGCCCGGGCGCGGCACTGTGGCTTGGCCGCTCCCCAGCCGGCCTTGACCGCGCCTCGCCAAATCCATCCCGACGCTCACGCGGTTCACGCGCAAACACGCCCTTCGGCTCGCGGAGCGCACTCAGCATTCCACACTCGGATGCGGGTGAGGTCGAGCACGCGGAGCTCCTGACCGCCACCCGAGTGCACACGCCGTACGGCACGCCCGTCGCTGCGCACCCTCAGCTTCACGGAAGCGGGAACGAACGCGCGGTTGGTGCCGGGAGCGTGAGCAGCGCTTCGTCGAACAGCATACTTGGCTTGAGCGGGCTCGCGCGCATCGGCAGATTCAGCTGGTTCAGGCGCATAGATTCTGGTGCCAGTGGCCGTTCATCAACTGCCGCCGCTGCCCGTCCCTCATCTCGCGCGACCGGAAACAGGTCACGCCCCACGTCACGCCCGTCATGGTACACGCCCCGCACACCTGGAGCTAACGACGTGGAAGCCGGTACCGGATCAAGCAACGGCGCAGGCTTGCTTGGCGCTGATCTGGTCGGGCGGCGAATTGTGCCACCGTCCTCGTACATGGCCGTTGCGCAAGGTGATGGCGAGCGCCCGATATCGACAGTGAGCGGACGCAGCGCGGTCAGTTCCGGCAACACGATCTACTACGACGCGCCATCCCGTCCTCTTACGCCCGGCACGCCTGTAACTTCGGCTGCAACTGCCTTCCCTCCCGTTCCGCCGATGCCTGCGTCGTTCCGTTCCCGTCCCGCCACGCCGCCATCCGGACAGACACCCGCATCCGGCGTGGCGACTCCCACTGCGGCCCATCTGCGCGGAGGCGATCATCCTGGTTCGTCTCATGCCGCTGTGCCGACCACCGGACCTCCCGCCTATGAGGATTTGCCGACAACCCAGAGTCAGTATTTCACGCCGACGGAGATCCCTCCGGGCGTTGATGTTCTTGACCTGCCTATCCCGCGACCGGCGTCACCCTTCTCAACCGTCTCCTCGACCAACTCCAACCGGCCCCGTCCGAAGTCGCTCCAGTTCCCTCCTGGCCTTGCCCCGAGCGCAATCCCGAGCCCAAGGGTATGGACCGATCTCGCCAACTCGAGCTCGAGCCGCGAGGGAGTCAGTCCTGCCGCCAGCAACGTCGGGAGCGGGGTCAGCGGGATCGGCATCACCTTAGAGTTGGAGGATGCCCCTCCCAGCGCTGTTGGTGGATGGAGGACGTTGGCGAGCGCTAATGATCGACGTACGACGTTCGGGCAGGTGCGCACTCGTTCATGTCCACTAATCCATGTACCATTTTACTCACTATATTCCTTACAGGCTCCTGTCCTTGTTCATCCGGAGCGCACTCAGACGTCTGACCAAGGCTCGCTACATTCTCATGTACACTCCATCCCCGGCTCCTCTCGCGGCTCGGATTCGGTACCTCCGTCAGGACGGTACATCCCGATTGCCAGCATCGGTTCCCGCTCTGCCTCTTCGCTCCACTCTGGCCCCCGTTCACAGGAGCCGTCCGGGAGCAGCGGCGAGACGGGCGGCGCGACGCTCTCGCACTCAGGTTCGATCTCGTCCGATGACCGCATTAAGCGCGGCCGACGGACACGTTCACCCGCCGACCTGCGCTCTCCCCATGTCAGCCTCGGTGCCGTCGGTGGCCGCGTTCCACGGCTGCCCGAACTAAACCTCCCGTCGTCACCGCTGCACCTGTCACCCCAAGCGTCCGGGGACGACATTACTACTGCGTCCACCGGGCACTCCCCGCTCCTCGGCTCGACGCGCGCCGGCACCGTCTCTGGTACCATAGGCACTACTGCCACTAACTCCTCCGTGTCCACGCATACGAGCATCACCGATCCGTCTACGGGTATCGTGATGCACTTCCCAAGCGTGCCATGGACAAGTGGCCAGGAGCGCGACTGGCCCGCGGACGCGTGGTCCGAGTTCCCTGGTGAAGACGGGATGCGGTGTTGGGGTCCTCCAAGCCGCCTATTCGCGATGCGCTCGACGTTACGGCAACAAAATGACCTGGAGCACGTCTAATGCCTCCATAGTTTCCCCGCGACCTTCTTCGGTTTAGCACATTCCCACTGCGAATTTTGTTGCGGTCTACGCGTTGCTCTGTCCCCGGTCGCCGCGCGGATGCTATTCCTGCCCCTACACCCTTGTCGATGTTCGGAGCATCAACCGCTCAACACTCGTGCCCTTGCACACGACCTTTCTCCCCTCTCTGCTTGGATTCACGACGGAACATTTGCTGATATTTATGACATTTCTCTTGCTCATTCACCTCATTGCTTCATCACGACACGACATACTCACGACTAACACCGACACGACTCTCATGCGACACCTTTACTCCGGCGACACCTATATCCTTATTCCTATCCATTTGTATCCACGTTATGTCGTGTATCCGTGCAATTAGACGTTCATCAACGAAATACGCACCAGAGTTGTAGGCTAACCAGCGAAAGGATGGTGGGCAGAGAATGAAGCAACAACGATCGGGGCTGTCGCTGTTGCCTTAGCCTCTACATAAGAAAGGAACGGAGTCGAAGGTGCGCGATTGCCAAAACAGTACTATTACAGAAGAATACTCGACAGGGATAACACAAGCCAACAAGACAGGGAGCTATGGAGACAACACAGTCCGACGAAAACAGGCATACATTGTACAACAAGTAAAATAATCAATCGCAAGATTCTGACCCTCAAGATCGCTCGTGGCGATCTTGAGGTGCAGAACCTACCCCTTGATAAGTTATACAAGCAATACTGACTCTACGTGACAAGGCGCGCGACGGGCATGGACGGGTATCTGCATAATCTGCATGACGACTGAATGAGCCATGCATATCGTAAAAAGAGATCGGCACAAACCTAGGGCTCAGTTTTCCGGGCTGAGGTATCGGGAATGATGCCACACTCAGACAGGCCAGCTGCTGAGGGCGGTGGCGTTTCAGATATGGGGGAAAGCATCGAGACGTGATGTTTCGTATCGGCTGCGGCTTGCGAAGGGATGGTAGGAGATATGGTTGAAGGAGAGCGCAAGTTGGGTTCGCCTACACTGCGTCGATGACGACGATCTGCCAGAAAATCTTTCTCCCAATTCGATTGTGAGCTCCCGAACAAGGGCCCTGACGGGCAGTCGTCGCGTGCTATCGAGGGTCGAGATCTGGAGCGCCTATGCTTCAGCTCGACGACCACCGGAGGGCTTTGGGACTTCTCCTCATGGCCGGCGAGAAGTGTACTGATCATGGAGAGGGAGATTTCCGGCGCGCTTCGACGTCGAGAGGCTCTCGAACCGTTGGAGTCGGAACCGCTGTCAATCGGGGTGGCGTTGCCGAACGTTGCTTTGAAGATCTCGTCGAAATCGTACGTGACGGAGGGAACCGGAGGCAGTGCGAGGCCGATTGGAATGGTGGGCGATCCTGGTGAAGTTACGGAATCTTCGGGCAGGACACGCGTGTGTTCACGTTCGGAAGTCGGAACGAATCCCAGCCCCGTATCGTCCACGTCGAAGAGGGCAGCCTCCGGTTCGTCGATACTGGTTTGTTGATTTTGCAAGTCCGTGTCATTGGGGCGAGGAACGGATTCGACCACGGGCGTATCAGGCTCAATTCCCAAAGCTGCGGCTTCATCACCATCGGGCAACGGCAGTGGAATGCTAGTTGGCGATGCCAGATTATCGACCGATCCCTGAGCCTCACTATTGATGCGAGGGAAGGATAGTTCGGACACCGAAGGCACCGCCGATGCTCCGGAGTCAGGGATCCCGAGCGGGGAAAGCGACACGATAGCCTCAACTGTTGCCCCAACGCCTGCCTTCAGCAAGTGCGTTACGGTATCGAAGACCCCATGAGTGTCGGACGAGCCAGGCTGTTCGACATCTTCCGGTGGTTGAGGCTGGCTAGCGGAGGCTGTCTCGTCATGGTGCGCGTCAGCCGAAGGCGGGTCCGACGATGACGGTGACTCAACCTCGAGGTGGTGGTTACCGTCCTGCTGCTCGACGAGGGCCTGAACGCCTGTGTCTACACCGTCCGTAGCTCCATCGCGCAATGGCGTATCGTTACTGCCATCGCTTGCAGTCTCATCCTGGCCGTCATCCAACGACGATTTAGGGCTAACGTCAAGGGTGCTCGTGGCTGCAGGTGTCGAGGGAGGAGCCTCCTGCAATTCAGGGAGCGATTCAGGCATGACCACATCGATAGCGGGATCGACGACGGCAACGTTCTCCGACGGTGCGGGGTGAGCGTTCGATGATTCGGTCACAGGCTCCGGTACACCGATCATCGTCGTCAAAGAGTGTAGCTCTGGCGATCCCTGCGCGCTGTCCACACTAGTCGCCGATTCCGAGCGAAATTCGGTATCGGCTTGTATAGCATCCTCTGATACGGGGATCGGCGAGGACGACCGTGATGCCTCTGCAGGAGTGGGGGGTTCGACGAGGATGACAGGAGGTTCAGCATTGTCATCATCCTCCGATGGATGCGGAAAGGCTGGTCTCGGGGTGCCTGAGGGGCGAGGAGTAGTGTGGCCTTCAACGGATTCGGTGCCCTCGGCGCCAGAAGACGTGCCTTCGCTAGATTCGCCGCCCGTTGGGGTCGCTGACTGGCCGGCGCTTTCCCCGGAATCCAAAGCCGGGGTAGGTACAGTCACGATAGCCTCGATAGGAGGTTCGGGGAGCGGTTTGCTTAAGAGATCAGACGGCAGTGGTGAAGTGTCTATGGGCGAATCTGGAAGCGGGGTGCTTAGAGCGAGCCGGTCTGCTTCGATGGTATGGTTTGCAATCGTGATGGTGACTTTCGCAGCGACAATCTCCTCCGTAGCAACCGGCGTCTGCGTAGATGCTTCAGAGCGATCCTGCTCATCAACAGGGCCAAGAACCTCCGAGACTGACTCTTGACCGGCGGGAGCAGCTTCCCGGACGTCGGACTCGGGAAGGGATGGGGTCGGCAGAGCGACAGGCTCTTCGCGCGGAGTAGTCTCATCTGCGGGTGCCACGTCTTCCACGACATTCTGATCGCGCTCATTCTCCGTCGATGGCTCGGTGTCGGTGACGGACGGATCACCAGGAAGATTGTTGCCGGCTGGAGCATCCTCACCAATTGAGGGTTCGGCGGGTGGTAAAGGGACGAAGTCCTCCCAGTGGTTTAACAGCTTCGGTAGATCAATCCAATCGCCCACGAGCTCCGATCCGTCGAAATGAAGTCCTTCAAGCGCTTTCGCAGCTTTCTTCATCATCTTATCCAGCTGCTTGGCATTCGGTAGCGTGACGGTGAAGTCGAAGATCGATCGAAGAGACCCAGAGACCGCGTGGCTGAAGGTGTTGTCTTCGAGCCCCATGATCAGAGAGGCAACAATGGCCTCGCAGCTATCCGTCGATGTAACAGCCTCCTTCGTGGAAGTTGAGACGGAAAAAAGAGTTTTATTCAAGTCGGGGCCTTCATTGATCGCGTTGGCCTGGGCCTCTTCCTCGCACGAGTGAGGGGTTGTGTCCGCGGCCGCGGCAGTATCGACAGGTCGTGTCGTACTCGTAGAAGATGAAGATGATTCCGCAGCGTCAACACTTGCATCGGACGGGGCTGGTGGACGCGCGCCGGTGGGACTGGGTGGCGGGGCGAGATCATGGCCGAGTAATGGAGAGGAAGCGGGAGGGTCGTTTGACGATGAGGAAGGGGGGACATCCACTGGAGTCTCCTGCATGTCTTCACCAGCAATCGGAGTCGACGCAAGCTCCGAATGATGATCGTCATCAACAAGGAGGTCCGGCGTAGGGGGGACAGGCGAGGGAAGTGCGGCAGAGGGTATGGCCGAAGTACTCAGCAGTGGAGAGACGTCTGAGCCGAGGTCGACGTGGCTTGGCCCCGGCGACGCGGAGAATTCTCCTGCACTGACATTGCGCTGCATCAACGGGGAGGAGAAACCCTTTGGCATGTCTCCCAAAGCAGTGAGAGGAGAGGCGCCATTAGATTCATGCCGAATGAGGGGGGACGTGTGAACGCCAGCGTTCAGGATAGTCTCCAGCTGCAAAGAAACAGGTTGTTCGGTTGCTGCAACGGTAGCGTGGTCATCCGCAGTTTGTCGAAGGGAGGTCGCGAGGTTGTCATCGTTGTCGTTGAGTTCACTGTCTTCGTCGCTACCTTCCTCATCTTGGTCCTCGTCCTCGTCCGGAGGATCATCCTCGTCGAAGTCCCATGTAGGAACTGCGTCGGGCGAGACGCTGTCCGTCCACGCTTCGGGAGAACGAGGAATCTGAAGGGGGAATACGTCTTGTAGGCGTGGTGTCCGCCAACGACGAGCCGAGTTGCGGGCTTTCTTGTAGTCGATGGAGTTCTCCAGGTCCTTCAGACGATGTCGTTCTTCATTTCCGACGTCGGGCGAGCGTAACATCCTGTTATCATGTCAGATATATCTCGTAGACGCAACATCCAGACTCACTCGTCGAGATCATCCGCGCCAAGGACAATTGCCACACTTTGCAGTGTTTGCGCATCCGACCTAGGTGTTTTCAGTATAGCTGAGACAGGATACTGAGATAACCCCGTCAGTGACTTCACAAAGAGGGTGGGCTTCAGGACGTACTAAGGTTGGCGAAATCATGATGTTCGTCATCGCTACGTCGTGTGCGTTATGATACAGGTGGAGGAGGAGATAGAGGTAATCAGAGAGGGGCGGGTAACATGAGTAGGAGAGTTAAGGGTGTCGGGTGCGTGGCGGCATGCTGGACGAGCTATTCAAGGCCGACGCGCGTTTGGCCTCGTGTAATCCGCGAGTGCTTCCCTCCATTCTCTCCTTCCGGATCTGCACAGGCTCAAGCCACCGAGAGCTTGTTCACCGCATCATATATTCCAGACCGGTCGACGCACGCCCCAGCGCGGGATAGGCTCAGATACAATGCGCGGCGGGGGGACCGCTGAGAATGGACGCCGAGGGGACGATAACGAAGACTTCCTAACAACATGGACCGGTACTTAGGCCGGACGCGGCGCGAGCATGTTCAGAATAGGTGATTCATGTTGCTGAAGGATAGGACGAAGACGAGGACGGTAATCGCTCGGGCACGACTCGGCGAAACGTTCTGCTCGGCTAGCTGAGATCAAAACATTGGCTCTCCGTTTGCCACTCAAAGCAGGATCTTCGACTCCGTAACTACCGATACACGTTCACATCAGTTATACCCATACTTAAACCCTGACCTCATACTTGCCAACCAAATTGCCCGTTCTCACACAGCGAAGCAGGAACAGTCCACAAGGCGGTAACGCGTGGTCAGGAATCTGGAAATAAATCATCAGTCAATTCGGATAGGAGGAGAGCGACCGGGGTGCGGATCGCTCTCAACCTAGCCGTTGATACAGCATGTTATGGATAGCTATTTGGAATATTAGGGCAAATGGGAGATCATAGGAGAGAGGAACAAAGAAGGTCAAGAAGGGGTCAAGAGGGTCTCTAGCGTTAATCCAGGCATAAGATGTTGATTCTCAAGACCACCACGCTTTGGTGGTGGTCTTGAGCCGCAATATCCACCCCAATCACTTCCATCGCGTATGATACATATACACGTACTGCACAATCGACTTGAGACGTCATCGAGTGTTCAAACAGTAGCTGAAAACCAAAAGTCGGTTCCCGGAGCATTCGATCGCGACTCATCACAGCAGGCTCACCTCCTGAACTGCAGGTTCCACCCTCTACTGAAACAGGGGTTTCCGTGAGGGACAAGATCGGGTACAGTTCGAAAGGAAGAGCATCTTCCTCTTCCACCAGATAATACGGGGACGACGCTTTGCGATCGTAGACGGTCGACAAGGCCCTCATTCTCCGGTTGACGATGAGTCGATCGATCTCCTTCTGCCTGTGGCGACGGCGCTCTTCGGTCTCCACGGGTGGCAACTGCGGTGGCGGTCCGTCGACGATGGGGCGCGTGAAGGCTGTAGCATCGCTAGCTGATCGACGGTGTCGAGTACGAAGTGGTTCCTTGTCGGATGACATACGCCCGGATGGAAAGAGTGTACGAGGCTCCAAACTATCCTCCGAGAGGGAGAGCGCTCGTGCTCTGCGTACCGAGCCGAACCTCGGCCGGATGATGTTCTGGGATGGCGAATGAGACGGCTGTGTAGCACGTCCAATATCCCCGGGACGTCGTCCGCTCATACCTGATGTGGACGAAGGATTGGACGGGTTGAGTGTGGTTGGCTCGTCGTCGCCGACTATGGAACTGACAGCGGCGAAGACATCGTCAAATGAAAAGGTCGGAGACCGAGGAAGATTGAACGATGGCGTATCGCTCGCGAGAGATGACACAGACACGTTCGCCGGCGGCGGTACGTGAGCGCCACAGTGTGCACCAGCGGTATCGTGATCGTCCTGCTCGCTAGGAGCGTCGACAGGGTCCGGCAGGTAGCTCATGGAAGACAAGGGCGAGGACGTTTTCGACGTCTCAGAGAGCGGGGAGATAAGGGGTATGCTTCTAGGGTCCGGATAACTCTCGATGTTGTTCACGGAGAGCCTTATTTTCGCCATAGCGTGGACCTGCATGGATCTGGGTCCGTGGAGGCAGGAAATAACAATGTCAGAGCCGTCTGCATTGGGGCTCGACATGCTGTCCGTCCGCAGCTCGTCGCATAGCATCGGCTCTTGCGTTGTACTTGAGAGAAGAAGCAAATCAGCGTCGCGGATCAGACAATCGAAAGTATAATAGCAATAGCTTACGCTGTGAAGCTGTCCTCGGGGATATAGCGTATAATTTTCATCATCGACGGTGCGATGGATTAGAAGGCAAAGAAAGAGGCCGGCAACCTTGGGTCTTTATAGCTTCAGGAGGTCGTGCTCAAGAAGCTACAGGGGAAGATTACCTTTACGAGTCATGGCATTTAGGTTACGCTCTCAGGACAAGTATAGCATCACCTCGTGCACCATCCCTGTGCACGTATACGGTAATGTACAGGAACCCCATTGTCCTCGTTTCTTTTGAAGATAGTCTATGCTATCCTCTGTCATGATGTCCGTTGCTTGATGTAGAGGCGGGGAAATAAGGAGTCGGAGTGGGCTGTGAGCCCGACATTTTGACGCGGAGTCTGAAATCATGTCTAGCGCCCCGGGCGTCCGTGAGCGTCCTTCAGTTGAGCGACCGCCCCTGTTGCAGGTCTCCATGGTCAGGTTCAAGGTAGGTTCCTCCGATCTTACCGCGAAGATAGTGCATTTATGTACAGAATCGCTGGCTTCTTGTGGAATTCATACCCTATCCCGACGGCCTTCTCTCAACCCCGTCTGTGCAAGCTAAAGAAACGCTCAACGGCAAACTCATATTCGCTGCGCTGAAACAAAGCGTTCTGCAAAACTTTGGGGACTCGGGCTGGGGAGCAGTTGGATACTCGTTGACAGGTGCGTTCCGTGTTGCCTCTCTTCAGGACGCGAGCTCACAACGCAAAGCGCAGTCAAGTACTACTCGCCGACCACACGTCTCTGCATAATTCGCGTGGGCCGCGAACATGTACGCACTGCGTGGGGTGCTCTGACGCTTTTGAACTCCATCGAAGGCCAGCGCGTGATCCCGAACGTCATCCACGTCTCCGGTAGATCATCCGATCCTGCGTCTCATCGATTTTGTCGGCTCACTCACACCAACTAGGGACCATCAAACACGCTCAGATTGCCGCTATAGAACACAATCGAGTTGTTATTGCAAGATATCGGGCGATTGCGAAGACCCCGGGTACGTCTGATGTCCCCCGACCCCAGTCGTTGGCCCAGTCCTCTGCGTTGTGACCTGAGACTGATTACGATGTACCCAGCCGGCTACACTGACTCATATGAAGCTTTCCTGGAGACGACTACCAATGAAATCAACGCCCTCCAAGATTGAAAGCTTGAATGATCACTAGGTTATCCCCCTCCGCCATCGATTGCGTTCACGAGAAGGCAATTCACCTGTGGCCGCTATGGAGTCTGGCTGATGCGCGGTGTCGCGTGATTAGCTTGATGTCGACCACTCCTTCGACGTTCGCTGCTACGAAGATTGGCGGCACCCAAAGTGCCACGGACCTGATTATGAAGATCATTCCTGGATTCACCGGCCCAACTGGCAAGATGGCGTGATTATAGCAGAATATCCTGCCGCCTTAACAGTGATGTGGTAGCATCGATGACCGACGGGCGAGGATGATGAAGTGTATGGCTATTCGTACAATTCTATTGTTTCGTGTTCCTGACTAGAACGCATTGACTAATTCAAAGGGTTCGAAAATGTCCACTGTGATAGCGTGATGTTCGTAGCGTCAAGTATTGCTGAGATGGATACTACCAAGGTATCCATCGCATCGTCCGTTAAACTTCTTGTACCTTGAAATCTCCCATGCCTTGAACTGGAGTGGAAGAATCATCGTGTTTGCGGTCTCCTTTGGTCGTCATGGACGAAGTATCCCTCTCGAGGGATCGCCTGTTGGAACACCTTCAGCACGCTCTGCAATCGGAAGGGTGATCACACTCACTGGTCCACTTGGAATATGTCCATGGGAATGACGAGTGCGCCGTCGTCAGGACCCCGCTGAGTCTCATGTTCCCGAATCGTGGCATTGAATCTCATTTGGGTTAAGAGATTCGTGACAACTCTGGGGCGCAGAATCGCTCAACTGACCTCGGGATGCACGCAGCAAGAAACAGGACTTACTGGTTTAAAGGAGATGAGAAATTGGTCAATGCGCGGAACATCTTGGTAGTCGCGATGACCCTGAATCGATTTAGGAAGCGCAACAAAAATGAGGATGTCTCATGCTCACAATACGAGGGTTCCAAAAGGAAGGAACATCTATGCAGTTTCAGCACCTACACTCGGCATAACACTTATGTACCAACCAGATTCATCGCATCTAAGTCGGGGTATGTGAGCACAGGCGGTAGGAACTGTGATGATACGAAACATTACCGTTCAAATTAACGAACGGAAGGACCTATATTCGTATTGGCTCATTTGGTCATTCTGGTCACGGGAGAACAACCAGAGTGCGTACCACGATCGGAATCTGTGCAAAGATGGCGATCACAGTCCAGAGAATTCCCTGCGACCAGTTTGTGTTATATGTGAGAATAACTGTTACGGCATGCGCGCACCTGCTTATAGATGTAACCCCATAGTTTGCCTGGCTGTTTCAATCGCAAGACACCGATCATCATGATAGTGAGCAGAATGGCGTCCGTGATCAGAACAGCCAGTAATGACCATCTGCTGTCATCAGAGTGATCAAACGCGCAAGTGCTTGTTGACGAGTCCCAATGAATCTCTTTGGGTGCCTGTATAAGAGTGATCAGCACGATAGAAGGCGTGATCATATATCAGTGTCGCGAAAGCGACCTGCCTGAGCAATGCCTGTGTATATTTTCAGTCAGATTGCTTGTTGCCCCTGAGCTATGGAGCAAATCCCACCGAAGCAGGCAAACCCCAGGTGCACCAGCCAGAATGCACAAGAAATTGCCGTGACATCCAGACGGTAGTGCCAGAGAGCAGTGCTGGGTTGAATTCAGGACCACGCATTGTGCGTCGGTGAGATCGCTCACATGCGGACTACGAGCAGCGAGGATGCTGCCGTCACCATGAAATATCCTGAGATCTACATAGATAAAAAGAAATTCAAACCAAAGTGCTTAGATACAAGGCAGGCTACGTACGTAGACCCAAATGAGCCACGGCTGTCCATGAAGTCTCATCAGTTTCTTGTTCGTGTTCATGGAGGGCAAGTACTCGCCACACAGTTCATGTGATAATTTCCATTCATATTGAAACCTATGACCAGGCAGCAGACATTGGCTAAACCCGCCCACCGAACCAGGAGATATTGCTGATATTTATCACTTTCTGGGGAATCATGATGCATGAGACATGACTGGCTCACCAGCATCGTCCACTTCCAAGGTCTCTTGCCGGTGAGTATATCCCAGTCATAGGGCATGGCTTGAACGAACTCCCAGCTGTGTAACAGTTGCACGGCATCTGCAAGCTATCACCATGGGCGTACGTACCAGAACACGCCACATATGAAATGAACGAGATTGATGAGAACCTCTGCGCGTTGTTGGTCAAAATGCGGAAACAGGGCGAATTATTGCGAATTATTGAATTTCGGCCTACGAGTTTGTTTGGCAATAACCGTAGTATCGTGCCAGTTGACCATGTCTTGGAAAGCCGAACTGCAGATTCGAAAGCAAGCGCAATCGCGGGGCAAGGGTTTAGTCGAATGTCCAATCTTGAAACCCGACATAAATACCGTCCGGCTGCCTTGCTCAGCGCCCATGAAGTCATGGTGTGAGTGGTTCTAAGATGCCCGTGTATAGAACTTAGCATGGGTGCAATCCGAGATCCGGCATTCTCTTATTGCCTCACGATGGATTAGGATAAGTTTGAATGCCGATAAGCAATGCACTGCACGCGAAGCGGCAGAAATACACAGTCGCGGACAAAATGCCCGACGGCTGTGGCTGCAATCCATTTCACGGGCTTCAGCGCTACCGGATCCATGGTAATACGGTGAGTCATGAGACGAGAGTCTCGGCCTGCACTTGAAGTCAGGAGTAGCAGAACGAACGGCTTAAGGTCGCGATTAACTCCCCTCTCGTAACACAGACTCAAGCTATCCGGCAACAGCGGAGCACGCTCGAATCTCTTCAAATTGATCTGATCTGTCATTTGGGACCTTCGGAGGAGAGAGTTCATCGTGGTTTGGCGCAACCCGATCGCCATCTACAGCCTTCGTAATTATAGCTTGGCTGAGCGCGTATGGTCCCGCACCGCGACTGCCACGGTGTGGTTCGTATCATGATGAGAATGCATAGATAAAGCGGCATCGTATGCCGCGTCCTGCTTGGACGTCTGAAAGCTCGACGCCCACGCCACACAGCCTTCGACAAGTCTTTCGACGTCCATCCTCGTGTGTCCAGAGCGCAGGCAGATGCGCACACGACCCGCTCCGCGTGGAACCGTCGGCCAAGTTATGGGCCGGGCTACGATGTTGCACCGCGTGAGTAGGAAGGTGGCCAGCGGTCGGGGATGTGGGGTCATGAGCGGAATGATGGGTGGGGGCGGATTGGAAGCATAAACCGCCATACCGCTGGAGATGGGAGTAGGTCCGCCAGGTGACGAATGCGGAGCAGAGGAGAGGTGCGGGGGAAGCGATAAGACGTTCATTGGTACGTTTCGGAGGCGCTGACGAAGGAGGTCGATCATGTATTGAGATAGATCGAGCAGCCTGACTGATAATGCTTCAGCGGTACCATCTTCGAGTAGGTCGAAGGCACATCCGGTCGCTATTATGTTCGGGTGGCTGAGTGCGGTAGTATAGATTAGGGGCCGGGCATAGTTGACGAGGTATGATCGAACAAGGGGAGTGGTCAGCAGGACGGCTAAGAAAGGTATCATCGTCAGTTCGTAAACTTGAAGAGATTGGGGCAGTATTGAACGCACCCCCAGTACTCGCCAACGCCTTCCCAAACGTGTGTAACCTCGCCAGAACGCACGGATGTCTCTCCAGCCCATATGCCGCCAGCATTCCCCGTCCTTGTGGCCCGTATACTCCCGTGGCGTGTGCCTCATCGACGATCAGGTATGCATTTCCGGCCGGAAACATATGCCCGAGGAGGTCCACCACCTGCTTCAATGGCGCAAAGGTTCCGTCCATGCTGTAGAGGCTCTCCACTGCCACAAACATGCTCGCTTCGCCCGTCCTTAACTTCTCCTTCTGTTGAAGCAAGGAGTCCAGCTTCTCCTCCAGGGCTTGAAGATCATTGTGGGAGAAAGTGATGAAAGAGTCCTTGACGCGAGACGCGCGTACCCCGTCGTGCACCGATGCGTGGATATGTTCGTCCACCACGACGCAGTCGCCGGGTTGAGGTACGCAAGAGAAGAAGCCGACATTGGCGTCGTAGCCCGAGTTGAAAAGCAAGGAGCCATCGGCTCCTGCTGCCGTGTTGAAGAATGTCCCGAGACGCGCTTCTAGTGCTGCATGCGCAGGAGGATTCGACAAAAGGCGGGAACCACCGGAGCCAAGTACGAGCGGCGCGCGCTGGCATTCGCGTATAAAGGAGGCGCGAAGGTCCGCAGAGGTCGAGAGGGAGAGGTAGTCGTTGGACGAGAAGTCTAGTGGTGCTCGTGGAGAGATCTGATCGGTCGATGGGGTGCGATCTTCCGTTGGCACCGGGTCAGGTAGACGGCGTTTGATAGCACGTTCCTCGCGCGACTTCAACGCCTTGGTCAGGTGGCGTTCCAACGCAGGCATGTTCGAGGAAAGCGACGAATTGTTGAGCGTGTATGGTATTGACAACAAACAGCCGCGTAAATTATCACGGCGAGTCGCGATTTTGGGGATCGGGCCTTGATCGGATTTGGCCGCTCGCTGCGGGCATATTGCTGGGTTAGAACGGGAGTCAGAGAAGCATAACCAGGGGGTGACAGTGACCATATGGACTTACTGGACGCGGGGTGTTTTACAGCAGGACTGGATGGACGTCGCCCCAATCGTCTGCAGGTATACTCTAGATAGCTGAAGGGACGTCCGGGATGCAGTTGCGCTCGGGTAAAACCAATACACGTGAGCTTTCACTGTCCGCTGCGCCCAACCGACGTCCGTGAGGGTGTTTGATACCTTGCTCAACGTCTTTGCATCCATGGGTTGGTTTTCATCCTCAAAGCCCCAACAACCTGACGCTGCATCGCGGAGCGACAGACAAAAGTGCTGGGACAGTCGCGACGCCTACTTCAAATGCTTAGACGCGGCCGGTATTCTGACTCCTGGAGAGGAGACCGGTGCTCGATGTAAGGCGGAAAACGAGGTGTACGAGCAGAACTGCGCGAAGAGCTGGGTGAGCTCATGCTACGTTTTTGCATCAGGGGCCGCAGGCCGAGATGTTCTGACGCTGGGCGCAGATTGATTATTTCAATAAAAGGCGCGTGTTGGCCGAGCAGCAAAAAAGTGTCCTGATCCAGGCCGACAATCAACGACACTCTGCGCGGAAGTAGCTGCGGATGGTCGAATGGAGCTTTGACGCTGATATCACGCCCCGTAGCCGGTTCGTTGACTATCTTATGCTCACGTCTTTCCTCGGCTGATCCTCCGACTTGCTAGCCCCCGCTTTCTGGGAGAAATAGTACGCTTTGCGCTTGCTCGACGTGAAGCTGTCACACTGCCTAATGCTGGCTGTTGGCTTATACGGCACATCCCTACACGGTTCGACACTGTATGCCGTTAATGTATGATAAATCCCGCTAATACACACATGATCTGGGTAAGCCTCCGGCTCACAAGATTCCTTCGGCGCAAGCATTTGTCTCTCTCTTCCACCCCAAACTCAACTGCGACGTGCACCAACAGTTTCCCAGATGCTAATGCCAGCCAGTGCATCCGACCCATTGAATCTACGCGAATTCCAATCACCATAGCCATCGAGCCACGTTGCGCGCTGGTGCTTTGGCCATGTGTATATGTATACGAACTGCCTCAATGGAGCTTGGTCCCCAGTTCATCAGCTCCCGCAGTATCCAGAGATATCTTGAGAAGACCGTGGCAGTTGCGACAGCGCCTCTGAACAATATTCCACGCCACAACATCCCCTCCACCATCTTTGATCGAAAACTCCTTTCTCTCACCGCACTTTCACCGACCTCGGATCGCGCGCCGAACCCATAATATGCTGCATAGCCGCCCATCGGTCGGTTTTCCATCATCTAGAGTTCCCGATTCTGTGGGACGGCCATCTCAGCTCCTTCTCAATGCAATCTGCACAAGCTATTGCTGATTCCTCGAATTCAAATAGACCCATGCTTTCGGAACTGCCGTTGCTTGTCCTATAATCCTCCCCGGCCGATTCTCAGCACATGACGACAGAAGTGTTCCGTGATAGCTGTGGGCAAGCTCAGATGGCTCGAGCCTGGACGGGGTTGATGGTGGTGGCTACGCTCTTCCCTCCATCATGTCCGCCTCTCCTCAGCCCGCGGACGCTCAGCAGGACGGTCAGGTCGAAGGCGGCTCGCAGGTCGGCCACTCGCGCCTGCTCTCGTCCGGCTCGAAGGACGCGGACGTCAAGGCCAGGCCAGCCCCGCTCGAACCCAACCGCGACCCGCGACTCTTGTTGTCGGGTGGTGGAGAGTCGCCGACTGTGCCGGCGGTAGCGTTCGTTGCACCTGTGTCGCGCTCGTCGAGTACGAGCAGCCATGGGCGCCCGCGGAATCTCGTGACGAGCATCGGTAATGGTCTGCGGGCTTTGAGTCCTAGGAGATGGGCGTCCTACAGGTCGATGAAGAGCGGGAGCACGACAACCCAGGGTCAAGTTCGGGAGAGCCTCCAGTCGCATCTCGTGGAATCGGCGACGACAACGATGTACAGCGATAGTCCTGCGCTGAAGACGAAGTAAGTTTCCGACCGCCTTACGTGGACATCCTGAGCTGACCGCGCCTTTACCAGATTCAGCTCCAACATCAGGGCTCCGTCGCCCATTCAAGAGTTGAACTCGCCACTAACGCCGACGTGGTGCTGCATTGCTTACTTTCCCAAGCCTTCCCATCGTGAAGAAGACCGTTCCTTCCTTACCGTCTCTCCCGGTCCCAATGCGACTTTCAACGTTCCTTACCGGCGGGGAATCGACGACCCCACCGGCGCAGCCACGCGCCTCCCGGCTATCAGCCAGCGACGCCCGACCCTGCACAACCGAACCACCCACCCCGCCACCCACCTCAGCCAAGCACACCATCACCGCAGCCTGGAACGTGAGCGCGAGCGCGCGCAGTCGCATGGGAGGTGGGAATCCGAGCGCCACCGCATGCACCATCCGTATCAGCACAATCCGAAACAAGACGCCCACAGCAGATCGGAACACGCCATCGCGCCTTCTGCGTCCACCTCGGCCCGACATCGCGAGGAGCGGCCTCCCGTGATCGACCCCGAGCTGCTGCACCCGTACTCGACGTCCACGGCGCCTTCGCACGCGATCTCGCGCCCGCGCCCGCTGCCGCGCATACCCTCGGCGCCGCACATGCGCCGCAAGGTCTCGTTTCCCCACCAGGACGACGCGCGCGAGGGGCAAGGCAGTCGCTCGTCGACAGGCGAGAAGGAACCCGATCGCGCGCAGCCGTCGAACTTCCGCGCGACGCAAGGCGGGGCGTACCTGTACGTCGGTCCCGATCGCGAGCGGGGACGAGAGCGGGATAAGGAAGCGGGCCAGAGCAAGCGATTCTTGGATATGGACGACCACGCGCGGAGGGCTGCGGCCGCACTGGAGAACATGGACGACCCGGAGGCGGCGAGGAAGATCGGTTACGACGACGATTGGAGGCAGGCGGACTGGATGAAGGGGTTGCATCCGTATGCTGCTGCGGGTAGCTGGAGTTCATTGACGAGAGTCGTTTCCGGGGAGGAAGGCTGATCGCGGGCTTTTCCCTTTTACATATGGGGTCAACCGGGATCCTGGGACGAATGTCCTTGGGCACGTCCCACCATTGTTGTTGTATGGACTATCTTCCCTTTGCTCGTTTCCAGGCACTGGATTGTGGCACCATGAACTGTCAGGGGCTGAGCGCCTGCTTATAGTACACCGTCACGCATCATGAATTACACGTTACCACGTACTCTTACATCGACGGGAACCAGGCTGAGCAGAGTGTCCATGGCTGATGCGCGCTGGGAACGTACCACACAGAGCCATTAGACGGGACAGTGTTCTTGTAGGAACGCTATCTGTGCATCTGTAGCGCGCCGATGCTGGGGCCGACCCGGATAAACAGCGAAATGGTCTATTCGCCACGTCAGCGCCGCTCTGCAGCATCCGGGAGTCCAAGAACGTATGATAGCAGACCTCCTGGTACGGCCTCCAGCTTGGCATACTTCGACTTGTGCGCTATCTCGACAGCTCCGGACATGGCGCACAAGTTGTCGTCTACGCAGGGGATGATGAGCGTCTGGCACGCCAGCCCGGATGATCCGGCCGCCGGGCTATAGAAAGGCAATTCGAAGAGCGACGAAGCTGAGATCTGCAACAATAACGGACGTCAGGGTGCTTGCCGAACGATGCGGCGAAATGATACCTCGTTGGGAAATACGGTATCGGTGCCCAAAAGAGCTTGCATCCCTTTCGAACTCCCCGGTTGATTGAGGAATCCGACTTGACCGGGTTCAGCACAAGCATTGATGTAGATAGGGCGTCCGCCTTTGACGAGGGAAGTTAGAACGACGCTGCGTCGAAAGAGCCGAGGGAGCTATGCAGCTCACCGAACGCCTGCCTGAGCGCATCCCATATCCCAAGAGCGAGAGTCTTGATCGAGGTTACGGATAATTGCATTTTAGGCCCGACGCCGGTGTAGGGGCATTGGGCAATGGACCCTATCAGGGCCAGCCTGGGTTCGCAAGCCAGGGATATGGCGTGGCCACCTGTCCATCCCGACTCAAGTTAATGTCGACGTCTGAGAATGCACACTCGTGAACCAATTCACCGGAAAGGCTGGTCCCCCATACGACGATTCGCTGGGGATCTAGCGGATACTCGGACTGCGTGCGACACCACTTGATCACGACGCGGTAGTCCTCGAGCTGCTCGGATATATAGAGGACGTGCCGGGGTGTTCCGTCTACGGTAACGAAGTCCGTCAGAGGTAGTCACAGAGCCATTGCAAATGATGTGCACCTGAAGAACCCCACCTTCGGTAGTCAAAAACGACACAAGCGTATCCAAGTGACGCGAACTCGCGGGCATAGGCGGCGAGCCCCATCGTCTTGTTAGCGCTCAGACCGTGCGCCCTTGGTGACAGTCTTAGTCAAATGTGCATCGGTCCTTAGAACTTGGTGTCACATTATGATGACTGGACGTTGACGAGAGTCAGTGTTAGTAGGGAGGTACACCCAGGTGTCGAGGTTCCATCCCGGGGACTTGGAAGGAACTTTGACTGTCGTCATGGCAGATAGCTGGTCCCTTGGTATGGTGGTCATGGTTGAACGTGCCTAATATTGCGTGGGGCTGAACACAGACGCGATACACGGCGGCGACCGAGTTCCGTGCAGCGACCCGGGGAGATATGAGACGAGGAGATGTTGCGAGTGAAGCGAGTCACAGTTTCTCCAACAAATTCATGCACTCTCGCATGAGCACTGAAGACAAGGAGCTGTCTGACAGAAGTATATATGTACGATGACCTCGCTATGTTCTGCGTGCGAAATCCCCCACGTTACATAGGCGCCCAGGCCCCAGAACACGACGAGCGAACACGCCGGGCACCTACTTACCACCTGACGTCCGCTGTTATCTCTCCATACTGGCGCTGGCGCTCTTTCGAAATCAGAATCCTCGCAATGGACGGCGAGTTCGCGGGCCATAGCCCTCTATCGACGCCGGTGCATTCACATCCCCTCGCGCTCGACGCGCCGTCGGCTAGCGGTCGTCGGACGCGCCATCGCAACAGCAACGCGACGGAGATATCGACGACGTCGACTCCGAGCAGGCGTGGCAGCAGTCCGCCCACTACGAGATCGCACCTCCTGGACAGCCCGAACGAAAGGGGCCATGCACACGACGGAACCGGACCCACTTGGGACGGAAGCGTGCGCAGGTACGCGAAGGAGAAGCGGAGATCGCTGAACGTGACTCTTGGTGACCGCAAGGCATCATCGAACTCGCTGTCTGTGCTCTGGGAAGGCCAGCGAGAAAGGTCCGGCTCGCATCGTGCGCCGCCTCTGATCGTCGTCGGTCCGTCTCCCGAGAAACCGGTCAGGAGCGATACAGGTGCTGGCACGGCTGTGGACCCGATCCTTGCGACTCGTTGGCACGAATACTCGGACACTGCGATCCAATCGGCCGTCTCGCAGCTTACGGCCTCATACTCTCCCGCCGATCCCAAGTCCTCGTCTCATCCATACCACGAAGTCGTGCGGACGCTCAGCGCGGCCGTGCACAACCTTACGAAAGCTAGGCTTGAACTAGAAGAGACGAGGAAGAAACTGGAGGAGAAGGAGCGTAGCATGAAGGAAAGGGCACAAAACCTCGTGGGCGAGCTGAGAGGCGCCGAGAAGGACGTCGCGAGGAGGCTGTTGCAGAGTCTATTCACTGACGACGATGAGGAGAAGCATCAGGTTAAGAGGCAGCAGAGTCAGATGGTATGCGATTCCTGCCATGACATGGTCGTTCGTTTCTAATGGGCCTGCGTAGTCTATAACAGAGTCTCTCACCGAGGCCATTGAGGACGAAGTGCCCATCTCTCGCTCCCATCCGGATCAACATACCATACCGCCGCCTCCATTCTCCCTCACGTCATCTGATCGACGCAAGGAAGGAAACTTTACGCCGACCGATTCCGGTCCTGCCGACGCTAGATCCATCACCTCCTACTTCTCAGGGAGAGGTGGCGGAGAAACTGCATCCGTAGCGTCCGGCGATCACGAGAGCTCTTCTCAGCGTGCAGAGAAGGACAAAACCGACAAGGCGTTTATCGGAGATTGGATGGGCACATGGTGGACGAAAGGCAGAACTGCGAGAGACAGGTCGGCCTCATCACGATCTGCAGCCCCTTCCAATCCCACTACCACGTCGTCGCCGAGTCGGGATCCATCGGTACCTCCACCATCTTCCGAGGACGAGCCGTCCGTTCAAGAGATTCTAGCCCAGCAAGACCTCCAGGACGACCCTGGAGCTACCGTCACCTCGAAACCCACCCGGAGCTCCAAACCTTCAGAACAGAGACGGAAAGCGAGAAGCGTCTTTGGGACTCTCAGTTTTGGGATGCTTGGCTCAGCCACATCCACCTCGGGTTCGGGTCAGGGTCAGTCCACCAAGAAGCCAGCCCTCGCTCCGGCATTGTCTTCCAGATCTGTTCCGTCTCTCGCCGGCGTCACCGTGTCTCCAGAGGACGACGGAAATGAGGAGTTAACGCCAACGACCCGTCCCCGTCCTTTCAGTGCGCCGAACACCGCTCAGAGTATCCTCCTCGACTCCCCGGAGGATTCCACCGTATTCACAGAATCTCAACCCCCTTCAGCTCCAGCCGAAGGATCTTCGAACAACACTGGCGCCGAATCAATCATGTCCGCCGAGGTTCGCTCTACAGGCGAAGCTTCTTCGATGGTTGCAGGCGAGAAACTTCCTCAGGGCTCCTCCTTACGCGCCATAGTGCATGCGACGCGCGTCATGACAGCCGATGCGTCCAGCATACTCGCGGACGGCGGGGCGGAAGCAGGGCCTTTGATCAAGGAGCTGGCCTTCGCGCTAGTCTCAAATGCGAGGGCGGAAAGCGTCACGCTGAGAGAGAAACTAAGGGACCGCAAGCCGAAATCGCGCCAGTCAGACGTCCACGCGCGAGAGACTTCCGTTCCGACGGCCGCGCCTCCATCCTCATCGCCCACGTCGGAGCGGCCGCCTGCGGGGAGGAGGAAGAGCAACCCCGGGTTGTCGCTCGCTTCGGATGCTGTCAATGCTCCTGCATCCACGACGAAACGGAACAGGTCAAACCTCTTGAGCGACGCGTTTGGCTCCGCGAGTCCTATGTTTGGGGACTTCTTCGCGCAGCAACAGAGGCGGATCAGCAGCGTCGTCGACGCGGTGCAGAAAGGCACGGGCGTGCAGGTAGTCGAGACCCAGCATCCGTCCGCTTCACAAGCGGGTGGCGGTGGCGGGCTGCAGGTTGCGCCGGCTAGACCGCCAGGCGCACGATCGGTTGCGCTGGAGAGCATCATACCCGAAGCCTTCAAGCCGCCCACCCAATATCTTTCGCGCACCTATACTCCGCTCACAGCGCGCGACTTTCGGGCGTCGATACCTTTGCCGAACTCGGCCGTCTCTAGGTTGTCTATCTACGGTGGACAAGATCAAGAGCCGTTGACCGACAGATACGGGTTTATGTACGACGTCAGCGAGTACGACCTGCTCTTGTTACTCAGGGCGAGGGAGTGCGGGAACTCGGCACCTGCATGTCTGACGGGGGTAAAGATTGCGGATAGGAGAGAAGATGAGGACTGGGATGGAGAGCAGGAGGAGCAGGGGCAGATTGAAGTCATCAGAGGGGTTTGCGACTGCGGAGGGGAAGGCATCGTACCTGGGGACGGGATGGGAAACGAAGGCCACGATGGGGATTCGATATCGACCAGGAGCGTCAAATCCCGGACCAGCTCTCCGTCGAGGGATCGACAGCGATCTTCTACCCTTTCTGGATCCGCATCCACTGCGCCGACGTCGGTCCCGTCCTTGAAGTCGGACACGTCCGTGCTCTCCCTGGAGCCTGCTACGCTGAGGCACACGTGTGCCGCCACAGTGCGCAAATTGCTGGGTCAGTTGAAAGACATCCACGACCAGCGCCAGGTGAACAGGAGGAAGGAATGGGACGTGTTCGTACGAAGGCGATCCAAAGCGAGGTCAAGCAAAAGTTCGAACGCCAACGCCCTTTCGTCCCAGTCAGGGAGTGGAGCAGCTGCTGTGCTCGGTCTGGAGCGAGACCTTGACGAGGAGGAGCTTGAACACTCCGAAGGGCTGATTGGATTCGCGCAGCTGGGCTTGTCGGGCAGCAAGGACGAGAAGAGAGAGCTGGAGAAGTTGGTGCGCGGCGGGATTCCGCTAGTCTACAGGAGCAAACTCTGGTTCGAGTGCTCGGGGGCGCTGGAGATGCGGGAACCGGGACTGTTCACAGACTTGCTGGCTGGACAGGGATCGAAAGACGTGGAAATGGAGATCGAGAAGGATGTGGGCCGGACCATGCCCCTAAACGTCTTCTTTGGCGGCGATGGGGCAGGAGTGGATAAGCTGAGGCGCGTCCTCGTCGCGTATAGTCGGTGAGCTCCTGAACTGTCTTTTGCCCATCCGATTGTCGCTCATGCATCCGCTTATCTCCAGGCGTAACCCGTCTGTTGGCTACTGCCAGGGGATGAACCTCGTCACATCCACCCTTCTCCTGGTGCATGCCGATGAAGAGGAAGCGTTTTGGGTTCTTTCTGCCATCATCGAACGCATCCTTCCCGAGGACTTTTTTGCTCCGTCTTTACTGCCGTCTCGCGCATGTCCGCTTGTGCTGCTGGACTACGTGAAGGAGTTCACGCCCAAGTTGTCTGCCCACTTGCAGGAGCTGGGGGTGGACCTCGCAGCTATATGTTTTTCGTGGTTCTTGTCTTTATTCACAGATTGTTTACCTGTGGAGGTAAGCTTTTCATACGTTCGTCTATCTCGGCGAAGTCCCAAGCTGACGCGCAAATCCAGACCTTGTTCAGGGTCTGGGACCTGTTTCTCATGGACGGGCTCGATGTCCTGTTCCGTATCGCGCTTGCGATCCTCAAGAACAACGAGCAAGAACTACTGGCGTGCAGATCGGTGCCTGCTCTGTACGTTGCATTGGAGAGCCTACCGACGCGCATGTGGCCCGCCGACAAGCTCCTCGCAGTACGTTACGCGCCGGTTCTCTCTTTATCATCTGTACTTACGGGAGTCCATAACAGCAGGAGATGGAGCTACGTTCGTCCATAGGCCATGCAGACCTAGTGAAGAGGCGAAATGTGCGCGTCGAGGAATTACGCAAACTTATGACTTGAGGAAGCTGCTGTCTCTCCACCAAGCTCGTCACTGTCCCCATCTGCCAATCTAATGCACGTGGGTTTGCGCTACTCAGATGCTCACTCAACTGAACCAGATATCTCTTCTAGGTACTGTAAATCGCTTTCGTTATGCTTCGTTCGTTGTCCGCGTTTCTCAGCTCGCACTCCGTTGTTCGCCCTACACATGCATAATTGCCACCATCCCGGACGTCATCACGAAAATGGATTCTCACTTCTGTATTCTATATAATCCTCCTTCTGCCAATCCACCGTGTTTCATGCTTTCAGATTTTCCGTCTAACGCCGAACGCCAGCAGCTCTTGGATGGGTAGCGGACTCTCCCATTCATACCGCCCAATCAATCGAGATGACGCTGATCAAGTGTATCTGCAAGTATGCTTGTTGTCGTTTCACTGACGTTTCGGCGAGGCCTAGATAACATGAACTCGCTGACTGCCCATAAAAGAAGGGATATTTGCCCGAGCAAGCAGGCGGTGTCAACTGTAAGTCCCAAATGCAGGATCAAATGTAATGATCCATACACTACTCACACGATTACACCGCGACGCAGGGCTCTTTGTTTGCTCCCTATCCGAGTGGTATGATAATCTCGCAAGCGAGATGACCACGTTCGTGGCCAGCCTTTCCCTACATGCTCAATAGCAATGGGTGTGCCCACTTATACCCATGCACGATGGCGTACCTCAGATGCTTCGGAAGAGGCTCGACAAAAGTCAAATGGGAAGGTTGTTCCACAAACCGATGCCCTTGGGACTTCTCCGAAGAGGGAGATGTCTTTCCGCTGCTGAGTTTTCGGGAGGGACCGGTATGTGCCATCCATTCAATCTAAGTGCTGCCGCACTGACGGCTTCACATAGAACCTGTAGGGCGCTGTTCGCGTCCGTGTACTGGCCTTCATCGTGAAGCTCGCCGATCAAAAGCTGATGTGTCCTCCTTCGCCGGTCATGATGCCCGCGGTCTATGGGAATGGTCCCATGGCACAATACTTCTGGCTCGACATTGAGCCGTTCGGTAGTGACGATCGGCACGTTCGCTCGGAAGGTCTGGTTTAGGAAAAGCGGACCTGCTCCGTAGCATTGGCCGAATTTCAATGATTTCGCATTACGGCTACCGGCGCCTGTGCGGTGCGGCGGTACAGCGGACACTGCAATCTAGGATATGGGGCGCGTGAGTCCTCAAGTAAAAGCTGTACTCGATTCGTGACGTATTCTTATTTATATACCATAGTGCCTCTCAACATCAGGCGGTCCAAAAACAGCGCTGTCTACTGATGTTCGATCTATTCATGCTTGCTTACGATAGACCGGACTTGAGAGAGCGCGGCCTTCGGCCAGGCGCATCCGCACATAGACCGCAACCTTGTAGGTTGCTTCCATTGTGTGGCTCAGTCGTATGTTCAGGGCAGCGTCCCGTTGAAAACGGAGTCCCGCTCCCGTCGTGGCCCATCACTAGTGCCATGGACATACGGCGGCGTAAGGTGACATGAAGTCTACAGTCAATCGCGCGCCAAGAGCTATTTTCGTCAGAGGATGATGGAATTATGCGTCGGAGTACGTAAGGATTCCACTCTACTGGGAGTGCCTGTACCCAATTGAGCTTTTTCAGTGCACTCCGGAAGATCGCAAATACGCGTCTTGTCCTATGTTACTCCTGTCCATTGCCCTATGGAGAACGGAAGTCATTCAGATCAAATATGGGACGGCGTGTCTTCGTCCATCGCCGCCTGGACGTAAGGGCCGTACCCATGAACGGCACCTGACCATGAAATCAAGTACTACCGTTTTCCTGGCCTGGTCCACAGAGCCTTAAGGAAGGACCGCGATCTTTTCTTTCGGCCCGCGCGTACTCAAGTAGATTTGGCTGCGATGCCTTTTGGTCCCATCGGTGTTATTATCACCGCGCCGGGCAACCCATTCTCGTAGTACTTAAGGCCCGCTGAGAACGAAGGGTCAGTAGCATTCCTCTGGAACGCATCGAGTCAGCACCATGTTCACTCTCTTCAAACTGATGTCGCTTGCCTCCCTTGCGGCGATTGCTTCGGCCGAAACGCACACCATCGTGTTGGTGAACAAGTAAGTGTATATTGACGTCGACGGTTCTCGGGATGATCATCGTGAGCGCCCAATATCGCAGCTGTGGATTTGGCACGGTGACTTGCCTCTCCTCGTCATGATGGATGCAATCATACTTACACGCTGACAGCCCACTCTGCTATTACCTGGGAACGATCTGGTATCTACAGGAGCACCGTTCACCGTCAATGGCCCCATTCGAGGCGCCATTGCGTAAGTCAGAATCGTTTGCAAGGCATCCAGGCTGAATTTGCTTTCTCGCACAAGATACCTTCAAACTGGTGAATATCATTATCTCTATATTGTGTGTTGCGCGACACCACTTATGCGAGCTATAGGCGGCTGCGGCGAGAACGGCGAAGGTTGTACTTTGGTCGAAGCTACGCTATTGGACGGAGGGAGTGCTGCTGACATCTCGGTGAAGGATGCACCTGTGACCTCATGAAATTCTTTTTTGACGGTAGTTCTGTAGCTCATTCCACCGTACGCACTCCCATGGTAGTTGTACATCGTCAAGAGCTCCACTGACCACGACTACAGCCACGCGTTTTCCGTCACGAGCGGCTTTGGGTAAGATACAGTATCGGAATTTTCATGCGCTAACGAGGTTTTCACCAGATTCTTCGACGGATGTGATGGGGCTGGGACAGACTGTGAGTTTTGACCTATCTCATCTATTTGGGGTTCTTAAACTTCTGCGCATAGGCACCAATTCCGGATGTCCCATGGCATTCCGCCAACCAGATGATACCTTTGCTATCGTGGGCTGCGGCGCTCCCTCCGTAAGTCACAGATCCTGCAATGCAGTCAGGTCAATTTCTAACAATCGCTCATATTTACACAGGTCAATCTCGCCATTACTTTCTGCGACTAGTGTCTGAACAAGTGAATGGCCATGGGGACTGCTATGGCGTTCGAGCCTCCAGAAAATGGAAAAGAAATTGTGTACGACTAGACAGAGGGGTACGAGGCTGAGTGATACAGCATTCCATGAAGGTGATGCCGCTTTTGATATGGATGATTCCTGTGGTCGATCGAATTCACTGTATAATGCATATGGATGTGCTGTCCCGTGCCTACCTAGCACTCCTTATGCGAGCAAAATGATACCTGTCCACATCTGGAGCAACAGCAAAAATACACGATGCGCGTATAACATTGGAGTATACCGGTACTGAGTATAGTCACAGTGTTCACGCACCTACCTTAGTAGCAGTGAGCTACGGTGGCAAGAATATCACATGAAAGTGCATTACGGAGTGCGCGCCACACGGGCGGAGGAAGTCAGATAACCTCTGCTACCATCATCCGGTCCTCCCCTCCCCGCTCAGATCCCGTCTTTTCTGGGGGACTGGCGGCTGCTGAATTGCAGGAATGCAACAATAAACGTATATAAGTCCTCCACGACCATGACTCCTGCCAGTACCAGCTCAGGAGGAGGATCAACGTCGACAGAGGGCCCCGCGCCGTCCATCGGTATCTCCGGGAGGGCGTATTCGCTGCTAAACTCCCTTGCACCCTTCTCAACGCTACATTTTCCAACATTAGAGGATACCCATCCTGGTGACATACCCTCACCTCCCGGTTCGGCGACTATTCGCCCAGCACATAGACGTTTTTGGTCCCAAGGCCCCTCATCATTGCCAGGCCGTATTTATCCACACCTTACGACGAGCCACGTCATGAACCAAATCAACGCATCTCATGTTTTGAGCACTCGGGGAGCAGGACACGAAACGGAGACACGAGGAAAGCAGAAGGCTCGCGCGGACGACGGTGACCGCGGAGTCCTGAGTACGAAACATGTAGAACAGGCTCTCCGGCTAGCAAATCAGGCACTGGAGGAAGATGCAGCTACAGAGAGGGAATCGGAAAGAGAGTTCGTCGGTATGTGGCCATCTCTGTGGCCAGTGTATCGCTTACCTACATGATTCTCCAGCTGATCTGTACTTTTCGTCTCTGGATTACTTCCTCGGCGCATGCAAACCCTCATTATTTACTTCTCTCCCTGGACCAAAGCGCAAGGAGCTGGTTGCAAAGGCGTCCGTGTTGTTACATTCCTTGGAAGACCATACTTCATCAGATGACTCCGAGTCGACGCCATCCCCGGACGAAATTCGTCAACCATCATCTTCTGGCACTCCTCCGGGTGGACTGAATGACCTCCGGACGTATGTTATGAACTCGCTTCCCGCCATCGTCCAAGGCCGGCGTCCAGTGACACCGCCCGAACATGTCAACCACAGCCAAATCGCCGGGGAAACACCGAGTGCAGACCAGGTTGTGCTCCATGCGCTGTGTACTTGTGGACGATCGGTTTGGATACCGGTCCCTGATGAATTAAGGTCCGTTAAGGAGGTCGACGGGCATCCCAAGACGTGGTCTGAGCTATGGATTGCGTTCCTCGTCTGGGCTGCCATAGCTCTCAAGCAGTCGCCGGTATGTGCTCTGCGGTGCGGCTTGGGAGACTGCGTTGACGAATAACACTTGTGACAGATACCCACTCTCATTGGAACCGCGTTCACCGCCCTGTTGTCCTTCCTGGTCTATCTGAATGGCCGCTTTCAACTTGGAGTGTGCTTATTCTTAGCGTTCAATTGGGTCCTCGAGCGCGCCGTGGAGACGGACAGACGATACCAGGTCCATCAACGCCTCGCCGAGCTTGTCAGCGTGCTTTTTGAGGGCATGGCCAGAGCCAGTGTCGCATTTGCAGACGCTCGTCGATCCGAAGACCGAGATCAAGAATGGCAGCCACCGGAGTCGACGTTAGTCCACTCGCAACGCTCACCCCCTCCCAAGACCTCGACTTCAGTCCCCATATCTGGACGGGGCATATCTTCTGCCTCGTCTTCGTCGCCACCTCGGGCTACTCCAGCGCCAATTGCGATGACATCGACAACCTCCCTCCCCTTTACGCTGCCCGTTGTCCCGCTGTTCGGGCTATCAGGCATTGTTCGCCGCTCAATACCGCGACGCGGGACTTCACCTCCCACACAACGTATGTCGGAGCAACCTCCGCCCTACGATGTTCGAGATATACGATAAGCAAGCACCCAACGACAGTTTTGCTTTATGATATTAGACCCTCGCCCACGCGACTGATATCGGACTGTTATCAGTAGAGTTGCCCTTCATGTAGAGATTGTAGTGCTCATGTCGTGGTACCTAGCTCTCCTTGCATACTCGTCACCGGTAGCTCTGCAGGTGAGTAGGTGGGTATGTACTCGCAATCGGTGCTCTCTCACGATACTCGGGCTGCGCCAGTAGGAGGCGCGTGGAGATAATGGGCTCAAGCCTCAGGCCTCAGCACCAATATCCCCCCCCCCTTTTTTTTTTTTGGTTGGGGCGGCTGTGTTCGAGCGAAAAATTGTGATTCCAGTATTGTACTTACGTGTGTCAGGAGGGGCACTGTAAAGGGAAACGGCAGTGAATTACATCCAGACAATTAGACTACTTTCATACTCCGTCATCGAGCAGGATCAGATGTGCCACGCGCCTGCGCATAAAACCATTTCGCATACTATACTCGCGGTGACAAGAGGACCGACAACGATGTTCAAAAATCCGTGAATCAACGAGGCGGCAATGCGATAATGTTTATGCTATTGCATCGTGGAGACAGCCTTTTAGCTACTTCATCATAGCGATGCTGTCATACCAGAAGCGGTATGAAAGTCCATACCGATGAAGGTAATACAATTCTTGATTCTTGATGAACATGTTCTTCCTCAACGAGAAAACGGCACCGTTGGTGACATGAGAGTTGTTTGGCAGACGATAAATAGCGAGACCCTTGAAACCTTACCGGCCCCACCTCGATACTGTAACGGTTTCGCGTATCTTGCGCCGCCGTTATGTAGTTCTTGAACCGCGTCCAGGTCCTGGCGAGTTCCGGGCTCGGTAGTAGTCGTAGTCTTGCTGGTCGTAGCCAGGTGTCGGATATACCGTGCGCGTCAGTCCGCGCGGCTTTACACTGAGGGGGGCCTTTCCTTGAAAGCCCCAAGAAGTCCCCCGTAAGAGGGAGTCGCGTACTTCGCAGTTCGTCCACACTAAAGGGGACGAGCGAAGGCCGCGAGAGTAAGAGTAAGATGATTATGTACGATACAGCCGCGCGTTGCAGTACTACGCGCTACTTCTATATTAGGTAGCCCGGCGTCGGGGCGGGGAAGTACGTGCAGGGCTACGCAGAGCCGTCACAGATACTCCCGACTGCCCCTTTCAAGATAAGCATATTGCCGGGCGTCGGAAGCCAAGTAGGAAATGTGCGAAACCTCGTGGCGGCGGTGTGGTACTTAAATGCGTTTTCATCAGCCCGGTGTCCGAGTGAAGTTAGAGCGAGTTCGCACGAAAAGGTAGTTTCCTCGTCTGTGTTTGGTTCGTTTTGGCACCGACTGCCTTTTCGCGCAAGCGTCTGCTCTTGCATCGATTTTATACGGACATTTATCACACGGGACTATTGTTACGAACCCGATGGGGGAAAAGGGATGCTGGGTGGGCGAACATCACAATTTGGATAGCACTCGCTCCTGTACTTTCTTGAGTGCCTCCATTCCCGGCTCCACTCTCGGCCATCCAACTCCCAAACCCTCGGTCTCGTTGGGCTTCGGAATAACATGGAAATGGACATGGAAAACGTGCTGCACGGATGTCAACTTCGTCCCATACACTACTAATAATGTCTGACCTGATGCGCAATCTTCCCATTGTTCTGTCGTAAAGATGTCAGAGCAGCACGTGTTCCAGTATGTACAGACACACTTGGAGCACGTTGTAGTCCTTGACTTCGAGGGCAATTGCGATTCTCTTTGCAAGAGGTAAAATCTCCTCGAGGTATTCGTTTGGAACTTCGTCCATTGTGTTGCAGTGATCTATTCGGATGACGTGTAGTAAGCAAGGATATCGGCCGCGATAACGTCGTCTACAATATGTTACATTTTGGTATGATCAAGGTGTGTCCCTCAGCGACAGGCCCGATGTCCATGAAGACCAGGCTAACATATCGTCAGTACATGGCTTCATGTCCAGAATAAACTCACGATTTCTCGGTCTCTAAGAGCTTTAGTACGGGAATTTTCCCTGTGACACGTTCAGCTGGTGCGATGTGCCGAGAGGGCGACCTACCCTGAATCATCGCGCAGAAGAGACAGCTAGAGCGTATTAGCTTTCGTCATATGTTTGCTGGACGTCACGTACTCGTCTTTGAGAGTGCTCGCCATGACTTTTTGTGAAGGTGGTCGGAAAAGGTCGTGATGAACCAGACTCAACACTTACGTGTGGGCTTATAACATCTGTCGGCCAGGCGTGGGGATGTTTCGTGGCGATGCAATGACTGTCGTCATCTGCATGGTGATACGTCCCCCATCGACCTACCTGCTATGTGTTTCTTGCGAGTTCTGGCATCCGGGGCTTCAATAATAGTACACGCCTCACAGCCGAGAAAACCCGCGGCGTAGACTAAGGCAGTCGCAAGACCAGCATTGCTGCCGAAGAACACCGTGGCAGTTCAGAAAGTTCGCGCTCAAGAGCCCCGAATGTCGTCGTGTAGGTATTTTGTCACGCTTCCTTCCGAGCTTCCATGATGTCTCTGCCTTGCGCCATGTCAACTCGAGCACACAAGCCTCTTCATCGGAGTGAACTCGGACAATTGACTGCTATACAGGGAGCAGGGCATGTGTATTCTGTCTCGCGTATATACCAGACAGCATTCGGTGAGTATTTTTGTAATCGGTACTATGGACCCACCCCTAATGCAACATCGCCCCCTAATGCAACATCGACACAAATCCCTCTCCCGTTCCTTTCCTGATCAGCCGTTCGTCTCGGAAAAAAATCTATGTAATCTCATACATCTATACATACTGTATGTAAGAGATGAAGTAGGAGCGAGGCTTGGTTCGGGCTACAGAAAAACATTAGGACTGCTCGAGTGAGTTGATGCAACATGTCGCGAGTACTCCACGGCCTCGCTTCGCCGGATCGGTAACGCAAAATTCATGGAAATATTGTGTAGTACTAAATACCTTGTATCCTATTTGCTACGCCATCCCGATTTGCGATTGCTGTAGTAATGCTGCTGTAGGAGGATGTTCAACACAAAGGACAGTGTTGGCGTGACGGATGAGTTTAAACTCCGCCTGCGTTGATTGGCCTGAGCCGCTTGAGCCCCAGGCTCCGACCCATCCACTCTCCAGCTATTTGCGCTCCAAACAGAGAGCGCCCGCAAGGCTGAATCCGAGTTTCTTGGTGGAGGAGGATGCCAAATTAGGCAATTGAGAATATTAGGGGATGATCCAAAAGGGGGGAGTGGCAGTGTAGAGTTGATGCGAGGTATATCCGAATAGTGGGGGAGCGCAACGCTGGAGAGCGGCTGGCACATAATGTAATTTGCAATTCATGCCGGAGCTCGGCTCTGACACATATTCTCCCAGGGTAACTGAAGACCCAGCTTGGGGTCAACAACCGCGCGCGGGTAGCACAGCCACAGGTAAGATTCGCTCAACAACGAGCATATTCTTTCTCGTCGATAGGTGTAGGAGTGCTAAGGCATACTCCGTGGACTGTTGCAACCCCTTTGGGTTGTTGAATGGTAAAATGAACTCATAAGCTTAGCGGACCACCGTTGCAGCAAGTCATATATGACGAGGAGTCGCGCCGACAACGCGCGCATTTGACGAAGTGGTAACGTGTCGCATTTCGCGACTTTCCTTTTTCGTAAGGACGGGGTTCAATCCACAGACGCACACTTTTTTCAACAATGCATAGCAATTGTTTCCAACCACCGAAATCAAGGGAGCCCTCTCCGGCTTCATTGAGGTCTTTAAGGGCCTAATAACTAACATTATTATGTAGATGACAGGATCGTGTACCCTCTATCAGGGATTACTAGGGGATTGCAGCAGTATGAGCCGGATTGGGGACGTGGCTGTGCTACCCGCGCGCGGTTGTTGACCCCAAGCTGGGTCTTCAGTTACCCTGGGAGAATATGTGTCAGAGCCGAGCTCCGGCATGAATTGCAAATTACATTATGTGCCAGCCGCTCTCCAGCGTTGCGCTCCCCTCTATTCGGATATTCCTCGGATCATTCTCTTTGCACCGCCATCTTCCTAATCCAGTATCTTCCCCTATCTTCCCAAATCCCATTCAACTCGGATTCAGCCTCGCGGGCGCTCTCTGTTTGGAGCGCAAATAGCTGGAGAGTGGATGGGTCGGAGCCTGCTTGAGCCCTGCGTTGCGCTGCAGCCTGTCCTAGTTCGGCACCTCGGCAATTTGTGACCGCGTGTGATGATCTCGCAACTTTGGCTGGTGCTCACTTCGTCTCGCCGGCATCTCTCTGGCAGAGTTGAGGCCTAACCAAAATATTTGAAACGCTGAATGACACATCTATAGCATCTTGGCTATCTACTACCAAAGTTTCGGACAATTTTGAGGTGATTTGAGGGAGATATAACCCTAATGCAACACGCGTTGCATTAGGGGTGGATGCACAGTATCATGGGCGGTTCACAACGGATCCAGACTCCAGAAGTAAGGTAAGACAGGGCCACACCATCACGTGTTGGCGCCACAATGGTCTCTCGACCAATCACAGCCCTCGGATGAGCGGGATTCCCAGAGAATGGGCAGCTTGATTAGGATATCGCTGCTCACCCAGCGCTCTCTCATAATATGTAGGACCGTCATATCATCGAGTCATTGTCTAGCTATGATGTGACGGTAGTAGATATGTTGCAGCTTCTGTGCAGCGCACCAAATACAACAATTCTTGACATTTCCTCGACAAATGCGACACGTGATGTACCAGGGTTTGCGCTGGCCCTGCCTTACCTTAGTTATGGCTGCCGTGATGTTGTACGTTCTGCATGCGAACCTGATACATTGCTGATTATCTACGCCATAGCGCGCATGACGAATCCTGGCAGACGTGCTTCCATGATTGAGCGCGGCGGTCAAGTGTTACAGCGATGCAGTCAAACTTCTAGCTAGGTGGAACGTCCTACTCACTGGAGCGTTGCACTCTCATCGCGAACCACGCAACGAAGAAGTGTGAGAGGGACAGCAATTGAGTGTCACGTCGAGTCACGCTGGTAAATGGGTAGTTCCGGTCCTCCAGCGATATTGACCTACGAATGACCCAGTTTCGCTGAGTCCTGGACGTTGACGTCAAGCCGATTTGCCTGTATATAACAAGCGGCTGACCCGAAAGGCTTTCCAGAGTTCCATTACTCTTTCACACAAGATCCTACCAACGATATCTCGGCGATGGCGTTAACTGTTCTCCCAAACGTCTCCGTCCTTGTGTCTATCTGGCTGGAGACGCTGTTCTATGGTAACTCCTATCGAGGCAGCCCAACTATCGTGATCTGATTCAACCACTTAGGGATATACGTTGTTGTATTCATGATGGCTTTCTGGATCATATGTAACAGACGCGGAACGCACTTCTCCAGTCTCCCTGTTGCTGGAATCACGGTCTTGATGTCAGTCGCTATTGCCGTCTACGATGGCAACGTTGCACTCACAGATGCTAGGTTCTGCATCTGTACCGCACATGTGGGAGTCAACTTCACCCGTCTCATTCAGGCGTTCATCCTACCGGAGACGAAGGAAGAAACGTTGAAATACCTGTATGATCTGACGCAGCCGACCAATATCGCAAAACAGGCCCTGTGGGTGTGTAACGTGAGTCCTAGTCGGCCGAGTTCCATCCACATGGCTCCTGATATGTGTTTAGAACCTCCTTGCGGACTCCGTTATTGTAAGTCGTTGACAGGGACTCAAATATTCGATAATCCTCTGACTTATAGATATACAGGTGTGGCGTCTATGGACGGTCTGGGGGAATCGATGGACGGTGTGCATTCTGCCTGTAATCCTTCTGCTTAGTACCACAGGTGGGCCGCAACAGTCTTACTCCCTATGCGCAACGGTGTTAAGTGGTATCATCAGCTTTCGGGATCGCTGTCTGTACCACGATATGCTTTTTGTGACCCACATACTCACTGTGTGCTCAGGTTTTAGCAACTTTTTCCGAAATCAACGTCCGCAGTTCCATCTTCACCGTGCGGTTTACGCAGAGAGCTACTGCCCAGTACGCGTTCTCGCTCTGCAATAACGTAGTTACGACTGCGTTAATCGCTGGTCGAATCATGTGGGTTACGGACGGGATGAAAGGGATGTTCGATGGCGCGCAGCGCAAGTATTGGCGCGTCATCCTCGTGGTCATCGAGTCGGGAGCGGTGTATGCATTCACACAGATCATACAGCTCAGTTTCTACGTGTCAAAGTTTCCGGGAATTTATTTTGTGGCTGACTCATTTGTACAGATCATGGTAAGCCCGGCTTCATAAGCTGTGAATTTCACTGATGAGTTGTGATCCGCAAGGCAATTGTCCCCACCATGATCGTTGTAGTCGTGGGAATGGGGTTTACCTCGACTTCTCCGAGCTTGACCGTTCAGGGAGGTCGGACCACCGCCGGTACCGGAAGTATCGTATTTGCTGGGCCACCCCTCAACGATAGGTCCGAACTATCGATTGAATTGGCCGTGGGGCAACAAAGCTCGCATGGCCTAACAGATTCGACTCTCGGGAACTCTCATTCCAAGTTGCAGTGGCAGACCACTAGCGAAGTGTGAAGTACACAGTATATATACGTATCGTGTTCATAATCGTACACGGCAGTATGTTACCCGACCATTCGCCAGTCCATAGTATATTGCAAACATTCGTGTCCGCTGCCACCTTCAAGTCACTTACACCAAGATGGACACAATTCATAGCCCTCATGCCCTCGCGGGTATCGCGATGTCGGGACTTTGCTTAAGACAGACGATCTTCTGTCACGCCAATGCTCTTTCAAATCTTGAAAATGGAGCTTAATGGGCTTTGCTGATGTATACACAATCGATACCGAGATTGGCCGTGAATTCTTCTCGCACACCTGTTCCGTACATCAGAATATCCACGGCCACTGATGTTCCTCAAAGCTCGAAGCCCGAATGCAGTTCTCAATTGGTAACTCATGACCCATCCTGCGATGAAGACATGTGGAGCATGACAGCTTCTCGGACTGCTGCCACGACAGGATTACCCTCGACAGAGACAGCCCAGCGGCCAGGTTTTCTTTTCCCGTTGTACTCGTACCCATGCCCTGCATCGCCAGCATGACGATTGGTGACTTCCCAAAACACAGACGGCTATATAAACGCGACTGCAGTCATTGCAGCCTCTACCTTCGTATGCGGAGCGTTGAAATGTCTCTACCCGCAGAGACGGCGCCAAACTTTGTGTTCATCTTCAATTACTTGACGAGAGAATTGACTTGCCTGCTCGTAATTACTCTGTCGCTATATGCTTTTCATTGCTTTACTCGCCGTGACGCACGTACGGCATCTGGACCTCTACCAAAAGGACCCCGTGGTCTCCCACTTGTCGGTAGGGAACACTACTTTGTTGAAGCCTATTGTATTCTGACCCATATGCAGGCTGCTTTCCATTCTTAGTTCGATACCCGGAGGTGTCTTTGGACTACTGGTACCAGCGATATGGCCCAATTTATTCAATGTGGCTCGGGAATCAGCTTTGCATTGTCGTGTCAGATCCAGGGATAGCTAAAGACCTCTATGTCACCAACGGTGCCGTATTCTCGTCCAGGAAGGACATGTTCATAAAAAATCGTACCATCTTCATCGGTATGAACTTATTATTGTATGACTTCTGATACGACACTGTCGCTCATGACTGCCCCCTTGTAGGCAGAGGCATTACCCCAATGCCATACAACGATACATGGCGTAAACATCGTCGCATTGCCGCTTCGTGGCTGAACGTGCGCTCCGTGGATAGTTATACCCACATTATTGACTACGAAGCATCCGCTCTTGTTCGCGATCTATACGCGGCTAGTAGTAAAGGAACGGCTGCCATCAACCCGCAGTCTTACGCAGGCAGATGCTCTCTTAACAACATGCTCGCCATTTGCTTCGGATCCCTCCGCACAACGAGCATAGATGATCCCCTGGTTGCTCAAGCACTACATTTCTCTCGCGAGTGGATGTGAGCGATTCCAACCACAAACCCAGGATCACTACTGATTAGGAGCTAGGAATCTCACATCACCCACATCAAATCTTGTGGACTTCATAACTCCTTTGCAATGGATACCTACATTTACCCGGTGTCGCGGTAAGAAGCTTCATCGCGAGCTCGTTGAAGTCTATGGAGGAATCATCAAGGATATTGAGGTCACCATGGCCTCTGGGGGCGCATATCAGGACTGCTTAGCAAAGACACTCATTGAGAACCGTACCAAGGAGGAGCTGGACGACATGGATATTGTCATGATGATATCCGCATTCATGATAGGAGGTGTCGAAACGGTCGGTGCCCATATGATCACTCGAATTCTAGCTCACTCTCGGCGTAGACGGCCTCGATTATGCAGTGGTTCTTGGCTCTCATACCCGCCTATCCTGAGGTTCAGAGGACTGCTCAAGACGAACTGGACAGGGTGGTAGGACGGGAGCGAATGCCAACCCTCGACGACGAGAAGAATCTCCCTTACTGCCGCAGCATTATCAAAGAGATCGAGCGATGCCATAATCCGTTCTGGATTGTTACACCGCATTCGTCTACGGAGGATTTCTCCTATAGGGGATGGATCATTCCGAAAGACACTGTCGTCATCTTGAACACCTGGTCCATGCACCATGATCCTTCTCGATTCCCATGTGCTCACGAGTTCAGAGTGAGTTAACCTTCCTGACTTTCTTTTTGTGAGTACCGGAAATGACTAGATATGTTAGCCTGAGCGATACGTCAATGATACGACGAGCAGCGCAGAGTCAGCAAGCCTCGCAAACCCTTACGAGAGAGATAATTGGATGTTTGGTGCGGGGTAAGTCTCGAATTATCGCTTCTCCAAGCAGCGAGCTATAGATAATTGCATTCTAGTCGACGAATCTGTCCCGGGATTCTGGTCGCTGAGAGAGAAATATGGCTCACTATATCACGTCTTCTCTGGGCATTCAACATGGCAGAAATTCCTGGAGAGCCTATCGACTTGAATGAGTACGATGGTCTTTCGGCTAGGTCTCCGGTACCTTTCAGGATCAAGCTCGAACCTCGACACGAGAAAGTAGGTCAGGTCATGGCTTTTTGAACATTCTTGCCGGTCCCCTTTGTCACTGCGAGTATAGTATGCGAGATGGTTTCATGTACGAGTGCGCGCTTGATCCTGCTCCACGGTCCAATCTGAAAGTAGTCTGGATAGTATCGTGGGTTCCCGTATGGATATTATTCGCTACCGTTGCCATTTTCAGTGTCCGGGTCGCCGCGGGTGTCGGAGGATCTGGGCGAGTGATAAGAACCTAGGTTTGCGCGAAGCTGCGGAAGCTGACCAACCATGCTGTCGTGCTTATGCTTCGACTGGGACTACACTAGAGTGTATCTGCAGGTGGTAAAAGTTCTCCGCAGTGGTCAAAGGGGAGCCCCGCCAAAAAATGCAGTGCGTGGTAAAAGTTCCACCCCACTTCGCCGTGCTGCAGATACACTCTACTGTCCCAACATGACAGACGATGGTAGCGACGCCGACACGCGTACAGTACCGGAGGACCATTGATTTGGCTCGAAACCAGCCATCTCTACGAAAAGGGAGGGGTGATATTTGTACGAGTGTCGCATTTGCAGACATTGGTCTATCCGAAGATCGAGATCAAGGATGGCAGCCACCAGAGTCGATGTCAGTCCACTCGCAACGCTCACCCCCTTTCAAGACCTCGCCTCCAGTCCCCATATCTGAACGGAGCATATATACTACCTCGTCTTCGTCGCCACCTCGGGCTGTCCCAGTGCCAGTTGCGGTCGCCTCGGCGGCCTCCCTCCACTGGCAGTCGTCCCGCTGTTTGGGCTACCCGGCATCGTTCGCCGTTCACTAAGTACCACGACGCGGGACTCCACCTCCTGTACCACATCTATCGGAGCGACCTCCGCCCTATGACGTACGCTATATGAGATAGCCCAACTCCGTACTTTACGATAGATCATCTCCGATGAGACGGTTGTTGAAATATATCCATAAAATACCCCCTATATGTAGATTGTAGCGTCCATGTACATGGAACGCATCCCTTTCATACCCTCCCCAAAACCCAGTAAATGCATCACGATGCAGAGCATGATCCTCGGGAGTCTGCGCACAGTGAAAACAAAGCAGCCATGGGATAGAAGCGCGTTCTCACGACCACTTTCGGCTCTGCAGGTCTACCAACCGGAATGATTCCAACCTCGTCCATCCTCGTCATCCACTGGTATATCCACCGTTGTCTACCTGCTACTCAGGATCTGCACGCGTTCAAGACAAATACGTCAACATAAAATCCGGTTTACTGCACGTTTCCCCGCTATCCGAGACATTATTGGAAGGACCTCTGCGTCATACACCGGATCGAGCCCGCTTTCCCTGCCAGCCATTCATTCCTACCACTTGCTTTGCCCCTCATAACATCATAACACTCGCTGGAACTGTGATCTGGACCTGTGGGCGACGCCCTGGCCACCATGGCTCAATCGCGACCGGAGCCGATGAATGCGTCCCCACACCATCCCAAGGTCAAGGTATCCCTGAAGGTATCGGACCCTGTGTTCGCCGCTGGAAGTCACATTTCCGGTCGTCTGGATGTCGAATGCAAAGCTGACAAGGGCCTCGGCCTTGGAGTAATCATGGTCGAGTTACTCGCGATCGAAGGTCCGTCTGCAGAGTGCTACACCCTATCGAGCCCTCCTTCATTCCATTACAGAGCTCACATCGAGAGATCACTCCGCTACAAGCACCTTCATGCACAGTCGTCGGATCTTTCAAGGCGAGGGATTGCCGCCCTCAAACGCCGTACTGCCGCACCCGCTCCCTGGCGAAGCCCCTCTTCCTGCACATCATTACCAGGCTCGTCGAGGCCAAACGTCGTTCCTCTTCCGATTTCCCCTTCCGGAATCGGCGCCGTCGTCTATAGACTTCCAGGGTGGTCTTGCTCGGCTGCGTTATGAAGTTCGGGCGAGCGTCGGAGCGGCGTGGAAGGGAGAACGCCGACTTGTGACCGACAAGAAAGAAGTTAATGTCGTCGAACATCTCTTCGAGGAGATGCTGATGCAGGAGCCGGAGGCAGTGGTCGTCGGCGAGAACGGGAAGATTTGGGCTCAAGGGCGGATCCTCGGCGGGGTCGCGGTTGCAGGAGAGAGCGCTTGCGTGGAGCTGCAAGTAAAGAACCGTTCGTCGAAGAAGGTGAATGCGGAAATTGGTAGATGATGCACATGCTTACGTTGTGTCAGAATACCGGCCTGACACTCGCATTGAACCGACATCTATATCTGCCGTCCGCAGCAGCGAGCGACAAAGCACCGCTGCAGATATCAGATACGCTGACTACCGTCAATTTCCGTGGACCCGAGTACATTATCCATCCTGGGGTAGAAGGCGTCGCGAATCTCGTTTTCGACGTGCCGCGCAATGCGAAGAGCGTGAAGGGTGGAATACGGGAGGATGACGACGACGAAGATCGCAAATCTGACGCTCTCTTTGAAGTGCGATGCGTGGTCTCAGTCAGGATCGTCATGGGCTTGGGGAGGTAAAGACAACATAACCTCTCGTTGCGCGGGCCCCAGCTGACTTCTTATATACAGTAAAGACATCGTTCTGGAGATCCCTGTCAAGGTGGTTCATACAATGGTCATGCCTCCACGTACGCAACCTATGCCTTTGGCTTATCCACCGGCAACGCCTCTGAGCCCTCCCATACCATATACCGCTCCCGTGCCGTCGAGTCCGCCGTCCATGCCTTACGATCTCAGACCAACAAGTCCCTACGCATATCCGATACCCCCCATCTCACCTGCTCCCGTCGCATACCCACACGCCTCCGTCACTCCCATGCCTATGTATCCATATATCGATCACAGCCATGTCTGGCTGCCGCCCCCTGCGCAAAGTCCGCAACCCTACCAATATTACGCACCCCCTGGACCTGGACCTCTTTATGTTCCACCTCCCGTCGTGCCGAACTATGCCCCACTGGCGCGGCCTGTCAGCACGGAACCAATCCCCTCCCATGCATTGCATAACCTGCCCTCTGGCCTGCCATCGAGTGCGTCCGGCCCACCACCAGTGCTAGCTGTCACGTCGACGCCCGAAAGGTCCGAGCCAGAGGAAGGCAAGGGCGAGCGCGCCTCACGTATCGCACGCCATCTGCGCATGTCATCTAGGCATCGTTCGGTTTCGCCGACGTCACACCGTTTCCCGGCCCCTTTACAGCCAGTGCCAACTGGGAATGGCGCTGCGAACGGAGCCGTCGCAGTGGCCACTCACCGCATGTCTCTTGACCCGTCGTCTGCTGGACGGCCACCTCACTTGTCGCTGGGTAATCTACCGTCGTCTCCGGGCAGTTCGAATGGAGAGATAGTCTCGCCTCGGCCCATGCCGTCCCCGAAGCTCACGTACACCGTGGACCCATTCGCGCACGCGACCGTCAAGAGCGAGAGAGTGGAGGCACTGGAGAAGATGGCGGATGAAGTAGCTCATCAGACCGCCGACCTCTCCGCCGACCTGCCGAAGGATACGGAAGAGACCACCGTCCAGAAGACGCTCCCCGGTCCACCGGTTCCTTCGGGCAAAGAGCGAGCGTTGGCCGCCATAAGCCGCCCTCGAGTCGACACTCTCTTCCCTCCCCCTTCCGTGCCCAGGGCGAACACCGCGTCTGCCCCGCAACTTGCCAGCGAGACGCCGCAAACTCCGACACTCAATGCTTTCTCCCCGCGGAAGTTCAACCGAGTGAACTCGACCGACGGAAAGGGGGAGAACGGGCTTGATGCTCTCGAGCGTCGGCTACTCGTGGAGGTCGGGACGCAGAAGGTCGATGGCGACGAACGCAAACCGGATGTGCGCTCGGTGGTGATGCCCATTGAGATCCCACGGCGGAACAATGCGCCGGAGACGCCATTGAACGATTCTGCTATCTCCAGCCTTACACTTTCCAATAGATCTATCGACGCCAAAACCCATCAGGCGGGCAAGACAGTCTATGCAGGTGATCTCGAAGGCTGGAGAGAACGCGGGCCGCCGACGGGCAAGGATGAGAACGCTCCCGAGGATAGCAAGACGGACGGACATGAGAGCGCGGTTACGGTGAAGAGGGAACGCAAGAAGGCGAAGAAGAAGAATGACAGAGACGAGGAGGCTTTCAAGCTGCGGGACGCGGCGAAAGGACGCGTCGCGGCATGGCTGGAAAGCGTCACACCTCGCGTACCGCCCGTCGAAGAGCCCGTTTCTCGCAGTCTTGAGCAACCTATCAGTGGCCAAGCTTCGCCTGCCAATGCTACTCCCGTTGTCTCACGCCCGAACTCGGTCGTAGGATCGCCTGATGCACGTCGCAACGACCGGCGACCGCCGTCTCGTCAGCCAGCCGTCAAGCAAGCAGTCGATGCCCCATCCGAGGAGACATCAGCTGCACCTAATCCACGCAGCTCCGGTTTCATGCCGCTCACCGATCGGCATCGCAATCCTCCCCCATCACAGTCGGCGGCGAACGCAGATAAGGCTCGCGCCCCGAAAGTCATCAGCCGCTGGCCTGGTTTCTCCGGGAATCAGGATCAGCCCGCGAAATACGACGTTCGCTCCGCTCGGGGTGGCCGAGGTGGGAAGGTCATGGCTGTTACTGCGATGTGGGCCTCCGCTGCCTCTGCCTCTGGCGATAAAGCACCCCTTAGTCCGAAGCCTTTACTCAGTCCGAAGCCTTTACTCAGTCCGAAGCCTTTCGCTCCGCCGCCCACGGCCCCAAAGCCACCCATCGAGAAAGGCCTTACAAGGACAGCAGCGAAGCCCTCTCAGCCGCCAGCAGTCCCTCCGAAGCCTACTCATATAACTTATGGAAAGCCTGTACTCTCGCCGAAGTCCGCCGGTCATCTTCAGCCCATGAAATCCGCAGCGTCGACCGGCACTTCGTCGCCAGCCTCCTCGGACACCAACGTAGCTGATCTCTCCATGAACCGCGCACGTTTGATCAAGTCGTCCTCCGTCCCCGCCGTTGTTTCGTCGTCGCACGCGAAACCGATGCTCTCCACCACCGCGTCTCTCGCTAGACCGTCTCAACCGTTTCAGCCACGGTTCAAGTCTCCGATAAGCCCAGTGAAATTCCCGCCGACCATCACCGAGACTCTCCCGGAAGACAAGCCCGCCCTGAAATCGCCTCCCGGTGATCTCGCATTCGGCAAGGCCAGGTTACGAGACCTCATCAAGAAGTACCAAGGAGCTGGCTCATAGCATGGCTCTCGTTACCCGGATGGCCTCCCCCGATACAGTCATCGTCTTGAATCTGTTTTCCCTCTCCATCTCTCGAAGTTAAATTGTATCCATTGATCTGCTATACGTTCCGGGAGTATTGTTGTGACATACCCAAGCAAGTTGGACTGATAGGATGCATTTGATTTATTACGTAGCACCATTTTGTGTTCGTACCTGTATCAGACCTTATGACCATTAACGACATCCTGCCATGCTCTTGAACACCGACGAACGCTTTGAACCCTAGCCCTGGAGTACAGTGCGCGCTCCCGTCTGGCCGCGTTTGCTCAAGCCCTGTACCGGCAGTCCTTTCTGCACCAGTACTATCCGCGAGATGATTTTCCGAAGATGCATCGCGCTCAGCGGATACTGGAGCATCCTGGGAGTACCGCGATACGGCGAGCTCGGAACAACGTCTATCCTGACGGCCTCGTAGGCGTCGGGATTTTACTCCACTCATGGTCTTCGTAGCAGACGGCTAAGCTGAATGTGCGGATGGTATCGTTTTGCTCGCCGATTTCACTTCTTCCGGCTGTTTCTGTTCAACGGCAAGCGGGACTTACACTCTGGGACTAAAATCAAGTATGTTCATGACATTGGATCCTAGTGCCCTACGCTCATCCCGCCACAGTTAATCCATGCGAACACCGGTGTTAGCAGCTCTGCGATACCGCGCCAGCTCATGAATGGACATTTCTTGCACGTGATCTTGGGCGAAAGTATATGAGAGCGTAGATAAGAACTGAGGATAAGAGCTTAAACATCTTCCCTACGCACGGCCTTGTGAACACCTCCGTGGCACGGGATCCCGCTACCATTCGCGGTCCGCGAGAAGGATCTTATCTCGACGTCCCCATGATGTCGTCCCTCACAATAGCTATGGGCGAATCTATATTAATCTGCGAGCAGAGTATCCGCAGTTCCTCGCTTTCTCGCCTCGTCTTCCTCCCGAGAACGCAGCACTACGCCCTTTGATCTGCTCATCTTCTATTCGACTACCAGACGACATGGCCACCAGGGCGAACTCGGTTCCTCACCCGACTTTGGTGCAGGTAAGCTCACGACGTTAACCCATGAAGATGCGCAGCTGAATCGAGCGCGCGTCGCAGGTTGATCCATTCGTGTGAGTGTTCGTGGCGCCTGGCCCGACATCGTTGACTCGAGCTCGCTGTGCAGCCCTGCAGACCAGCAAAAAGTGAGTCTGAAGTTCCCCCATGTAAATCGGCTGCTCATCTATGTGCGCATATAGGGACTGCACAATCGCTGGCAGTATGTGCATGCAAATATCTGCTAGTCACTTTGACATGACGTCGTCATAGCCCGGACATACCTGCAGTAGCTACTGTCAAACCAGGAGAGGTACATACGGCAGCTTCCGGCGCACATGCACGACTCACCTCAACGCATATATCCAGGTCTTCAAGATTGAATGCGTTGGTTAGTCTTCGTCATCCGTAGTCGATCTTAGTCATAATCCTGTATATGCCATGGGTCAGACTGGACTGGCGCACAAATCGGAAACAATGACTGTAAGCTCCTCCAAAGTGTCTTAATCCTGTGCTGTGGAGCTTAGTGCGGTTGACTGTAGTCAGCGATGATATTCGAGATGTCGACCTCAGCAAGATCCATAACCTCTCGGGTCCCATAGCCGTCGAGGGAGCTGAGCCAGGAGACTGCTTGGTGGTGGATATTCTGGATGGTTGGTCCGGGTTGAAAGAAATGAAGAACTGCCACTCATGTTCGACTTGCAGTGAGACCATTTGATAAAATGCCTTGGGGATATACGGGCATTTTCGAACTGGAGAACGGGGGTGGCCTGTTCGGTAGGTTCGCCATGTTATGATACCGACTGCTGCCCTGACAGCCCCCTTCCGCAGCGAAAGAGTTCAAGAGTCGTGCTGCGAAAGCGATCTGGGATCTCAAGGGTATTTTCGTCTGTTTTTCTTTGTTCTTTCGCGCTTACGCTCCCGCAATGCTACTACATAGGTGTCTATGCCACTTCCCGCCATATTCCGGGTGTGAGGTTTGCAGGCGTATCTCACCCAGGTCTCATCGGAACGGCGCCTTCTGCAGAACTCCTCGCGACGTGGAACAAGCGAGAGGGTGAGCTCATAGCCGCCCATGCCGATGCGGTTCCTCCTGTCGCCTTCGGCCCCCTTCCCAAAGGCGCATACGTCGGACAAGACCTTCCTGAGGAGGTCAGGAAGAAGATTGCAGAGGAAGGTGCTCGCACTATTCCGGGACGTGAACACGGCGGAAACTGCGATGTGAGTCCATTTCTTCGATTTTGTCCGCTCGCTAACTCTTAATCGCTCGTTAGATCAAGAACTTGTCGAAGTAAACTCGTAGTTTCGTCCTGTGGCCTTGCTGATTGCTGACGATTCGTTCGTCAGGGGATCTCGTTGCTACTTCCCCGTGTTCGTTCCCGGTGCGAACTTGTCTGTTGGAGACTTGCATTTCTCGCAGGGTGACGTGAGTCCGCATTCGACGTCATACTGATGCCTACTGACTTCAATTTGTAGGGTGAAGTACGTGCCATTGCATTATCAGCGAGGACATGTATCTCATATTTCAGATTTCGTTCTGCGGAGCCATCGAAATGGCATGTGAAATACTTCGAGTGGTTGGACGTTTGCTGAAAATCATATGCAGGCCGGCATCATCACATTCAGCACCAGTATCATCAAGGGAGGTGTGGAGAAGTTTGCGATGAAGCAACCGATCTTCTTGGTATGCAATCCACAACCAAATGCACCAATGGCCCTCATTCGTCTATTAGCCCAGCCCGGTCGACCCGATGTACTCTGCGAAGGTCAGTATTTCCACGATTGCTTATTCTAAGTGCCTCATCTCTTGCTAGCTGGTCTTCGAGGGTATTAGCGTCGATTACCGTGAGTCTCCAACTTCTGTATCCTGGAACGACGCTGATAGATATTCCCAGATGGCGACGGCAAACAATACAACATGGATGCGACCGTTGCTTACAAGCAGGCTGCGTTGAACGCTATCGAGTATTTGATGAAGATTGGATATAGTAAGTCCACAGCTTGGTCACGCAGCTTGTTGCGTCGTTGCTGACCACGGTGCTAGCCCGTGAACAAGCTTGTAAGTGATTCATTGTCGGGTATGAGCTCTGGAAATATATTCCATCTGTACCTGTCTAGATCTGCTACTCTCTGCCGCACCGGTTGAGAGTCACGTCGGAGCCATCGTTGATTCCCCAAACGCTTGCGTCACTCTGGCGTTGCCTCTCGGCATATTCGAACATGTGCGCCGAAGCTGTCCTATGCAGTGAACGTGGCTGACAACACCCACCCGACAGGATATCCTACCCCAAGTGGATGGACTGGTCAAGAAGAATTTCGGCCAGGCCGCGATTAGGTCCGATGGAGTTGTCTGATGGAGTAATCATGTCAACAAAATATGCATTGCATGTATGTATGAGTACAGGAGGATACGCTACACCCGAGCGCACACGAAACGGATATTTCCGTCTCAGAAAGCCAAATTCCAGGCCATGTCAGCCGGCGCTCGAACCTCGTATACCGTTTCCAGCGTCAACTCCTTCCCAGGCTCCAGATCGCACACCCAATCGTATTTCCCGTCCTTCTCTCCATCCGCTGCCCATTTCGCTTTGGCCTTCCCACCCTTGACCTCGACCGAGACGGTCTCGCCCTGCGATGCGTCCGCCAAACCGTCCGGCTTGCGCAGGATGACGCGGACCTTCTGCTTGATTGCTTCGGCGGCGGTAGGAATCGAGTCGCGCAAGACCAGACCCTTGATCGGGAAGCGATGCTTGTTCTTGACGGTGATCTGAACGGTGTACGTCGTGCTGTTGTACTTCTCGGCGAATGCGCCACCGTCGCCTTCCTTTGTGGCTGAGCGCCGCACGTAAGTCATAGCAAGGGAATAGTCGATGCCCAAGGTGCAGCCAAAGGTATCTTTGGAGTCGACGTTCTGCATTGTTGATTTTAGCGCATGCGGGGGTATCTCCTCAAATATCGTACCCTGATCCTCGTTTTCGAGACAAAAGTTTCGTCCAGGAAGACGTTCACGGGTCCCGGGAGCAACTGGTAATCGCTGGTGTTCCTCACGGAGCACTAAATAATATGATGGGACAAGGTTCAGTGTTGGAGGAGAAAGAAACTGACATACCTGCAGGTATGCAACAGACGCCGCTCGTGGTACCGATACATACGTCGTAGTACACTCAAACGGAAGCGACGCCACCGAGACCTGATGCCCAAGACCGTCGCTGGGAACGGACGACTTGCCGTCCACAGAGTACGTGAGAGAGAGCGGGCTCTCGCTGACCACGGTCGTCGGTTCTTTCAAGGCACTGACGTTGGGCACGTCAACGAGAACGGACTCGTCTTCATCCTGATCAAAGGCATCTGCTGGCCTGCTGGCCTGAGCAGCCTGACCGAACGGCCCAAAACCGGTGGATTGTTGAACGGGCTGCACCTGATATTGCTGCACCTGTGCTGCGGCGCCGAACAGGCCGCCGGCGCCGGCTGCTGGTTGCCCAAACAGACCGCCTCCCGTTGTTGCCTGCTGCTGAGATGCGACGGCCGTAGTGGCCGCTTTCCCAAATAGACTGGTTCCCGATGGCGCCTGATTCGTACTCGAACCGCCGAAAGCACCGAACGGAGAGTTACTTCCGAAGACAGACCCGTTCGTTTGCTTCTGCGAGTGCGCCTGCACGTTGATTGTGTTGTTGCCGAACAATCCTCCCGAAGGACGGAAAGCATTGTAAGCGGGGTCGATGCGTAGCCCTCGTAGTAACGGGATGCCTGTCGCTGACATGTCGGAGCTCGCGGTGCTGAGTACGAGCGAAGTGTCAACCCAATCCTCCCCGGTGGTTTGGGTAACGCGTGCGCGGTAATTAAGCGAGACGGACTTCGCCGGTTGGCCGCTGCTGTCGGTGGTAGCGTAGAGATCGTACGTGCTCTCCCAAGAGGCATTGGCGACGACTGAAGAGATTTTGGTGAGTATGTGCATCGGATACAACGGAGTAGTGCATACTATATGTCAGCTTGAGCTCTACCGGACCATCCTGGTCGGCGACGATGACGACTGTGACCTCGCCACGGGAGTCGCCTTTCTTCTTCGCAGCGCGCTCCTTCTCCGTGTGTATTTCACGATTGACTTGAACGATCGCTTCGTCGAGCTCCGCGAGCGCTTCGAGGTTCTTTTGGGCGCGTTCGATAAACCCATCGAGGAACGAGGAAGCGTCAGCGGGAGATACGTGCTCGCCCCGCAGACTTTTGCCGTAATCGGTCAAGATATCTTCCTCGTGCTCCCGAACATGCTTCATGCTCTCCAGAGTCTTCCGTTTGGCCTCCAATCGCCGAATTTGCTCTGCGGGGCTGTGGGGTAACGATACGCGCGTCGCGGAGGGCGTGATGGTGCAGATAACATCGAATAGGCGGGCATCGCCCAGACCGGTAACACGAACAGAGTCCGTGTCCATGCATGAAGGCAAGCCGGTAACCTCGACCCTGTTTTGTCCGACCTTGTCCGACCGTTTACAGGAGCTCATGGGCACGCAGACGGCGGTAGAGGACGCACCTTCAGGTCGAGCTTGAACGTACGGACAACTTCCGCTTTAGAGGTCTTAAATATGGTGACGCTCTGTCGAAAGGGATCGTTACATAACGATGGAGCCATACTCCGAGGAAGATTCACCTTGATGGGGTGGTCTGCCGCATTGAGAACGAGGCCTTGCACCATTCTGGAGGTTCGAGATACGGTATTAGACTCGATGGCTAGCAGGAAGAAAGGAGGTCTGCAACGTGCCGCTGGGACCAAACTCTTTATACAGCCCCGCGATGACTCTGAGATGCGCCCGGCCCCGTGTGTGCGCTGCTGCGCTGCTTGAACTCAGAAGCTTGCTGAAGCCTGCGACGATCATTGTTCACTTCGTACGATGTTCGACAGTTTGATGATTTAAACGACTCCCGTGGGAGATACTCGTGTACTCTGTGATCAATCCAAGAAGATAACGGAAATTCCTCGAGCTTGAATTCAGTACATAGCAGAAGGGAGGTGTTCTTCGACGTGAGTCGACGAACTGAGCACTCTTTTCCGGGTCATGAAGGCTGTCCCGGCAAACCGAGTTGAGCCGTGTTTTCTCACGGCGCAACGTTAGCTTGACAGGATTCCCGTTGCTGCAGGCTGTTGGAGATAATGACAGCATTCTCTCTCTTGACGCCTTGATTCCCAAGTGGTCGCAGACCCTCGGACTGCTCCTACAGCTTGGATCATCCTTGACTCGCCCGAAGACGGAATCACCAAAGAGCTGTGATCTGCGGCTGGCTGCGATTGGCTTTGACTTCGACCTTATACATTGCAGACGATAGCAATGCTGTCCCTGGTAGGACCTGATTCAATCAGTGGCTGGTGGGGCCATTGCCTCGTGTTGAGTTATCGCTGGATATAAGGCGCACCGTGGTCCGTCTCCTCTCAGATCTCCTCTCAGATTGTCCAACAATTGTGACAACGCCAATCCCAGCCAATGTCGTCTCCCCCATCATCTCCTCTCTCACCTACGCGCCCGGACTCTGACTACAACTCTAACCTCGGGCACCATCTGCTCGCATCCGACGTACGCGCTTTTCGCAAACTGCACGAGCTGCGGCTTCGAGTAAGCCCTCTCGCAGATTTTCGTGCCGTCTGCGCCTGACTCAGTACTGAAATTAGGGTTGGTCGGATGAAACACTCAATGATCACTTTGCACGCCAGCGCGCCTCAGCCGATACTGCTGGACACGAATTGAGTCTCATATGGTTCAATCGAATGAAAGACGTCTTGCGGGAAGTTGATAAAGGAACATACTGCATCGAGTGGACCGGCCCACTCCAATTCTTGGATTTAGGGCGAGTGCCCATATCGTGCGCCTGATGATCAAAGTTTAACACGCGTCCTCTAGGTGTTGCCCTGGAGGGTTCACCTCCTACATACTGGATACCAACTCCGCAGCGAACGGTGTCGGAATATCGCTTGATGTCGACAGCGGTGGACACGCCTACGCCCTGGAGGAACGTCTTCGCGCACGCTTCACGTTGCATCACGCCGACATGCTTCACTTCAACCTCGGCACTGAACCTTGCGACGAACTCGCTACAAACCGAGACGGCGAGTCTCTTTCTCCTCCGCCATTCTCAGAGTTCTCCCGGCCCTTCGGCCTCGTGCTACTCGATGGACACTACCTCCGTTCTTATAAAGCCGCCCATTCTGAGACACCGTGGGATCGCGACCGCCTGCTGGTCAGTCAGATGATCATTGCCCTGCAGGCGGTCGAGATCGGGGGGACGCTCGTCGTGAAGATGTCGCACGCGGAGGTGGTCCCCACTGCGAAACTCATTTACATGCTCGACGTTCTCTCTCAGAATGTGCGTTGCTGGAAGCCAGAAAGCATGCACGCCACCCGCGGCACGTTCTACGTCGTCGCGAAAGGCGTCGGGCTGGGCGAGTACGGCAGCCACCTGGATCACTGCGTCAGCGGGCTTCGGGAGGTTTGGCAAGCACTCTACTCGGGCGGCGGGGAGGGCATGGGCCGGTATCTGTCTGACGCTGACCTGGACTTCGTGGTCACGAACGACGAACTTACCGACACGTACCTCCCCCGTCTCGTTAAGCTCTGCAATCCGGTATGGTGGCGCCAGGCGAATGCCTTAGAGCGATGGTTCACCAGGCGCAACGTTGGCCACAACTTTTGAGATATACTTCTGGCGGGATATTTTGCTCAAGTGATATGGACAGTAGTGTACAGAAAGCCGGTGTGTGAGGCTGTATATGTCGACTTTCTCTCGATGCTGCAGACTTGTATGATTTCGTAGTAGCTAGGGACCGCGTCGTGATTCAGCCTGTTTCCCGCAATCAATTTGAAATTGCCACCGCAGCGCTGAGCGCAGGGCCACGTCGTGCGATTTCTCCCTCGACCTGACCACCTCCTGCAAATACGGGTTCCGGCCACCCCATTGCCGCAGCTTGGGGCTATCTCCTGGACACCAGATGGGTGAAGTTGATACTCCGTGGGCATCGATGACTTGGATGCCAAGCTCGTCATGCACTTGTGCGGATTCAAGACCTTTGTCTGGGCTGGCTTACAACTTGCCTTGCTACATACTGGGGCATCATCTGTGGCTTTCTCGGCTTGCGCAACGCAACGATATGATCTGTGGCCACAGTCCTTTCGATTTGTACCCTCTGGACTGTGTGGATATAAAGGCGCCTGTTTCAGCCGGAATACGACCCCATTCGCGGCGACCTCAACATGTCAGCACCACAGTCCCCATTGAATTCGCCATCCCCGGATCGCAATACCACTCTCGTACGCTATCTTTTAGACGCTCACGTCAACCACTACAAAAGACTGCATGAGCTACGATACCTGGTGCGCCCTCTTTCTCACCTATTTTCCCGTCCGCGCTCCGACAACCGAATACCCTATTGCAGGGATGGAGACAGCAGAAGCTCGACGCATTTTTTGAGCGTCAGCGCCGCGAAGCCGACGAAGCCGGAATCCAGTTGAAACTCGCGTGGTTCGAGCGCATGAAAGAAGCCCTGAAGGAAATCGCTGACGACACAAAGTTTCTCAAGTGCGACAAGCCCTTGCGCTTCTTGGACTTAGGGTGTGTTACACTTCCCGTTCGACCACTTGTAGACATAACATGTATCTTCAGATGCTGCCCTGGCGGTTTCACGTCGTACATCCTGAACCATCATCCTCGTGCCACCGGTGTTGGAGTCTCCCTCGAGGAGGCTAAAGGAGGCCATCCTTATCTCCTTGAACATCGCCTCAGGTCCAGATTTACCTTACATTCCGCCGACATATTATCATTCAACCTCGGAACTCAATCACCGGATGGCGAAGTCGATCACCCGCCCATCGCGGAATACAAGAGGCACTTTGGGCTTGTATTAGTTGACGGGCACTACCTACGTGCGCAGAGAGCAGCGCACCCTGACACGCCTTGGGATCGTCACCGTGTTCTAATCAGCCAGCTCATCCTCGCGCTTCAGACGGTCAAGATCGGTGGCACGCTCATCGTGAAGATGTCGCACCCCGAAGCTGTGCCGGTCGCGAAGCTCATCCGCATGCTCGACTTGCTTTCCCAAACCGTGCGTCTCTGGAAGCCTTGGTCCCTGCATTCGACCCGAGGTTCGTTTTACGTCGTCGCCCAGGGCGTGGGCTTGGGCGAGCGCGGAGACCGCCTACAGCACTACGCGAGTCAGCTCAAGGAAGTCTGGCAGAAGCTGTATTCCGGCGGAAAGCAAGGCCGGGGGCGGTTCATGGTTGACTCCGATTTCGACTTCGTGATCACAAACGAGGATGTGGTGGAAACGTACCTTCACCGCTTAGTCAAACTGGCCACGCCGGTATGGCGGCGACAAGCTGTGGCTTTACAACAGTGGTTTATCAAACACAACATCACGTCGTATGTGCTTACACCATGATAGCGCACTTTTCCTGTGGAAATGCTATATACTACTGCCTCTCTCGAATCGAACGTCTATTCCTCCAAATGTACCACGCCCATGAAGATGATCTGGCCTTGTGGAGCTGGACGAGAAACATCGCGCGTCAAACGAGGGTGTCTCGAGGAGGCGTGCAAGGCTGTGGGGGTGGTTTGTGTGGCTGTTCCCAAGGCATCACCCTTCCCAAGCGCACCATCGCCCAAAGCCATACAACATCCGAGGGCGTGGCGCTCGAGTCTTCTTTTGCAGCTCGCTGCTTTGAGAGCTCTCTCGCTTTCTACATCGCACCGGACAGCATTGCTGTATATTAATGCTGCGCACTATCGGTACGTTTCCCAGCGATTGTATCCCGGAGCCGGGACAGGTGTATAAAGGTGAGTTTAGCATATTATCCAGAGCACCGCGCATCTATCCACAAGTTAAGTATCGACTCCGACATGTCGCGAGCAACGTCACCGGTCAACGACATGACACTTCGTTCTCCTACGAACTTCTTGCAAGATGGTTTGCTTAGTCGGCCTGACACCGTCGACACCTTCCAACAGCTTCATGCATTGCGTCGCCAAGTAGGTCTCAGAATGTCACTTCGAATGTAAAAGACCATAGACAGACGACTGCGGCACCTTGATGGTCATAGTGTCGAGAGAAATCCGAGCTCGATCGACACTTCAAGCGCACAGAAGCCGCGGTTGGCGCCAATAGGAACGACTCAGAGGCAGCCACAAAATGGATCGGTCGCATGAAGAGTTCCTTCATGGAGATCGACAACGGCACGAAATTTATCGATCTTGGGCGTCCCATGAAGTTCCTGGATCTGGGGTAAGTCGTTATCTTTTCCAACAGCGACGGGATCATATTTCTTGTCCAGATGCTGTCCTGGTGGGTCCGCATCATATATTCTAGAAAGACATCAGAGCGCTAGCGGTATTGGGGTGTCGCTTGAGTCTGAACGAGGTCTTCAGACGGACACCCTCGACAGGCCTCCTCTTCCTAACCGACTCGAGATGCGCTTCGGTGACATGCTGTCTTGGTACTGCGGACCTCTGTCTAGCTCAGGCAACCACAGCAGCCCTCCTTTCGACGGCTCCGAGTCTCTCGTGTGGCCACCTTTCTCGCAGTCCCGGAGGTTGTTCAACCTAGTCGTCATCCACGCTCACTATATCAGCCGGAAGGGGGCGGAACCACTAGAGCGCGACCGTCTGCTGGTCAGCCAGCTCATCATCGCGCTCCAAGCGGTCAGGATCGGTGGTACTCTCCTCGTCAAACTAGCTCGCGCGGACTCCCCAGCGCACGCGAAGATCATACGCATGCTTGACGATCTGTCTTTGGTGATTACACTCTGGAAACCGACGACCATGCAGGCGAACCGGGGCTCGTTCTATGTCGTCGCAAAAGGCGTAGGGCTGCGTGAACGTGGACGCCTCCTGGGATCCTACTTGACGGGCCTCAGGCGAGTCTGGCTAAAGCTCTACCGTGGAAGACTGGAACGAAACGGAGATCAGCGAATGTCCGATGCAGACTTGAACTTCGTGATTACCAACGAGAAGCTCGTGGATGGGTATCTGCCTCGCCTCGTCACACTCTGCAACCCGATCTGGCGGCGGCAAATCGGCGCCTTGAGAGGGATGGTCGAACCGCGGAACGCGCGCGCTCATCACGACCGTATCCCGCACGAGAGTGTAGACAAACTGTAGCGGCCATATCGTACGACGTGTATGACCGGACGGATATGGAATAATATACTTACACTCCATATCGTCACCACCACTCATTTGGCGGAATGGACGAGATTCGCGTCATCGTCATGGCGACAGGGCATATCCCGAGTGCGAGGTGGTTCGTTTCATGGGCGCATGCAAGCAGGCACGCCAAGGGATATGGAAGTACCTTATACGTACCTGATATTGCCGGTTGAGGTGCGCGAATGAACGTGTACCTGATTGTTCACGTAGAATATGTGAACAGAACATCCTTTCGCAGAAAATGTTGGTGCCGGAAGTGAAGCCGTCGCCACATGTCCGGAGTATGTAAGAGTATGTAGCGCCGGTATCGTGTCAACCATTAATCACCGGTCAAGCATCACAGAGAGGAAAGCGGACAGGCAAGACGAGCAGACCATCAGCGTTCAGCGTGCTCCCGCCGGAAGAATCAGTTATGGGCGGCACCAGGTCACCGTCGAATCAAGCAAACAGCGCTCCCGAAGCGGCTGTCTTATCAGGAAGCAAGCACCGATGTTCCCACGGTCGGACAGGCAATGGGGCTGTAAAATAGGCGAAATCAACATCGGACCGCCTCCGTCTCCGTCCTCTCCCCCTCGACCGCTCGCGGAGGTCAACCCGCCCAGGGCATCCTCTCAGTGCCGAGGCAGCCGTTTTTTCTGTTCGTGTATACGTAACAACCACACTCTTTTGCTCCTCCCGCTCTCTGCCCTGCGGTCCCCGTCTCCTCCGTCGTCAGGGTTCTCTGCAACGAACGCGCAGACGCGAAGACGCATATACCGCCGTATTCCTCAAAGTGAACATAAGATGTCCGGACGCGTTTTATTGTCCGTGTTGATGGGAACGGCGTTGGTGCCGTTCGCCTCTGCTCATGTTGGTCAGTCCCGTTCACCTTCAACTCCTCCCCCATCCCACGTATCTTCGTAGGGATCCCATTTCTCCGTCTTCATTCTATCTCAATACTGGGGCTGACTCTCCTTGCGTAGCATTGTGGCATCCGTCCATGTGGGGCTTCAATGTCACCGACCAGACTTTCTCGTGAGCACTTGTCCGATATCGCGTCTTTTTATGTCGTTAACGGAGCAACTACGGTCTCTAGCTACGACAACCGTCCGGTTGCACCGCTCATGCAGATGCCCTTCAGCCAGTGGTGGTTCGTGAGTATCCAAGGTCTTCAAATGATGCGGTCATCCAAGCCCGGTCGTAATATCCATCAAAGTATACTGAACCCGACGTAGCATAACCACCTCTCCTACCCTCCTAACGCCGGCGACTTCTTCGAGCTGCCTGCTGGTGGTACCGCGACCGCCGAGCTTGCCTGCGACAAAGGCGCGACGTCGTACTGGCCATCGTCCCAAGGGTAAGTGCATATATCCCATCAAAATGGACCCTGTATTGACCTTCGTGTTGATGTATGTAGCGGTGACGTGCGTCAAGGCGACTCCCCGTGCCCGAACTCTCCTACTTCGGCATATCATACGAACGGTATCGATGACCTCAAGGGATGCTCTCTCGCGATCACCTATAAGAGCGATCCGAACGACGTCCAACCCGAGGTACCGCCTCTACCTGCGTCATGAATGCATAATTGCTGATTGAATGTGTCCCATAGGATCTCGCTGTCTTCTCAGTCAACCAGACCTGCGTGTGGACTCGCTTCACCGACTTCCAGATCCCCGCCGAGATGCCCGCGTGCCCTGAGGTAAAAGTGTTGCACCAAGTCTTGAACAACACCAGACTCAACGATTCCTCGATGTAGGGAGGTTGCATCTGCACCTGGAACTGGATTCATTCTCCGGACAGCGGTAGCGCCCAGAGTGAGCATATTTGGATTCCATCATCCATGGTGCCTTGAACTCATCACGAATGGCCAGTGTTCCTCACTCCCTTCCGGTGCAAGGTGACCGGCGCCACGTCGTCCAAGGCCATCATGACCCCGCAGCTCGCTCGCCGGTCTGTCCAATCATATGTTCGTTTTCACCTACCCAACACTGACACACGTCCCCTAGTTGCGGAGCCGACCCCGCAAATGGCGTTACGGAAGCTACTCCGAGCAACTGCACCGTCGGCGCCAAACAGGCACTGTACTGGTGGCAAACCGAACGTGTCAATGTACGATCTTGCTACCCTCTCATCGTTCTCGACGACTGATATCTGTTCCCGCAGATGTTTGAGGGCCAGTACTCGCCGCCCTTCTACAACGACCTCTACGACTTCAAGGACGGCGCTCAGAACGACATCTTCGGAGACTCCGACGTAGCTGCGGCTGCCCCTTCGTCGTCTAGTCAGAAGGCCGCCACGACTTCATCCGCCCAGGCCGCTACTGCTGGTGTGTAACGGTCACGATCGTAACGCTTTGCATTTTTCTGAATCACCCTCTTTAGCGTCGTCCACCGCTGTTGCCGACAACCAGAACGAGACAGTTGTCGAGACCTCGACCTCCAGCTCGCCTGCCGCCGCCTCCACAACCGCCACCACCACTTCCCCCAAGAAATGGTACTCCACCACTTCGACGTGACTTTGACGCACACCAGCTAACGCACGCTACGTTTCTACAGCAAACGCAACGCGAAGAAGGGGCTCACTGAGAGCAAACGCAGCGTGAAGAAGGAAGCCACCGAGAAGCGCAGCAACACCGCGCACCACGCCCGCAATCTGGGACGCTTCGTGCACGACTCCACCGTGCACTGAAGAATCAACCGTCGATCACGACTCAACTGAATCTCTGGATTCCTCTCCTTGAAGCTCCATCCGTATACCCGCTGGATGCATACAGCGCGAGCGCCAATGCGTCCGCCAGCTCCGGGCGACGCTGAGCGTTGTCCGCTGGATGTTACAAATGTTTGTTGATACCACCGTTGTGCTAGGCCGCACTCTCTTGTTTCTATGTTCCTCGCGCCATGGCTGCGTTGCCTTTGCATCTGTAGCTCCCTCAGAATGTCTCGCCTCAATAGATTCATGCAGTTTCAGCAGCGCGATGGAGAATTCGTCAGACGCTGCAACAGCATTCGCAATGTTCGTGAAAGCTTGCGGCGATGGGTTTCATTTGATTATTCACTCTGATTCGCTCGGTCCTATGGGGTCATCGTGCTATGAATGAGTTCAGACCGCGACCTTCAACCCGTTTTCGCTTTCAGGCTGCGCCAGAACGTCAAGAAGAGGGCTGCGCCGATGCCCACAATGGCGATCTCCAGCCCGACGTAGTTCGACATCCCGACGGCCACGCCGCTACCGCCCCAGATGGCGCCCGTGACACGACCGGTGTAGTTGCTGTACTGAATCGCGAGGCTGGTGCGGCCATTCCACTCGGGCGGCAGTTGCTTGCTCAACAGGCTAAGCGTGACCGTGCTGGCGAGGTTGAACCCGAGCGCGACGGCGAACCAGCACACGAAGAGGCTGCCGTAGCGGACCGCGCCGGTGTTGAGGAGCGCGAGGAAGATGGCCAAGCCGGCGAAACCGACGGAGGTGCCGAAGAGGAGGAGCTTGCGGTCCTGGATCCGGCGGGCGACGAGGAGGTTGAGGAGGAGGAAGGGGAACGTGCAGATCCCGCCGAGGGCGATGAAGTTGCCGGCGCCGAAGGCGGTCCAGCGGAAGGTCGGCGAGGCGGCGCCGAAGACGGGCAGGTTGGCCTCCCACGCGCCGAGCACGAAGAAGCAGGTCATGGCGAACCAGCACATGCAGACGCAGACGCCCCATCGGCCGGGTGTCATGCGGTGGGTGTCGTCGTCTTCGGGGATGAGCGCGGCGGTAGAGACGTCGGTGGAGGGCGGGACTGAGGGGTCTTCTTGGGGCGCAGGGAGTGGGGAGAGCGGAGTGGCCCGAGTGGCGGGAGCGGGAGGGTCTTCGAAGAAGACGGCGCTGAAGATCCAGAAGCCGAGCCAGACGATAGCCATGATCCACGCGGGGCTTGTGAACCCGTTGAAGATGGGGTTGGCGAAGCCGATTTTGAAGAGGAGACCGCCGGCGAAGGGGCCGAGGGTCATCCCGACGCCTTGGCCCATTACGAGCCAGGAGGCGAGGGTGGTCCGGCGCCGGATGCCGACGACACGCGAGTCGGAGCAGTACTTTTTGGTGTACATGAAGGAGGTAAAGGCTATGCCGTTCACCATGCGTCCAATGAGAATGAGGTACAGAAAATTGGTCTTGTAAGCCAGCGCGTAGAGGATGTGTCCGAGGATGGCGGAGGCGCAAGCAATGTGCAGGGGTATTTTATAGCCATCTAGGACGCCTCAATACTTGGTGAGACGGGAGTTGACAATCCACCTTACTTCTATCGTATTTCATAATGGGCAGCAAAGCCAGGCCTGAAACCGCGGTTGGGATACCGATTACGACACCGGAGAACGTCGATGTTCCTCCTAGGTGTTTGGCATACTCGTTCGACGATGAAACGACGACGAAGAACGACAGCTTCATGTCACGAATCAGTCCGAAGATACTGCTCAAAACGTATATGATCGCGTACCTGCAGAAACACGTTGCACAGAATCATCGTGCATAGGCAGGACATCCGCGGTAGCTTGAACTCGTCGACCGTACGGCTGGTGTCTTCCTGCGCTTCGCTCGTGGGCTCAGCGGCGACACTGCGAGCACTGGAACGGATTGTCGACGACAATCGCAGGAACGACGGTTGCAGCCTTCCGAATGGAAGGGCATGTTCTCTGCTCCTGGCGTGCGCGTTCTCTGGAGGGTTTGCCGTGGTTCATACAGCTTCCTCAGCCAGTGGATGGAACACTCACCATGGCGGCGCATTGTGGACGTCGTCGACGACGCTATGGGGCTGATGTGCTCGCCACGATGAATCGCCAATGCCGCACGACGCCGTCCTAGTCTGAGTCACGCGTAGAACGCGCCGCGTGCGGGGGAGATAGCATAAGCATAAGTATTATTGCGCGAGTACTACGCGGGGAACCATGCCGGCCGAAAAGGGCCGATATGTGGAGACCTATACATACATCTCAATCTCCGGGCGAGTACCATCGAGGACCTTGCGCGTACGCTGAACGCACCTACCGACGTCGGAGCTCGTCGCAAAACCAAGTGTATTACTACCTGCAAATCTAGGACGGCCTCTCGCGCGCGTCGGGGAGGCCCCAAGGAGCTATGGCGGGCACTGAAGGCACTCTACTAGTAGAGTTGGTGCAGGAACACGACGAAGCGCGGTGCCTGCGGAGGATCCCATTGATGCCTTCTGTAGTGACGGCGAGCAGGCCACCGAAAAAGCTTGTGCGAGGACAGGAAGCGTTTGCTGATCCGTAGACCTTTAGGGCCTGTAGCAGGTCCAAACAGCGCTGAACGCCGTTCAGCGCTGAAAAGCTGATAATCGCGCAGTGCCACGTGCACACGTTACATGCGTGGGAGTCACACACCACCAGCCGGTGTTGCACAACGATGGTATTCATACCGATTTGCGGATGATGTTTTGCTAACACTCCAAGAAAAATTGGCTGAGTAGTCTACTCCAGCCACTAGATATGATAATGTATCTTTTCCGGAGTTTAAACTCCCGTGTTGGGATGATCTCGGTGTTGTTTCCAGAAAAAGATATTTCGCTAGAAAATACCAGTGCTTCAGTGCTCAGAAAAATATTCATAAAATACATAGATAGAGCCTACATTTCTCCAAATATATGCTATGGGAGTTTGGAGCATGTAGATTCAATGCAGTCAGAATGCAGTCAGAAATTGACAGCCAAACGGCGCAACATGGCGCGGTGACGGTCACCGGGGGTCACATTGCGATTATCATCTTTTCAGCGCTGAATGGCATTCAGCGCTGATTGCACCTGCTACCGAACAGGCCCTTACGCCGAAGGGGAGTGCCCGCGAAGCTTGGGCGGCGTTCATCGCATGCGCGGCAAGTTTGTCAAGGTGGCTGGGCTGGTGGTCGAAGCATTTCCTTACCGAGTTTAGAGCTCGGCAAAACCGACTTTGTGTGCAGACCACGACTTATTTTTGGATGATTTCTCTACACTTTGAATGACACCGATCGCGATCGATACCCGCGCCCGGCGGGACATGGACCAGGGCGCAGACCTTGCCCTCATCTTGGTATTGTTCGTTGTCGTGATATAGTTTTTAATGCGCTATACCGATGAGGATGAGGCAAATTATTTGACAACCCCGCCGCACTCACGCAGTCGGCGTCTGCATGAGGTCTGTCGACAACGGACGACTGCACCCGCTCCGCCGGAATGGCGCGCAAATTCGGTTATGTACTGAACAGAGCTCCACATGCATTACGAAACCCTCGGCCGGCTCCGCAAGCTTGTGTGGGATGCTCGTGTACAATGTCATTGGCGGCGGACCGGTGCGCACGCCGCCTTCCGAACGCTGTGCCAACATCGTCATCATACGATCGTGCGTCATCGGCGCGTACGCGCTGTGGGTGTTGATGTGACGCTCGCCGAAGTCGCCTTTGTACTGGTCGTACGCGGCATTCCCGGTAGTTGGGCGCGTGGTGGGGCGGACACGAGTATCCCTCAGAGACGGAATTGTCGAGCACCCCACAGAGTTAGGAACGAGGTCGACGGTGCGTTCCTTCCACCTCTTAGACTTCCCCATCGGCAACAACTCATCAGCAGCACGGGTACCAGGCACCACCACATCGATGACGATACCGAGATCCAGCGCGCATTTTTTTCAAAGATGGGAGCAACAAATCGCGGCGTTCTCCCGCGAGCGCTGCAGGCACACGACAGTCAGATCATGATCCGTCACGGTCGCCCCCACGCGCGCAGCTTGACATTATTCAATAGACGTCGTCGCTTCTGAGTCTTTTCAGCTTCCCGGGCCGTAACGTGTTACCGCCAAAAGTCGTCGTAATCACCGCACATATGACCTCGCGACGGTCTCTGAGATGGGTACTTACATATCGCTCCGCAATCGGAACGCGGGGCGGGGACGCTGATAGCCTTTTCGCGCCGGGTCGATAAGGTTGGCTGTTTAGCTCCGGGGTTCCGTTGCGTGGACGTAATCGAAGAGGACGGTAGCTTCTCGGCTTGGAGAGCGAAGCATCGCCAAAAGCGTGTGCGGCTAACACGTTCCTCCAGCGTTCGACGGCGGGCCGTTTCTCCCCCATACTTAGATTCGGGGTGGACCCGTATGCGTTCATGGCTAGAACCGGGACGTACACGCGGCGTAAATGGCGTACCGTGCTAAATCCTATCGGGATGATTTCTTCCATGATATCGCCGTCGTCGATGCTCGCGGTCCGCGTTCGTAACATCGCAGGCGCCAATGTTCGCGGAAGCCGGAATTCGGTGAAAGGGTCGATACATACGAGGTTTCCGCGCCGCTTCTTCGCGGTCGTGTGCTCACGGGAGAAGGTCCAGAAATACGGTTGCCGCCGTGGAGAGGGGACTCCCATCAGGATACGATGGGTATCCAGGTCATATCAGGAAAGCATGCAGTTACGGCTCCCAGAACGAGGAACTTCGGGTACGCCGTTGACTGAATCTCCGTTGCCGTTTACAACTATCGGCGAACCGTTGATCCTCGGCGGTAAGTGAGTGCTTCTGAGGCAGCGCAGTAGAGTGCTTGCAAGCGTATTTCGCTGTCGGTGAACAGAGACAGGAGCGTCCTCGTGAACAACGGTGCTTTGGCGAAACAGGATCGCCCGCCGCTTGATCGCTACTGAAAGGATCGCGTGACCCTAACCCTAGGCCTTAAAGCACATTCACGGGAACTCTCGCACGCCTTTTACCAGGAGGTCGGCTGAAGGATCTAGAACGCCCCACTTGGGATGTACATCATGGTGACATATAAAGCGTGTATTGGAGAACAGCGTCTCTCCCCGTCTCCGCAGGTCAGAGCCAAGAAATCGGACACCCAGCAATCAGGTCGACGCTGCCGCGCCCTTTCATGCCCACCGTCCCGCCCGTCCCCGTCGCTCCCAGCCCGCAGCCCATTGAGCTCCTCGCGAACGCGACGCCGGATATCCTGCCCGACGATGGCGACGACCGCAACGACCCCACCCCCGACCCGGAGACGGACGACGTTGTGATGATGCCTGCGATAACGGGCGAGTCGACGGCGATATCGATCGTGAGCCTTTTTTTTCCCTCGGTATTTTAGCGCGTCGCGTTGCAAAATCTGACAAAATGTTCTCACCAGTCCGGTCGACGCAGAACCGATTTCGTGGACGCGTCGGACGAGTCCAAGCTCTCTTCGATAAAATTCCATTCGCCCTCCTCCATCCTGGGCACGCCCTTCGAGTCGGAGTCCCGCTTCGAGTACCCGTTCCCCTCGAGCGACGGCGCCTCGACCTCCTCCGACTCCACCGTCGTCTCCCCCCTCTCGGACCGCATGGAGTGGGCCACCCCAGCAAGCAGCACCAACCTGCCCTCTCCGCCCATCACGCTCGGCCTCCCCGCCCTCCCCGCGCTCACGGCTTCGCCCGCGCCGCATCGCGTTCCCATGCCGCACCCCCTCGCACTCCACCTGTCCACGCTCTCTCTCCACTCCGGCTCGGGCTCGGGCGCGGGGACATGGTCCGCGCCCACGACGGTCCGCCCGGGGCCCTCCCGCGCGCTCTCGCCCGCGCACACCAAGCTCGCGATCGCCGCGCGCGAGCCGCCGATGCCGCCGAGCCTGCTCAAGAAGCGCAAGCGGCTCAGCGCCGGGCTCGCGCTCCCGCGTCTCAGGGGCTCGACGATCAGCACCCCGCAGGTGGCCTACGCCGAACAAGAATCTTCCGACGCACGCGTCTCGGCCGTCACCCTCACGGCGTCCCTGAGCATCCCCGAGCTGGATCTGACGAGGAACCCGCTGGTATTCGCCGGACATACGCCGTTCGAAGACACGGACGAGCCCTCGTATCCCTCGCTGGACCCCGGGCTGCCGCAGGCGGACGGCGAGCCTGCGGACCACGACGATAGAGACGTGGAAGAAAACCCTGGGCTTTCGCGAAGGTGTTTCAGCCTCCCTCCGGAAACGTAACGCGGCGCGACCCCCCTTTTTTTCCAGGCCCGCGTCCGGGGAACACGATCGCAGCCGCCCGGTTTTTGGCTGTGCCCTGAACTGACCTCCGATCTCGATCGCTTCCGATAACCGCGCCGTCGCCGGGATGGCGGCGACGATCATGCAAATCCGCAAACATCATATCCCTAATCGAGCAACGCCCTTCTCCTATCTATCCATCGTCGCATTTCATCCTCTTGTCACGTCACGCACACGCACACGCATACATCGTACGTCGAAATATTTCCGGAACCAGATATCCTCGCGGCATCATAAATATCTTTCCCTGTCGTTCAGTTTCCTTGTTTTTCTTTTTTTTCGTGGGGCATTTCGGGTCGAAGCATCATCGATACACGTGTATGAGTTCGACGGCGCATGATTTATTGGTTGAGATATTATAGCATGTACACACATATATCCCCTCGTTAACGTTCGTATGTAGCACTATGGTCAGACGCTCGTTTGTAATGGAACAAAATCTTGCAACATCTTTGTCCGTTCTCCAGGCTGGCTGGCTTGACAGCATTGCGCTTCGAGGAGTTTAAGTAAGGTGAGATGTTCAAATTCCGATCATCGATTTGCAAGTTTGCATGACACGCTCAGATTCGTATGGGCATGGGTTAACGCGTCTATTTTTGACCGAGCAGCTCCAGGTTCGTTCGTAGCAAATGTCATTCTCTTCGAATTCGACCTCCAGGTGAGATACCATAGCATACACCGCTTCAGCCCTGAGCCCATCGCAGGTAACTGGCGATCAAGAAGCCTGCGCGAACAAACACGGGCAGCTCAGCGCAAATGGCGAGGGGAGGAGAGAAGAAAAAGGTCGGTGCGCACCGAAGCCCACGCCGCCCACGATCCTCTTACCCAGCGGCGACCCCGGCGCGCTGGCGCGCGACATCTGGAGCGCGTAGAGCCCGACGCCGCCGAGCGCCGCGGTCCCGATGACCCGGCATGCCAGACACTGTTGCGGGTGAGGGCGGTCCTCGAGCGGCTCGGTCGAGGCGGGAGGTCCGGTCGCAGACATGGGTTTGTGAAACTGGATGGAACTAGTACCAGTGCGCGCGTATGTATATGGCTCGGGTGCCGTTGGAACGCGTCAACTCGCTGCAGGAGGGAACTCGAGCCGGCCGGAGGAATTCGCGGGTGAGTTTGGTCTCGGCCCGCTTTGCACGATGGCGATATATAGTCATGCATGTACCATACAAACGCCAGCATCACAGTTTTCTTGCAAGCAACCTGCAGATTATCAGCCGGGCCCGACAAACCTACAGAGCTGTACTGCGTCCGGGGGAGCAGAGAGCCCGGACGCGAGGCGGTCCACCGTGCCCATGACGTCGTCGAACTTGGCTTCGCGGCTGGCGCTGGACTTTTATGAACGAAATCACCTTCTCCAGTTACGCTCCCTCTCTCCCTCTCACTTTCTGAGTCTATACCCCTGCCAGTGATACTATACCCCGTCGCCGACGATGGAGACGTTCGCGCGCAAAGCTGGATTGAAGGTGTTCGAGAAGCACCTCGAGCAGTACAAGCCCGCCGACCCGCTGTACGAGTACTATACGGATAAGAAGGGAAGGCAGAAGCGGAGAAAGGTGCGTTTGCCACCGGTTTGATGCCTCCCGTCTATGGTACTCATCCATATCCTCTTTCGCCAACAGCGGGAGCTCCCGCCAGGCCTGTCGAAGCGCGACGCCCGCATCCTCAAGTCCGTCAAACGACGAGCGCATTATCTGGACAAGGGATTCAAGCTCTGCGGCTTCCAGTTTGGCTGGACTTTCGTCATCGGTGCGCTATACGCCCTTACGCTTCCAAACGGATCGCGGGCATTCATATCGAGCTAGGCATCATACCCGGCGCCGGCGACATCGCGGACGCCACGCTCAACTACGTTCTCGTCCTGCGCAAATGCCAGCAGGCCGACCTTCCGTCGTGGTTAATGCGCAAGTACGTTTCAGTCACACATCTATAACCCCCCCTTCACCCTCCGCGTTCTCGAACGCACCGAACATTCTCCACGAGACAAACACGAGGTTTTAATCCCGCATCCTGCTTACTTTTGTCTTCCGTCTTCGAATCACAGGATGCTCGTGAACAACCTCGTATCCGCCGGGGTGGGGCTCGTGCCACTGGTCGGTGACGTCGTCCTCGCGCAGTGGAAGGCCAACTCGCGCAACGCGCTTCTACTCGAAGAATTCCTGCGGTCAGTTCACGCACCGCTTTTCCCTTCCCTTTCCCTCCCCCTTCCCCCCGCTACTTCCCAGCGTCGTTTTACTCACGCGCGCGACGCTCTCGCAGAATCCGCGGCGAAGAGTTCCTGGCCCAACAAGCCTCCCCGAACCGGCCCAACGCGAGCACGCACGCGGCCGTCGTCAGGCCCGGCGCGGGGCTCCAGCCGGGCGAGACGATCCCGCATCCGGACCCGAAGACGGACGCGATCCCGGCCGACAAGGTCCCCGCCGCGGACCGCGCCGCTATCGCGGGGAAGGAGGCCGCGGTCGACAGGGGCACGGGCCAGGCGGCTACGACCGACTCGACGGCCGCGACGGAGGGCGTCGGCGCGGGTGTGCAGCCGTCGTCGTCGTCCGGGAGCTGGTGGAAGGGGAAGGGAAAAGGGAAGGAAAAGGAAAAGGCGGCGGCGAAGCCGGGGGACAAGGGCAAGTTTGTCGAGCATGTGAATCGATGAATTCGTGTGGTTAGTACCCTATATACCCTCTCGATGTCGGTGGTCTTTCAGCGTATGGAACGTACGGTCGTGGTATCGATGTATGATCCGCTGCGCTTGCACATGATCTCTACTTTTACGGCCCAAAAGACAATCCTGGCATGCTACAGTTGCGGCGTGTCGGAGGCGGAATTTTTTAATGGCATTTGCTGCAAAACCTGATGTTTTCGGTTTTTGAGGTACTTGTTTCAATTTTGGGCCGCTAAAAAATAATAATATTTATCTGACAGCCTTAGTAGAGCACCACTGGTAGTAAACATACAATAGACCTGCTATTTCTATGCCACTAATCCTCAGTCTGGCGCCTTAGACCGCTTGGCCATCTCGCCGTTGACCTGCTATTTCTGTGATCTGATCCAACAACTGACTCCATGGTCGTTGAGGCTAGCTGGGCTTATGTAATGCTTCTTCCATATATGGACGGACAGCCTCCCAATTTGGAAGGTGCATAGCCCCTGTTTCAATTCACGAAGGTGATTTCGAAACTGGGAATCCAGACTCGATAAGTAACAAGCATTCAAGTGCATGCCAATAGCATGCCAGTCGTGCAATATAACAATTACAAGAATCGATGTGTAATGATGTATATGGACCCGTGGGAGGCGGAAAAAGTGGGCCGCAACTGTACGCCAAACGGTCAAATTCCGAAATGAACGTACGTAGCCCAGCGACTGGGCTCCGGGTGCGCACGGCGAAGTTCCTGAACCGCGGCATCTAGAGCGTACGGGACGTCGTCCGGGTCGATGCACTCCGCGTCGCTATCGAACATGTCCTTGTATACGGAGTTGGCTATCATCGGCCCATCGACGTCTTCCATCGACCTATTTGGAAGGATGAAATGTTGAGTACATTAAGGAGTCGAGTCGACGTTTCGCGCACCAGAGGGTGGCTATCACGCTCTTGAAGCCCGCGAATAACATGGTAGCGGCTAGATGGACAGTTTGATCAGGTTGGGACTGGGAAGATGACGAGCGTTCCTGTCAAGCTGTCTCCTCAGAAATTCGATCAAGGTGAACGCTTACCTTGTCTCCTTTGGCCGTCTCGCAAGCGCTTAGGAACGCCATGAACGCGCGCGGGAGCGAGACGAGCATCAGCCTCTCGATCGTAAGCACCTCATCCTGCATCACAAATCCGCTCTTGAGCGGACTATCCGGGTCTTGGTGACCGTGACACGCGAGATGTAGGATTGTCGCGTCTGGCAAACGAAAGAGAAGCGCCTCGGCCGTGACTCCGCCCTCAGCTCTCCGGAAGATATGATCGGGTGAGGTGGCTAGGACCGATCCCGCCGGCAAGTATCTGACGACGGCAGAGGCTTCCTCGCGCACCGACGCGAGGTCATTCCAATGGGACATTGTTGATTCAGATACGGCAGCCACCAACGCCTTGATGTTGCGCTTCTTAACAGGCGTATATGCAGATCGAGCGGCTAGCAACGCGCCCAATGTAGGGGTGTAGGAAGACACGACGTAATCTGAGCACCAAACGCCGTCCACTCCGCCTGCAGCATGAATCGGGAGGTGGAGGAAGTGCCCTGTCGGACACCACCACACCCGCGGCCGGTTGCGACCAACAGACATCTGCGAAGATAAACGTGACACGATTGAAACGTACTGGTTCGCACATCGCGTGTTGATCACGTACCTCCAAGCCCAGAATACGAACCACCGGCCGAACGACGTCCGTCCACAGCCGGTGAAGAACGGCTTCTATCCGGGCACACCGAGCTTTCAGAGGATTCGTTTTCTTATCGATGTGCAGACGATCCCTGAGCTGCGATCTGGCTGCCGTCATCGCGGATTGCCATGAGGCTGAGGACTCGACGACCCAGGCTTCTGTGACTCCGTCGAGGGCAATCATTGTGACCTCTCCGGATGCATTCAACACCACGGCGTGGCACGCCAGCGAGCTTGCGACCAGCACCACCACAGGCCCCCTCTCCGAGGCTTTGGCGAGGGTCGCAAATTCGTCGTGGAGAAGGAACCTTTCCAGTCCGGGTACGTCGCGCACTCGCTCCAAGAGGCACTCGAACTCCCGGCTCAGCCTCTTCCGTCGGGTTGCTTCGGCCTCCACCACCAGCGCATCCTGCGCCAAACCCATATCACTGACTTTCTCCAGTTGTCGCGCAAGCGTGGACAGCTCCCCACGAAGTTCCGCAGGCACATCGTCGAAGGGAGAACGCAAGCGGAGGACGTGCCTCCAGAACGTGACGCGGCCTTGTTCTAGTATTTCGAGGGCCCTCTCGGGCAGAGAAATCTTGAGCGGATGGGATGCCCCCGTGAGCGCTATGCTCTGGCCGACGGCCAGAGACTGGAGCCGGGATTGGAGGTGGAGGCCGAAGAATGCCACGCGCGGTAGGAGGCGCACGCCTTCTATATATATATCTAGTAGCTGCAGATTCGTCGATGTCCCAGTAGAAGTGATATCCGCGTAGTGAGGGTGTATCAGGTCAAGGACGCGTTTGACCCCGTGTATCCGCGAGCGCACATCCCTTTGAGGATCTGTGAGCGCCTCCAAAAGGCAAGTCAAAGCACGAGGGACGTCATAACACGGAGTTTCGGGTTCCATGTAAATCTCCGATGCATCGAGGAGGCATTGGTGCCGCTCGCGCCGGCCGGGCGTCACGCTCGCCAAGAGACGGCTGCTGATACTGGCAGCGCGCATAGCATCGTCGGGATTGCGCATCCGTCGGAATCTCGTCAGATGTAGAATGGCGAGGTTCCGAAGGCGTTCGGGTTCCTCTGGCTGGTCTACCTGATCGGATATTATTGCGACTGGTTGGAGTTCGGCAATGGCCCGGTTAATGTCTGCGAGATCGTCTCTGTGTTGACCTCGAAGGAGAAGGCCTTTGGAGAGATAGCTCAGAATATCGGGACGATGGATGTGGTCAGTCGGTAAGATGCGAAGCAGCTCTTCAGACAGTGATATTGCTTCGGTGAGGTCATGTTCTGAGCGGAGCGATTCAAAGCGAAGGCATAAATGGGAGATGAGCAACACTGACGTGGTACTGTTCTCCACGCCATGGGTGTGGGGTACAGCAGTCAGAGCACGGCGATCCCACTCCAATGCCTCATCCAGATCGGCGATATTTCCTTCCTCTTTAAAGCGGAGTGTCAAGACCTGTGCAAGAACACGGGCTGGGCGGAATCTTTCCGGATGATCGTCGGATAACACGTTTGCAGCCTGGCGGGCAAGCTGGATGGCTTCCTCGAGATCGATCAGTTCTCCGCTCCATGAAAATCGTAGCTGCAAGTCAAAGGTAAGATTATGGAGAAAGATCCAGTGGTTGATGGAGCCGACGGAGGAGCGACGCAAGGCTTCTCGGCGAAGTTGAATCGATTCCTGAATGTCTTCTCCGTTCGATAGAGTGCGTTGATGTCTAAGAGTCAAGAGATTCGCCACCGTCTCCAGTATCCCGATACGCGGATGACCGTCCGGGCCAACAGGTTCTAGTGAACGCCTTCCGATTTCGAGTGCTGATTCGATGTCCTGAAGGTCGCCGGAATTGTAACATCTGCGATACAAGCCAATCAGCCTATAACCCTCTATCCTCCCTCTGTCGATGTGGGCTGATGGGCAGAGCTTTGCAGCCTCCTCGAAGTTCGAGATCGCCTCGTCGAGATCGCGGGAGTCGCAAGACGACTCGTATCTACGGAACAAGAACCAACCGAGACGGCGCAAGTGACGGTGCCTCATTTGGTCTTCGAGCGAGGGCATTTGCGTCAATGCTAGTTGCTCTAGGTGGACGGCTTCTTCTATGAAAGGCCGATCACCGGTCGCCTCGAAGCGACGTAGGACAATCCATCCTAGGACGAGATGAGTCACCGGTCTCAAGGGATGGTCCCATTCGCACAGACGTATCGCCGCTCGAACCAATGACTCAGCGGTTGTACGATCCTCCGAATGAGCAGAATTATCAGCGTTGGTGTTGAGGATAGCTGCATATAGCGTCAAGACCGTAGGGCACGCAACCCCCTCCGCGATGCACATTCTGAAGGCCGCTTGACCATATTGTAGGGCCAGTTGTAAATCAGATGAGTTGCCGGTGTATATGGACCGTTCTTCAAGGATGTGGGCTAATTGTACGAGCAAGTGATATCGTCTTTGGGACGGATCGAACGGGGTGGATAGCTTGGCATCGGACAAGTGCAGATAAACAGCCGCGGCATCCCCTTCCAGGAGCTCCATGAATATTTCGATAGACTCCTTCGCGGCGGTAAGGTCACTCTGCTGACAAAATTGGTCAAGCAAGTGCAGTGATGTTGCATAGCGGCCTGTCGGCTCAGCCAGGGGAGCTGTTAAATAATAAGTGACTTCATTGTCATAGGGGAGCACGGAACGGCGCAGGGCGCACCTGAAGCACATTCGCAAATGCGGCCATCGGTCGATATCATCGCACTTCTTGATCGGCTGCGCATTATTGACTCAAGAATCCTGTTTCCGAGTTATTTGTTGTAGGACGATATGCTGCAGGAGCGTGAATATATAGGTGGCTTCGAAGGAGGGAGAACATACATTTGGCCGAAGCCAGATCACCGAGCTGCGCACTGTTTAGCAAAAATGGGACGGGCGTCCAGCTTGCGAACGTGGACCGAGCGTGCCTTATACCTTCTAAGGAACCGCGGGTTCAATGGCTGGACATGTACAATCAGTTCTATCGCATCTTTGGCTGGACACCGGTTTCACGATGAAGGGGCTCACCTCATTCAAGCCATCGCCTATGCGGGAAATGCAGGGTGTGAAGCCCTCTCGAACAACAATGAAGCTACGCATGCGGAAGAGGTATTTCGAGACTGAACAGGCAAGTATGAAGCCCGCTACAAAGTCAAAAAGTGAACCAGGCCGTTCTCGCGCAGCTTTCCGACAATCGCATCTCCAGCGGTCGCCTCCGCGTGAGTAATGAACAGGTCTGCACATTGCTATTGAATGGGCGCCCGGCGACCAATCAGGCCGCCAGTGTTCCAAGTTATCGTAGCATCGCCTGAGGATATCAGCCGTCTGACCGCCGAGAAGATAGTCATATCTATAGCTGAATCATGGGAGGCGAAGCCACGAATGTCATTGCTAAAACTTACCTCGCCATCCCGCCACCCCGCCACGTAGACCCGCGAAAACGCGCGAGGTGCCACATCATCATATGAGGCAACGGAGATGCAATGCTCGAGGGATGACATCCCCGTCAGGTCTCAAGAGACCGGTGGTCAATCCCGATTCCCTGCGAAGACACGAATAGTCCACGATGCCCGTCGTGCGATGATAACAGCTTATAAGTTTTGTTTGTCATGCATCAGCGTTCTGAATGCTGAATTCTGACGATAAGCATGGTAACCCGGAGAGGACGTCGGTCGGTCTGGTGAATTTGCACAAAACTCTGTTTTTTAAGCCAGGACACCTATGTAATTGGTGGCCACGTGGCAGCTGCAAAACCGGTTTTGCGACAACCCGTAGCCTGTCTCACATCTCCTATCTGCATATTCCTCTCGAGATATTGGTATCTCAGTCGTCGTACCCTGGTATCCTGACATGTCCGAGGAAACTGATTCAGTCCAACCTGAGAGCAACGGCCTCGAGGCCCAAGGTAAGCGACTGTTGTTTTGCAACATCACGATACGCACCTTTTCCACCCTTCGATATCCGAAACTGGTTTATCAACCAAAATCATTCTCTCCGTAAAATTCGGCACCTTACTACGTTGTATTGTTCGTCGATGAATTGAAATGCTGATCGCTCTTCATGTTGGCTGTTGCTAGTGCGCGCATTGACGGAAACCGTCGCGCAAAGCATCCTGAGCTCACAGACGCTCGCTAGCACACAAGCATCTGCATCGAGCCAAACACTTCAGCCCGATGGAATCGCCCAGCAAACCTCCGAGCAGCAGGCGTACGTCGTGCTCGTTACATGTCCTGCTTCTCGTCGTCTCACGTTGCGCGGTAGTGGGACCACCAGTGGTGTCCCCGAGATCCCTGTCAAGCGCGGCAGGGGGAGACCCAAGGGCAGTGGCAAGAAGCATCTCATCGAAGACACTAGCCCCAAGATCAAACGCCCTGTTGGGCGGCCCCGCAAGGACGGATTGCCAGCTGGATCCGTAGGCGCTCCCCGTCGTCCTCCAGGACGTCCTCGCAAGATCCCCCCTGGCCAGTTCGCCTCCGGGTCAGCGACGACCCCTTACCCGCCTGCCCCTACCATGGTGCGCTCGTCCCGGACCAGAAGCGAGCATTTCACTGATTGTTGAATAGCCTACCAATATCCGCTGGGCTAACCAAGCCTGGACGGGGAGCATCTCAGCACCGCCAACCCAGCCATTCCAGCCAACCTCGCTGCCATCCTTCAAGATAGATCCCAGTCTGGATGCGGGCAACTGGAACACGCTCGCGCAGACCCACCCGGATCACCTCCTGGGCTCCCTCCTCTCGTCCCTCGCTGCCCCGAACCCCACCTCCGCAGCGGGGACCACCGTCGAGGACGCGTTCAAGGCTCACATAAACTTCCTCGCTTCCTCCGCGGAGCCAGGCAAACCCGCATCGCACATTCCACAGCTCTACTCCACCATGAAGACGTTCTGGCTCCCCTCCACGCCGGCCTACTTCGCGCTCACCGCGTCGGCATCCACCGCGCGCACACCGCCCGAATACCGCTTCCTCTACTGGGACCCGCTGCCGCTCGTCTTCAACGGGCTCTCGTGCCCGTACTGCGCCTCGCCGCTCGCGAATCGGGGCCGCATACAGTCCGGACCGATCAAGGTGTACGACCTCCACAAGCCGTTCTTCGTCATCGCGTGCGAGTACGCCTGTGAGGGCGCGCATTGCGTCGCGCAGACGTCGAACGAGGGCCGCAAGTTCTCGAGTGTCGATCGGTCAATCCTGCAGGCGCTGCCGGAGAAACTGCGTGAAGAGCTCCCCGCGGTGCTCCTGCACGGCGACACAGACCTTGGGTCCGGACCGAACGTCTGGTGCTGGCGGGCGATGGGCGCCTCCAAGGACCTCTGGAATCTTGTCAGAGGCTGCTTGCGCCTCGGCGCGGGCAAGGACGCTATCATGTTGATCATACGGGGAATCCAGGAGGGTGTCCCCGACGATTGGTTTGCCGTGAAGCACGAGTCGGAGGAAGACGCTGAAGGCGAGGTCGTTGATTCTCGCGAATCCGAACCGCCTGCTGGGCCATCTGCAGGTACCTCAGAGGTTGGTGACCGTACTCTTCAGCGGTGGTGCCACGTTCTGATCTCGTACTCTTACAGCAACAGACAGAAGCTTTCGCCGTTGCTTGGGCAGCCCAGGATAACGGCTCAATATCTGCTGGTCCCTCCGGCCAAACGCAGGAAACCACTCTGGCACAAGACGTTACCGGCTCACCGGTGGCACAGCAGGAGCAGGCTGCCACCCCTGCTCCAGTCGCTCCGGCTCCGGCACAGACGTCAACAACGATAGCACCCACACCAGGCCCGTCACAACCAGCGCCTTTCACACAGTCAGGGGCGTATGGCCAATATCCCTACGCACCCTACGCATATGGCTTCTACCAGCCCCCGGCGGCGACACCCTATGCAGCCGATCAGAAGTCGTCCTTGAAACGGCCCTCCGCGGAATCCTCTGGGGCCGCAGACGACGAGCCGGCGCAGAAGCGTTATCGGCACTGTTGCAAATGCGGCAGTCAAGAATGCAAGGGCAAGGGCGGACGGGCGTTCTGCTTTAATCCGTGTCAGGACTGCGGAAAGTTGGCATGTAAAGGACGTGAGTATTGTCTAATACGAACTCCAAATAGTAGTACATCCTGATATGCGATTCCTAGGCAACAGCAAACGTCCCGACAAAACTTGCGCTGACGCTTGGTCGTAAGCATTCGAGATATGATATATTTTGCTAGTCCCTGTATGTATTGTTACCTTATGTACTGATGTTCAAACACGTATTGGTATTTGTTTTGTGCAGCTGCTCATTTGAATGCGGTATGAGCCCGCCATCGTATTGTCCAACCTAGCATCGAGACACGAAAACAGATATGCAAGCGAGAGTTGTTATACGGGTTATAGAGTAAAATCCATCATTACGAATGCGAACGCAGCAGTCATCCAAGGCAACGAGATGAGAAGAATGGAAGGCAAGGCAACAACGAACGTGCGTTATTGTTCTTCTTCTGCGTATTCTTCCTGCACCTCTTCTTCTTGGGCATATTCCTCTACTTCGTACTCCTCCACGGTCGCTTCTTGGTACTGGAAACGGGTATCAATATCAGCTGACCACGACGAAGCGCTCAAATGACTTGCCTGCTGGTATTCGTGGCTATCGAGAGGATCGTTGAGGTCAGCAGCACGGTTAGGTAGGCAGCTGCGCACGTACACAAGATCCTGAACATTGCTTTCCGCTTCGGTGAACTCCATCGTGTCCATGCCCTCACCCGTGTACCAATGCAAGAACGCACGTCGCTTGTACATCGCCGAAAACTAACACCGCATGTTAGATAGGAGATGCAAGACGGACGAGAAGTTGGGATACCTGGGTCATGTTCCTGGTGAATAGCTCCTGGATGGACGTGGAGTTGGCAAGACAGGTAGCAGCCTGTAGGAGAACAGTTTAGTGGTCGAACAGGCATCCTCCTGAGCAATATCACAGGAACAACGTACCACTGGCTGTCCTACAGGTGGCACCGAGCTGTAGGTGACGGATACGTTGTCTGGAATCCATTCCACGAACGAAGCCGAGTTGCGGGTTTGAAGTTCGCGAACAGAATGCTACGATTGAGGGCGAACGGATTACGACGGGTGAACACCGGATTGATACGTGATCGTACCTCAGCCTGTTGCGTTCCATATGCAATGTTCAGCATCTCGAAAACAGACAATCAATGAGGGGAACTAACGTCGCGTGAAGAGACCTTGCCTCGGAAGATAGTCGCAGCAGTCAGATATCGTCTAGAAGTGCGCCAGTCAAAATCCCCTTCCATGATAGCTGAGCCCGGAGCATGTGCACCGACCCAAATCGGGGATCACACGCAACCAGCAAGTTCCGACGATCAAAAAGACTATATAAATCAGCGCAAGGGAGGATTAGCCATTGGGCTAGGACCTACGAGCGGGTGAGGTCGTCGACCGACGTCCGGTTGAATGAGCGAGCCTTCGGGTCAAAGAATGGTGCATAGCTCGGCATAAGGAAGTGCAGCTGCCCGGAAGTTCTATTTCAACAGGAGCGTATTGGCAATTCCAGGAGAGGGCTCACCCGAGGGAACGGAATGAGGTTCATTCCGAGTTTGCGGAGATCACTGGACGAAAGAAAGCTGTGGCATGGGGCTCCCAAATATAGTATCCGGCGAACTCACCCATTCAGTTGGCCCGGAAATCGCAGACTTGTGCTGACGCCGCAAAGAACTTGCGAAATCAACTGCCAGACAGCGATCAACTTTAGACGTGACGAGGCATACGGCCGATGGTAGGAACATACGCTGTTGAGACTTTCGAAGTCTGGATGCTGAATATGTTGTGTTCGAAGAGCGATATCGTAGAGCGCCTCGTTGTCGAGGCAGATCGTAAGGTCACAGTTCTCGATCAATTGGTGGATGGAGAGCAGCGCGTTGTAAGGCTACAGAACGAATGATCAACCAACGCACGCTTTTCAATGTTACCGAGCAACTCCACCTCGACGACTGTCTCGGAAACCTAGGCAAACACGTATTAGCGGGTGGCGAGTGATACGGAAATGATCCACCGCTGACCTTCGGAGACGGCAAGATAGAGAACGTAGCCAGCATGCGATCGGGATATTCCTACGCGAGATACGTGAGTCAGGACAGACAACACAGTAATGAACCCACCTCGCGCAGCTTGGAAAGGAGCAGGGAGCCCAATCCAGCACCCGTTCCACCGCCCAGGGAATGCAACATCTGAAACCCTTGGAGGGAGTCGCAGCTGTCCGTTTGCCTCCGGATAATATCCTACCGAAAGATTCGGTAAATTGCATGTATGTAGTCGACCATGTCCGCTTACCAGGATGGAGTCCACCAGCTCAGCGCCTAATCAAAATATGAGTGCGCAGATACGACAGAAGGCAATACATGCTTGCCTTCCGTATAGTCTAGCAGCACAGCGTGAGTTCGCGAGTGCAGTGGTTGAACGAAACGATACGTACATCCCTTCGCCCAGTTATTCCCTGCTCCCGATTCCCCAGTCAGGAAGGTATCAGGACGGAACAAGGCACCCGTTGGACCGCTGCGAATCTGTGTACACAGGTGAGCCCTATGGCGGCGACCAATAACGGGCAACAATGCGCACGCGATTGCATACACCAGCCTCCAGATCGATCTGCACGCTTCTCGGCACATATTTCGGCCTGCCGTCCTGGTTGTTGATTTCCGAGAAGTACACGTCGGCCTGCACAGTTGGTTAGATAGAAAGGCCACACGGAGATCATAGCTGACCACTGACGCGCGCTAGTTGCAGGGGGTCCGAACCAACGTAATGCTTCATGCAGATTAGCGAACGTCAACGGATCGAGCTTAGTTTCGCATACCCCTTCCTTGTCTAAACCATGCTCAACAAGCAGCATGTTCCAAAAATTCTCTCCGACTTGGTTTCCGGCCTATACGTATACAGACAGCTCAATCAACCGTATTCCAATGCAGCGTGCTTCGTGAGCACAGACCTGACCAGCCTATACATCCTGTGAGCTTCATGGGAGACAGAGTAGGGACAAAGCTCATGCCTGAATGTTGACAATTTCTCTCCCCATGATGCGTAATCCGGCAACAGCGAACAACAAATAGCGAGCGAAGGGATTGGCGTCACGGTGAAGGACGGGCGCGTGAAGTCACGACCTCGCGTCTCGAAATTTCGGTGGACTGACGGCATGATTCCCACGGTCAGATTTCTGCGCATCCTGCTCTTACTTTAGTCTTACCGACATTTTTTCCTTCGCCGTCGACAGTCGACAACGCTGGTGTGGCAGGATCAAGCTAGTTCCGGCTATGCTGACCCGGTCTTCTTTGTTCGAACTCGATGAAGAGATCGGGATGGCTTGAGACTGCAACCTCATATTCAGCCGACATCACCACAGCTATGTAGTACCGGGTGCCACTGCAAGTACCGGTTATGCAAAGCGGGTACCGGAAACGAACGCCCCAGCGGAACTGAAGTAATGACATTCCGGAAGGCTATATATTGCAGGCCAGAGGTCCTGACTCTGGGGCGGCAAATGACACATTTGCAGCGTATGATGCAGCGTGAATCACCGGAAACAGTGCGTCGGTTGCGCGTTATAATTCACACCACGGAAATCATGTTGCTACCGCTTTTCCTCGTTGGATAGGACGTCTACACTCGGTCGTCAAATATTTGTGCGGTTCAGTCGAAGCTGCGGCCCAAACCGAATACTCGCACGGCCCGCGGGATGCGTGGTAATCCAAATCATACGTGATACCCATCCCAGCTGGTCTAGGTCGCCTTCTTGGAGCACTCATACGACATACGGAAGTCGTGGCCTTTTCTGGGCGAGATATACCTACTCACGGGGACCATTCATTTACCATCTTATCACTTCGGCTGCCCGTATCTACGATCACCGGAGAAACCCCGGAGACGCGTTCTCGTGACCAAAATATCGTGAACGCGACCTTGAGCATTGCTGGGTGCATGCCGGCATTCGGCTTCCTAGTGCGTATAAAACGGCAGAGGTTATACTATGGTTACGCTATCTCAAGTCCATCACAATCATGGGTGACCCCTCTGCGATTATGCCTAGTCGCTTTGCCGACCTGAAGCGGGAGATACGCGACTCTATCCCTAGCTTCGAGGTCAAGGTGACGGATGCTTGGACGAGGCTCCTCGCGCAGCTGAAAGAATCAACGGCTGAGATCGCGCGAGAGGATTCCAGCGTAAGATTGCGCTGATTCGCTGGATGTTGTTGGCTAACTCACTTCGGTGCTGCATAGATTATCCCTCAAGTCAAGTTTAGCGACCTTGAGAAACTGTCGGAGAGCGAGATTCAGAACATCAAGAGGAGGGGTAGTCTCGTCATCAAGGACGTCGTAGATGACGCCGATGCTGCTGCGTGGAAGACGGTGTTGGGCGAGTTTGCGAAGGCAAATCCAGATGTCAAAGGTACGTACGATCCTATCGTACCATGTTGCTGGATGGTAATCCTGTCCATAGGAGTTCCGGCGGATGACCCTCAGTTCTTCATGCTATAGTAAGCTACTCATTCGACAGGCACGTGCGCATAGACGATGACCGGTAATGTAGCTGGACGAAGCCGCAAGTTGAAGCAAGGGCACACCCCAACGTCTTGGCTGCATCAGCATGGCTGAACAAGCTTTACCACCTGAAGGACGGTGCCGAAGTCGAGGGCGTCGATCTCGAAACCCCATTGACGTACGCAGACCGATACCGCATCCGACGCCCTGGAATCGCGTGGGATGTTCATCCACCTCATGTTGACGGTCAGAATCGTGATTGTATGCATTTGTGCTTTCTTCTCACGAATTTATCATGGTACAGGCGGGACCATCGAGCGATGGGAGGATCCGAACTTCCGGGCATGCTTCGCCGACATCCTCAACGGCAGATTCGAGAAGCATGATCCGTATGACCTCCAAGGTCGGCTTGACTCCCGCAGCTCGTTGTACGGGCGTCCCAACCAGGTGTGTGATCATCATACAGCGTATCTGTGAACGGTCGATATAAATGAACACGATAATAGGCCAGTATATTCCGAACCTTCCAAGGATGGCTTGCCATGAGGTGCGGTTTCACTCGGGGATCTTATTAAAACCACCTTCACATCTTTGTTGGCTTCAGTGAGACCGCGCCTGGTGAAGGGACGCTCAAAGTCTTCCCGGACGTCCTTCTCTCGAATGCGTATCTCATCCTCCGCCCATTCTTCCGGCCGAAGGCCAACGTTTCCCAAGACGACCTCTTGTCGCCCGAGAGCTGGCAGTTTGGTAGGCATCGTTTGACCTAGATCCACCGATGAGCTGATGGAGGCACGGTAGACGTGGATGACTCCGGTTTCCCTGGCATTTTCCCCCGTGATGGAGGATTCGCGGGTCCCCGACCAACCCCGGAGCTACACCCGCACCTCCAGCTCGACAAGACGATGATCTCCGTTCCGAAAGTGTATCCTGGCGACATGGTGTTCTGGCACTGTGTATGTTTGGTTGTATGCACATCCTCGTAAGCACCGAACTAACACTGCACAGGATGTCATCCATTCCGTGGAGCAAGAGCATAAGGGCAAGGGAGACTCAGCCGGTAAGCAGTGATCACCACATGGGCTTGAAAATCTAGCTGATCTGGTGCGCTGTTCAGTCATGTATATCCCGGCGGTTCCGTCGACCCCTCAGAATTTGGGCTACGTGCAACGGCAGAAGGAGGCTTTCCTGCAAGGGTTACCTCCCCCCGATTTCCCCAAGACGGGACCGGAGGGTCAGTTCATCGGCTCAGGTAAGGAAGACCATATAGTCGGACCCGCTGGGAGGAAGGCAATGGGCTTTATGGTTTAGTGATTTGGAGGTAGCGATATGGAAATGTGTATTCATTAGCGTGTATACAGTCTGATGTACCATATGTATGAAGATATGCCGTGATGATTACAATGCAAAGAATGCTTCTTCACGCGCAAGTGAGAGCGGCGATGAGCCAATAAAGAGAGGTGACGGTTCCGTGTCCACTTGCGCTGGACGCAGTCGAGGTTTACGGGGGGCGTTCAGCTGTGGTGAAGGTCGCTGAGTGTCCAAGGGTGTCCTGGGCGCTCTTCTCCCAGGAGATCCAACAATAGGAGAGAAGGAAGGTCTTGAATGATCCGATGTACGATGCCCTATCACAGGTGCTAAACAAGCGATCTCGTCAGACCGTTGGGTTCAGAACGAAGATGGAGAGTTCCTACAATTGTCACCGGCTGCTTCATCCACTGTAGCCTTTTGAGAGCTTTGATCCAAAGGGATCCCCAGGCCAAGGCCAGCGAAAGCGACTTCTTGCGTGCCACATAAGTGTGCAGACACATAAGAGTTATCAGTAGCGGGGGCGAGGTGCGAGAGAAGCGTCTGAGAAGTCGATGGAACGAGAGGTGACATTGGCGACGCCCGTCCATGGCAAAACTCCGTTTCGCCTGCATACCAGTCAAGGCGGCCGAAGCCAGGAGATCGTTGAACGATGTCAAAGGGTTGGCGATGTGATTGCTGCCATAAACTCGGTGTGCATTGAGCATGAGCCACGCCCGGACTGCCGGTCTTGACGTCGCCAGATATATGCGCGGGATGAACCGGAGACGGCCAGGGGGTGGAAGCTGCGACTTTCGGAGAGCGTACTGTGGAACAAAATCTTCCAGAGAGGAGGCTTGGGAGATGTGGCGACGCGGCTGTCGAAACTAGCTGGCGCAAGGGGTTGGGTGAATGCATTTTTCGATGATCCTGGTGTTTTAATGCAGTAACTTTGATGCAGTAACAGGATGATGAGGGTGAAAGAATGAAGGCAAAGGTGAATGCGTCGTTTAGGAGATGCGAGGTGTTTTATGTATGTATCGATCGCGAGCCATGCCATACGGTGATTCCGTCGTCTGGTTCGAGTCCTTCCGCGCGGAACCTGAGGCGGGCGTGCCCAATCGGTTGGCAGAGACGGAACGTCTTGCGGTGCCGCTTTCCGGATCCGCGTCTCGGTAAGTAAACCATGGTGCTGAACTCAACAGGAGAGAGAGTCAAGACGAATCTTTGTCCAGCTCGCTGTTCTCACGACCTCGTTTCGTGCGTGTGTATCGATTTGCATTATCCATTACGCGGGCGATGCGTGAAGTACAGTACATCCGTGGAAGAGAGCAGAGTATTACCGATACATACACTAGAGAATACAACTCGTACAGTGCGATCGCTAGCAGCAGGAATGTCTAGAATATTCGCCACAGGCTGGATCGAGTCTTCAGTTTCCGTCCGGCGTCACCTCGAGAGACGTGCCAGGATCCTAAGCTTCTCGCACGGCTTTGCACGTCGAAGAGGCTGCGACGGCGCTGCGTCTTGAACGATACGTGACTAGGAAACGCAACACGGATCAGCATGGGAAAGTGTAATCAGAGGGGATGATGCGTACCACATCCCATCGGTGGCAGCGGTTGCGGAGGGCGCGGAGGTTGCGGTTGCGGTGGCACTATCGGTTGAGGCGCTGAACGCGATGTCAGTGGCGTTCGCGGGGAGGACGTCGAAGTTGGCGCGCAAGGCAGCGGGGATGAGCGCATCGGCATTTTCGGCCGTAGCGTTCGCGACGGATGCAGAAGAAGCGGTAGTGATGGATGTGGCCAAAGGAGAAGATGAGGAAGTCAAAGTGGAGGAGGAAGCGGCGGTGAGAAGAATAGTCGTTAGCGACTGGAAATTACTGGCAGAAGGAGAAGGAGAAAAAAGAGAAGGGGACGCAGCTATCGACGGGGGTAAAGGTGAAACGGGGAGGGTGACGAAGACAGTCTGTACGAGGGTCGACGTCTCAGTCGTGGTCGCAGTAGACGTCACGGTCGCTGACATAGCGGAGGAAGAAGACGCCGTGCTCGACGCCGCGAACGACGAGCCAGCTAGAGATGCGGATATGGATGGTCCTCCTGATGCGGAGGTAGAACCGACAGCCCCCACCGATGATGCTGCAGAGATTGAAGAGCTTGATACTAACGTGGAGCTGCCTGAGGAGGTGGGCTCCGCAATCGCGCCTCCCAAGAACGGTGTGGGTACGAGGGTTTGGTTCGCGCTCGGAGTCGGGATACCATTCGGATAGGAATCGACGAAGATGTCGTTCTGCGCGCCGTCCTTGAAGTTGTACAGGTCGAGATAGAAAGGCGGGGAGTATGTGCCTTCGAACATCTACGTATATATGCGTCGGTTCGCACCCTGGGAAGACATGTGTAAACGGTAACGCACGTTGTTGCGCTCGGCTTGGAACCAGTAGAATGGTTGCTTTGCACCGTAGGTGCAGTTACCGGGGGTTGGGTTGGGCACGTTGTTTTCCGGGTCCGCACCGCAACGACGAGGAATTTGTGGAGTGGCGAGGGCTACGTTGGACGTCGCGTTCGTGACATTACACTTGAAGCCGTTCATGTAGTCTGGAAGTAACATGAGCTTCAACAGCAGTAATATGCAGCTCCAGAAACGTACTTTGCTCTCCTCCAGAATCCTGGCTATGAATCCAGAAGAACGCGCAAGTGCAACCACCCTAGAGAGGACGTAAGCACAAACACTGACTTGAAGATTGGCGGTATATACCTCGGGGCATGCAGGCATGCGTTCTGGTACTTGGAAGTCGGTGAATCGGTTGAAGACACAGGTCTGGTTGATCGAGAACACTACGAAATCCTGAATATTGTCTTAGGGCTCATCCACAAACGAGCGACCGTGTCACTTACCTCCGGCTGCACCTGCCTCGCGTCGTTCTTATACGCGATCGCCAGGGCGCATCCCTTCAAGTCGCTCGGACCCGTTGTGTGGTACTCAGACGGGTCTGAACCTGGGCAAGGGTCGTTCGGCTTGTTGGGATTGCGAATGTCTCCGCCTTCAGAGCTTGCGAAGAAGGTCGTGGCACCCTTGTTACAGGCGATCTCTGTGGTCGCTGGTTGTCCCGCAGGCAGCTCGAAGATATCGCCGTCATTCGGAGGGTAGTCGAGGTGACCGTGAAACCACCACTGGTCGAAGGTGTAGTTGGTAAGAGGTGCGACAGGCCGGTTGTCGTACGGGAAAGTGTGGTCTGTCACGTTGAAGCCGTACATGGAAGGGTGCCAAATGGCTGAAACGAGGTGGTTTAACTATTCGTGTGTACGTGAACAACAGTCGACTGGACACTCACAGGCATGACCTTTCACGACAGCCGCATTGAGGGCGAGTACTATCCAAGTAAAAACTGAAGTCGGAAGACCTAGCATATATGCGAGGATGAAGCCGATAATCAAGCAAGCGGGTGCCTTCGTAAAGAGTGATCCAGTCGTAAGAAACGTGAATGTAGTCGCAACCAGTGCAACCGCTGAGCAAGCAAGAGTCGTCGAGCCACAAGTCACAAGAGAGTAAGGAGGGGATTGATGAGCTTTGCATGTCGAAGCTCCCGTGCATTTTGTATGCGCTCGAACAAAAGGCGAGCAACGCGACCGCGGACGCAGGACACAATGGGGGCGACCTGAACGTGGGAGTGGCCAGATTTAGAACGGCCAGCCACGCGAGCGGAGCCCGTTCCTAAGTCACGTGATTACAATAATGATGATGAATTCTTTTACTATTAGCCAGTTACGCAACATTTAAGAGCAGAGCGGTACGGGAGTCCGAAACTGTGGTCCTGTTCATCCTGTCGGGGGAGTCGGGACAGCGCCCCTCGCTATGCCTATACATATATAGCAGCACGCTGGAAACTTCGCATCCTCCGCGCTGGCGGCACTTGAGCAAATCCATTCCAACACTTGCGCGGTCAGTGATGGTGGAAGCTGCACTGCGTAAACGGCTCATGGCACGGTGCACGCTTACACCTGCCTTAGAGGCAACGAGATCGAGGGCGAGCTCCAAACTCAATTTAGCAGCGAGTGGACACGTCTTTGGGTATTGATATATTGATAGCCTGTTGAGGCATGCTGTCCCACACACTCCGTCCATCACGCCGCGAGCGCTGATTGTCAATGAGAAGCCTGAGAGTTGTATATCAGGCCACCAGCGCCCCCTCGTTTGTTCTCTTCCGTCACACTCATACCATCATGCCAGAGACGGGGGCAGAGTCTACCTGGAATTGACACCTCGAATGAATTGATGACGTGCTAACGAGCACCAAATCGTTGCTGTCCATTGTTGAAGCCGTCACGGACGGCATCGTCGTATGTTCGCCCGCAAAGGGTGCCGTCAAGCTGGCAAAGGAAGTCATCGAGATAGTCGAGGTGAGCTCTGACGGTTGTCGACGACGAACTGTCCTCTAAATAGCGATGTGAACCAGAAAGTCCGCAAGAACCAGAAGGACTGCACCGAATTGGCGCGGTACACGTGCAAGATGATGATCGCCATTGTCGATGTCCTGAAGGGCAAGAAGGACGATCATATACCTTCCCAGTTAAAGTTCTGTCTTCAAAGCGTGGCAAGGTATGTTCTGCGCTCATAAGGGAGGCTCATCGCGTCGTTCTTAGCCAAACCGTCGTTATCACGCTGCTTGAGGTCAAATCCGGCCTGGAATCGCTCAAGCTGCGAAAGGATTTCAACTTCAAATCCGCGATCAAGGCTATCTATCGGCGACAATACGTGGCGGAGCAAATTTCGAGCTACATCGCTCGGATTGATGTATGCTTGATGCAGTTCGGGATGAGCTCACCTCGAACATGTTTTAGAGAGGCGCCCCATGTCTCATCACTCTCTGCCAGGTTGCCGTACGGAGCGATATCAGAATCGTGGTGGGCGATATCCACTCCGTGGTACGCAACGTTCACTCCATGGTGGGTGATGTCCATCTCGCAGTGAAAGGTGTGCACTCTGAGGTCGCCGGGATCAGAGAAGACCTCCGATCCTTCTGGATAGCCGATTTACACATAGTGCTTCCGAGTTATCTAGTTTCTAGTGCTATACTTACATCATCATCATCAGGCGTCCACGTCTGCTCTGCCAGGATCCAGGTACGCCATTCGTCGATGTTTGAGAACATTCGTCGGACTAACTTGACCTCAGCCTCAACATATCGTCTGCTGTCCCTGCCCCTCCTGCTCAATTCTACGGGCGTGACGACGTCGTGGGCGATGCGGTCAATAAGTTGACCAATGACACAAAGCACCACGTAGCGCTTCTGGGTACGGGCGGGGTCGGCGAGACATCCGTCGCGCTCTCCGTCCTCGATAACGCGGCTGTCAAATCTTGAGGTCGCTGCTGTTTCATCCCCTGTGACACCCCGGGTTCAGCCTCATCGCTCGTTCTTGCCATGTTAGAGGTGTTAGGGAGGTTCGCCTCATCGACGGACGAGGACCTCATGGCAAGATTGATCTCCCTCCTGGAGTCCGTCCGACCATTCTGGCATCGGACAACTCTGAAAGATATGGGATTCCGAAGGGTCTCGAACCGAGCTCACCGATGTACTCAGGAAGTTAGCATCTTTGCCCATGGTTCGATTGATTGTGACGATGCGAAGAGACTCGCCGCCGGCCAATGGAGACGATCGATGGACGTCGATCTCCTCTGCATCCTCTAGCTTTCTCAGCTGCGCGCGATCTTTTTCTATCAGTGAACCCAGGTACCGCTCAGGATGAGTATCAGGATCTCGACGAATTGCTCAAAAAGTGCGATGGCCTACCGCTCGCTGTCAAGATCCTGGCCCAGCTCAAGCGATCGTTGACGTGCAAGAGTCTCTTGAGGCGGTGGAAATCGCAATCCACTGCACTCCTCCAATTCCGCCTCACCAGCGTCGACGTTTCGATATCTATATCTCTCGATTCCGAAACGATGCGGGCCACTCCGGAGGCGATCGACTTGCTCGGACTGATCTCCCGGCTGCCCGATGGTATCCACGGAGAGTTGAGCAGCTTGTTGAAATGGATCTGGGCTTGACAGACGTCGATAGGGCTCTAGCGGCCATCCTTGCGGTCCGATTTGCCTACAAGGACGCGGACGGGACCATCAAAGTTCTTTCTCCGGTCCGTCAGCATGTCATGACGCAACACGTCCTTCCCCGTCCATTATATGAGGCACTCCTTCAGTGTTACATTGACCTAGTCAATAAACACGCGAAGACGTGGCCTAGGAGCATTCGATATCCACAGGCTTTGCAAGTATTGGTTCCTGAACTAGGCAACATCATCTATCTATTCAAGCAGGAACTCGAGCCTTCGAATGGTCCCGGATTATCTCACCTTGCTGGGGCCGCATACACGCTTGCTGGCTTCCAAGAGCATACTCGCTGCTCAACGGAGCTCATCGACAGGCTCTTCGAGCACTGGATCGAATATGAAATCGATGTTCCCCGCAGAGAAGGGCTCCGCTCGAGGATGAGGTTGTTTCTGATTATGGGTCAGTCTCGCTTGGCCCAAAATGACCTTGAGGAAATCCTTGGGGAGGCCAAACTACGGGGCGGAGGATCGAGCACTACTGGCGGGCGACCTGGGGTTTATATATTACAGACAAGCCAAGTACGACCAAGCTATCGAGACGCTCAGTCGAGCATTGTATATGTTCTACGAGCTTGAAGACGTATTCGGCGCAGCGCAAGCTTGGGTGATGTCCATGTCATGCGCAACGAGTACGACCAAACCTTCCGGGAATTCATGCGAGCGCTAGATGGCTTCTCGAGACCTGGATCGCGACTCAGTGCAGCGAAGTGCCTGGTAAGCCTGGGTAGGTAGGTAGGTATATTTCCGGCGCGGTCCCAATAGCGGAACAACCGGTTGCCGCACCGCACGCCAGTACGTGCGGCTTGGCGCACACAGTGCATCCACGGTTCCCGTGGAAATGTCCATCGTGTGCGCGGTGAGTTCGACCAAGCCGTCCAGAAATTCACACGAGCGTTGGAGAGAAGCAGCAGCAGCGCGATGCCTTCGAAATTTGGGTCAACTCCATGCCACGCGCAGCGAGTACGACCAAGGTGTCGAGACGAGATTGGAGACCAGCTCGGTACAGCACATCGCCTGCGAAGGTTGGGTGGAGTCCATCACGCACGCGACGAAGATGATCAAACCATCGAAAAATACACGAGGGCGCTGGCTATCTTTTCTGAGGTTGGAAGAAACCGACTCTGTGCAGCGCAGTGCCTTGCAAACCTGGGCAATATTCAGCATGTCAAGAGGGAGTATGTTATCGCCACGGAACTGCTCAGAAGCCCTTAGCATCGCTCGCGACTTGTAAAAAACATGAATTAATATGCTAGCAGTAGATGTACAGACTAGCTTCGACGTTTCACAGGAAACCTACGATGCACGTACTACCGATTCAATAACCGGACTTACTGGTGGGGCCGGCACATGCACGCCACCGACAACGGACGACTGTATTCGCTCCGCCGAGATCGGGGCACGGCTCGGCGTGTATTGCGGTGGGAGCTCCACCACGACGCCCTCCTCGAGCTCATCCTCGATGTCCGTATGTAGCACCACCAGTGGTGGCGGGCCCGTCCGCACGCCGGCCATGGCCGCCTTTAGCTGCGCTGGCGACGTCGCCGTGGTTGTCGGAACACTGCTGGGCGTCATCGAAGTGCGCGCGCTGCGCGTACCGTACGGGTTGGGTAGGTGGCCGGGTGAGGACGGCAGGGACGGTCCGGTGCTCGTAGAGTTTTCGTTGTACGGGTCATACGTTTCGTTGGATCGGTATTCGCGGTAGTTCGCGGCATATCCTTCGGAAGAGTATCTTGTGTTGGTTGTCGGTCGTGGATACGCGTATACTTGAGAGACGGGGTTGTCGATACCCAGAGTATTAGGAAGGAGATCAACAGTGCGTCGGCGTCGGGCATTATTCCATCCACCGCGTCGGCGTCTGCGGCAACATAGCACGAAAACAGCGGCAAAGGCTGCCGCTACCGCCACCACCACGCCTATGATAATGCCCACGATCGCGCCTCGGCTGAGACCCCCAGACTTAGGGCTTGACTGTCCTGTCTCGGTAGACGTATTCTGTCCCGCAGATCCTGTACTCGTAGATACCGTGCTCTCCGCCGGTGGATTGGCGGTAGACGACGGGGCTAGGTTGTCCAGACAAGTAGAGTCGTCCGAGGCGTCCACGATACGCACATCCGAGGCCCCGCCTTGTCGCCCTGCGAGAGGCATAAGTCGTTTCGTCTTGGAGAAAAGGTGACTAGTGGTATATGCACCTTTGCTGTCAAACATCAGGAACACTATCGACGTCCCTCTTGCAGCATCCACCACCCAGTCGAAGGAGGTGGGCCCGACGGGCGGATCCTTGGCAACATGCCCACCTCCAGGAACTATGCCCTGCATGTCTGTGTATCAGAAGAGTCACGATCCCACTCAGCTTGAGCAACATACAAGAATATGAACCGGCTGCACCGCGTCGTTGTAGTTGCCGAACGTGAAAGGGCTGTGAACGCCTAACTTGAGCACGAGTGCCGTTCCGAGGGCACGGTACACTGACCGACACTGCTGCAGCGCATTGTCCAGCTCGAACGTAAAATCCGCCTTCGCCCCCGTCGTATCGCAGCTCGCGCCGGAAATAGACGACCCGACCGTCAACACCTCCGTCGTCCCGCCCGATCCGAATCCCGTCGAGTCCGACAAGGTCATCAGGAACTGGGTCTTCGCGGCGAGCGGAAGCTGGGTGCTGAACCTGCCCGCCCCATTCGAGAACGCCGAATCCGGGATCGAGATGTTGATCGGGACTTGGAGCGGAAGAGGGATCAGGAGGAGGGTGAAGGGGGCGACGCCGCCTAGGATTCACTCAGCTAAGATATGACGGCCCTTCTGTCGCCCGACAAGCTTCATATGTGACTCACCAGACCAAGATAAGACGAGATCATCGCATTCGGTAGGCGCGTCGAACGAAAAGGTGAAGGAGCCTCGGACAACACTGATGCATGATAGCAAGCTCCAGAAGACGAGAATCGCGATGGCCTCCCGGCCGAACAGAAATGGCCCAGCCCTCAAAGAATATTTCAACATAGCGAACTATCCACGAACGAAAAAAACGGTGCGGCCCAGATTCACCAGGAAGAAGGGGAGGGCGGCGCCGAGCACGGTGCTGCGGGCGACTGGAGGTGAACCATCAGCAGGCGTCGAGGGCGAGGTGTGTGCCGAATATATGCACTCGGGCGTGGACTTAGCCCGGCAGAGTCCTAAGAATATAACGCGATAGACCATCACAGCGTGTACTCCGAGAGAAGGGTCGTCGAGCGCTGGACCGGCACAGCCCGTCGCCTGCTCTCATTCCCGCGAAGTCATTGTTACTGAATCGCCAGCGTCGACCAATACCATACCGTACGCGTGCTGCGGGCGCAAATGTGGAGCACAACTCACACATATCAAGCCCATAGGGTTTCGCCTTGATAGCAACGGAAGAAAGATGTTGCTAGGAAAGCGCTGCGGGCTGTTTTCCAACATCTCATACTTTCGAATGCAGGTACAAAGTCCTTGATCCCATGCGCACTGCATTTGATCGTACAATACCAATGAGAACTAACTGTTGGCGCCATTTCAATCTCTCCTATGTACTCTTACATTCATCTTTTATGGAATATAATCCCGCTCAATCACTCGATCTGTGGCGCTTGCGCAGTCCCGTCGCCATATTGCTTCGGCTGTGTTTCAAGTAAGGATCAGCAAGGCCCTGTCAGCAAAGAAACGCATCTTACCTCCGTCTTCGCAGCGTTTTTGTCTTTTTCGAATTCCTTAACGCGTGGATCGTCCATCATTTTCATGACGGTGTCTGCCTGAAACTTCTTGAAGAGGAAGCCCAATCCTGAGAAAAGGTTATATCAAACCTGGACAATAAATGGCACGCGAAAGAAACCCACCTTCATGCGAGTAGTCTTTGGAATTGGCCTGATCCTTGTGATACTTCACTTGCACGAAATCGGAGTCCTTCGTTTCCGGGTCGAGCGACAAGCTGACAAGAGCGTTGATGGTCGTGCTCTTATGGATGCCAGCGAATGTCCATGTCTGAGATTATAGCATGTGAGGGCAATGTACGGTATAAAGAACAAAGGATAATTTACCTGCTCATTCTTAAATTGGATAAGCTCGGGATCATTCTTGATGACCTCGTATCTTTCATTCTTACTCTCTTTGAATAGCTTCGGAAGCGCAAACCTGTGTGATACTTTCAGCATACATTAGAAAAGGAGTGCCAGACGACGAGTGTACCATTGCCCTGCCATCTTGTACCGATCATTGGCGTAGACGAACTGATCGTCGTAGACGCAGTCCGCCGTGTACCGCTTCACTTTAGACACAGTCGGCTTGCACGAGTAAAGATCGATGATGTCGTCGATCAACCGTTGGCGGTTCGGCGGAAGAGGGATCGATTTCGAAGGATCCGGGGTCCTGGGAATGCGAGCAATTGTTGAGTGTCGATTCGTGAGGCAACGCTCAGAGCATACGCACCAATCGTCGGTGGAGTGGGTCTGCCTAACTTCGAACTCTTCTCCCGGCGCTCCAGCGGGTGCTATGGACGACATGTTGACAGTTAGTTGCGGACGGGTGTGACGGTACGCGGGGATAGCTGCAGCTCCAAGGAGAAAACCACCGGCGGTGCGTAGGCGGACGGGGTGCAGCATCAAGGTGGGTTCGTGTCTCAATCCGCCGCCCGCCTGGGTACATGATATATACTGTTTCATGCCTGTCAGGAGCTAACGTCGAGCGAGCGAGCGTCATGATTGCGGTCATGGACGCTGGGGATCGGGCGGGATCGAGCAAGACGGTGAGTTCGTGTTCAAACGCGGTGGTGGCGTGGGACTACAGGCAATGCTTGCTCGAGTCGCCGCTACCATGACTTGGCTAATCCGTGAAGGGGATTACTGCTTCCGTGTAATCCCTTGAGGGCAGCTCCGTGCGGATGTATCATACAGACAGCACCCACTGCCGATACTTCTCGATCTCCCTCGCCCTGGCTTGCACCAGCTTCTCAACCTCCTCGCCCCAGACTTCTACAGGCCGCTTCCGCGTCGATTTCGCACCCTCCCCGTCACCCGCTTCCGCCCCCGCATCCTCCTCCGCTCGCGAATGATACCGCACTTCGAGCCGATCGCTCACGTCCTGCGGCTCCTCCGCGATCTCCTCCGACGGCGTCACGAACTCTTCCTTGGGCGTCACGAACTCGACCGACGCGCTGCTCATCGACAACGAGCTCTCTCTCGAACGCTGCTCGTGCGCAGGCGGCGAGATCTCGAGATGGCTCGGCGGCGCGACCTCGGTGGCGATGGAGGACACGGAAGCGTCCAAAAGCGGTTCCGGGGACGACGTGCGCGGCACGGTGCCGGAAGCGGTTGATGACGATGACGACGGGACGGTTTTCCCGGACGCCTTCGTTTGCTTCGTAACACCGAAGCATTCTACTGTGTGCCGTTCCGCATCCGGGAAGTCCATGACGACGATGTTTTCCAGGCTGACCGGTTTCTCCGGGTCCCATCGCACCAGGGTTGGGCGATTGGCGACCTGCATGTTCGGTGGTGAGCGGGTACGTCTGATGTCGCAGAAAGCGTAGGTGATCTCACGAGGTGCGGGGGGATCACCGATCTCCCAACGTGCAGATCCTCGAACACGAGAGAAACGTCGTCTTCGTCGATAGGTAGGCGTCTGCCGCGACAGCGGTGTGAGCATGGATCGCGATTCGGAGCGTGCACCGGATCTCACTGTATGACCTGACCCTGGATCCGGCTCTCCCGCGTACATAGATCGCGGAATAGCTTTTCGTACAGTTTCCGCCTGTTCAAGATCGGGAGCGGGTTCAAGATCGGCTTGCCGGCCAACGCGCAGACGATGTACGACGCAATGTGCAACCCGAATATCGCCGGAAGCGGTCCGTACACGGGCAGAATGCGGACCCGGAAGTCGTCGAAGACGCCGAGCTCCTTGACGTTGCCTTTCTGGAACTCTTCTTCAGGCAGAGGCAGCAGTTTCACGTCTCCGGGCACTTCGGTCGAGTACACGACCGGGATGTCCTGAGTCACTCCTGCATTTCGTTTCCGTGAGCGGAGGATTCCGGAGGAAATGGAATGGCTCACCTAGGAGTTTCAGGCGTCGACGCACTGATCGCGCGAGCGGGTCGTAGTGCGTGTTGGAGATGTCGGCGATTTGGACTCGGGTCGGGTCTGACTTGGCACCGGCACCCATCGAGGAGAAAACCTGGACAGAAAATCATTACTATTATATCCCTTTTGTGTTATGCAACGGCCAATGCTAGCCTTGATGCCGTGTTCGTGGCAATAGTGCAGGAGGTCGACTTTCGTAGATATGTTGTCGATGGCATCTTTAGAATCGACTTGGTCAGTATACAAGCAGAGAACCGTGTTGGACATGACACACCGATCACCCAATCCGCGCCGTCCAAGAGCCTCGCACCATCCTCTTTACGCCAGATATCGACGCAAGGTTCTACGTGTATCCAGCGCGCGAACGAATCTAGGGCCCTCGCGACGCATTCAACCTTGGGAGTACCCACATCCTTCAGCGACGCGGTCGCATGCCGGTTGAGGGACGAAAGGGTGACATAGTCAAAGTCCACGAGACGAATCTTTGACACTCCTCTACGAACTCAAGGTGAGCCGGCATCGCGGTAGGATAATCGAAAGCCGCGTACGAGCGTGCAAGCATAACCGCTGCCCAGCTACCCACCCCACCGCATCCCACCACGACCACACTCCCTTCCCGAACCTTGCCCATCGCCTCCTCCCCGAAAAACGCGTAGTTGCGCGCGAGCTGCTCCCGTATAAGTTCCTCCGAGTACGAAAACGCTTCATCCGGCGTCCTCCCACCACCGCCCGGCCCTTCCACGACCCTCTCCTTCCGAGAATCCGCTTGGGCCGGGTCGTAGCCATAGTCATCCGGAACGGGTCTCGGCGGTCGCTGCGAGATGGAGCGCGCGACCTCTTCCGCGAGCTCTTGCCGACGTTTCGACTTCGTGTAGGCGTTGTAGGCTGTGATCGCAGACGCGGTCGCGGCCGAGGCTGCAAGCGCGGCGTAGACGAGTTGCGCCCGATGCGACTTGAAGAGCTCCGGATCCGGCATGTATGAATGCGGCAGTCACGGGAATGGCAAGCACTTCGGGCAAAGCAGCCAGTCGCTTTCTTCCGGATATCCTCAAGACGGACAGAGTCGTGTTAATAGTATTGACACCACCGTGGTACGCAATTACGTCGGCATCCTCGCCAAAGGTATCCTCGCTACGTCCGGTCACGTGTCCTTGCCCGAGTCCAAGCGTTTTCTGTCGCCTTAGCGTTGAAACGTTCACGAATGATCCCAACACCGATATCCGGTCACTTATGACGGTAGAAAGATGCACATTCGTGAAAAATGGGATCTAAATCTCGCATTCCCTGCGCTTTAGCCTTGTCTCGGAACCTCGTCAGGTTCACGACATCCGCCAGTCCGAGCTTGTCGGCCTCCTCTACCGACAACGGCTCGGGTCGCTCTGCGTAATGCTGGAAACCGGCACGCAGAAGGACTCCAGTATGAGAGTACTTTCTGGCAGTAAGGATCTACAGACCAAGTCTAAGCACTAGGAAGGATGAAAGATAATAAGGGTAAACACCTGCGAGACGGGATCTTGGGAAAATTGCGACAGCACTTTATAGGCGACGCTGGTGATATCGTCGAACTGGTACTTGTGCGACACCTGCAGGATGGTTTCCCATTCGGGCATGGTCTTGTCGAAATTCGACTCGGATATTCTTTGCCATATGGGGGTATGGAAAACGTAAGTGGAGGTGCACACCGGGGGTTGCGCGCACCATGCAGAGAGATTGGTGCTACCTACCGGCAGTAGTACATCCAGAGAAAGAGCGCAAAGGCGTCGGCGGACGTGCCTTCCAGCCGTATCGGCGTGTCGTCCGATAGGCCTTCGACATCGTGGCCATCTGGCGCCGGCAGCGAGAACATCGTGCGGAAGACCTCGGAATCCCGCTTGAAGAAGTATCGATGGATGCGAAAGAGGATTCCATCCACCTGACAACGAATGAACAGCACGTTCCGGGCATGAAGTGAGCGGTTCGTAAATACTAACGAGGAGAACCAGGTTTCCGTCTTCAATGTAGTAATCAGGGTGATGGGGAGGGGCGGCGGACGCTTCCGAGTTGTTTTCTGCTTGCAAATCCATCGGTGTCACTGTTTACATTGGTTCCTCCACCCTGCAAGTCGAGGGACTCGGCGTAGATCCGGAGCAGAAACGAAGGAAGGATGTCGATGAGAGCACACAGCCACGATCATGACATGCCAGTCACGCCCCAGCAAAGAGCTGAGATTGTGCTGTACATCGCGATATGACAATCCTGTGCGATCTAGATACAGTCGTTGAGCTCATGCGGTCTGCGCATGGTTGACCGATATACGGAACAATTCAGCAAGACAGAATACCGCTACATAGTGTTTAATATTATCGATTGTGTGTATAGTCTGACTGGAGATTCGTGATAATACAGATGTCAACGCGGGACCATGGTCCCTATGCATGCATATATACGTAGCCGACGAAACATTCGATGCGATGTGTGCGATGTGTATATCGATTGTCTGTTGTTTGCCTACAAGAAAGCGTCCCTCGGCAGTTGCACCTGCATTACGGAGTGAGCACGCGTCGTCAACCTCGTTGAGGCAGGGATGCGATCTCACCTTGAACTCCTTAAATTTGGCGATCGCCGCATCCACGTTCCACCCCGCATTCTGCAAGCAATCGAGGGTGTACGTAACGTTCAGGCCCGTCTTCTGCGAGACCTGTACGACCATCGTCCGCTGGGGTTCGGGCTGCATGACATGGGTCAGCCACTGTCGTTCATACACGGCTAGCAGGATGAGACGTACTATGGGTGCGAGCTCCTCCACTGGAGGTATCGGATCGCCTGCCTGTACGCGCATCGGGCCAGGCTTCCACGCCTCATGGCTCGAATACGCACGCACGAGCAGCTGGTCGGAAAGGATGACGACGTCCCATCCCGCCGCTTTCGCGGGCGACCCTGCGGGTGACGGCGCGAGCACAAACGAGCGGTCGAATGATCGTATGCCGCCCACGGGTTCTGTGATACCAACGAATCAGGTACATTCCTAGGAACGAAGGGGCCGAAGACGCACGTTCTGTCAATTGCCCGTGCACGTTCACGAACAGCGTCGTGCTCTCGCCCTGACCGACAGGCCACGCATCCACGCAAAACTTCTCGGGCGCGCCCGTCACGTCATGCACCGTCTGCGGCAGGTCGATGAGCGCCTTCACCGCGTCCTCTGCACCGACGTGGAGGCTCTTCAGCGTCTTCGCGACCGCACCGCCCATCCTACTCAAGTTCCGCGAGCCGCCGTTGCCGCCGTTCAGCCACGGCGACCACTCGAGCTTGGTTTGGTTCGGCATCTCCTTCGAGTGGTGGAAGCCTTGTATGCGCGCACGGGGCGGGATGGACGTGTTCGCAGAGAAGGAGAAGGTGGCGCCGGGGTGGTAGACGGAGGCGAGCGCGGGGCGGTTGGTGTCAAAGAAGGAGAAGAAGCTGTTTACACCCGGTCAGTTATTGAACCGGGCGAGGTGGTGAGCTGAACGCACCGGGTGAGGAAATTGCTGACGATGATGCCGTCGACGCCTGTGATGAGTGACGGCCCCATTTCGTATGGGAAGGTCGTCGCAGTCGGTTTTGAGGGCCCCGCGGGTGCGGGTACGGCTGATGTACTTGGGTTGTCGAAGGAGATCTTCGTGATCGGTTCTTGATCCAGCATTTCCAGCTGTGGAAACTTGCGTATCACAGAACTGATGGAAGATGGATGAGCCTAGACGTAGCATGGACGGAAAATGCCTGACTAACCTGCGGTACTGGTTCAACTTCCCGTTGGCGATCTCGTTCTCCCGTAGCGGGTTGCCGATGAGGATGAGTTCGCGGAGATGTTCAAGTTTCTCCTTACGGCCGGAGATGTAGTCGAGGTCTCTCCATACTCGGAAGTTGTTGCCTTCCAGAGACAAGTTGGCGAGCTTGGGAAGATAGTGGGCGAGGGTAGAGATCAGATGTCCTGATCGAAGGTTGTTGTGTGCGAGTGACACTGTTTGGACCTAAGCGCAATGTGAGTACATATACACGGAGCTCGCGAAAGGGAATCCACCTCGGGTTTGCATATCTGAGATGCAAATTTGAAGATAACAGCCGCTTCTTTCGCGGAGCCGCCGGGCACGCCAGGCGGAGTGAGATTGTGTTGTTTCAATAGTTCGTCCTCAGCCATTCGCTGATACGCGAGTCAACGTCCGTCCTGACTCAGCAAGGAACAGGGCACAACGCACCTCGAGGTTGAGAAATCTTGTGGCGGGATTCCATCGCTTCTCCACAAACTGCTTCCAAACATCCAACACCTTGGTGCCGGGAGACAATCGAGATGATGTGGCGCCCGGGGCACCGACAGCATTCCTGCGTAACCGGCTCACCGCCGCCGTCGATCGTGCGGCGCCACGGATGGCGAGTGCGGCATCGGAGGAGCCTGCGAGGCGTGCGGCAAGCTATTCGACAGGCGGGCGGCGAGGAGGCAGAGCCGGCAATGAAGTAATAGGTGAGCTACATGTTACACAGAGACGCCACATCGCTGCGACAGACAGGAGAGCCGGAGAGCCGGCGCGCCGCGGAAACAAGAGGTCAGAGGGCTACGAGAATATTTACCAGTGCAGATCTAGACGGGTTCGCCGAGTCCTTGTATGCGTCGATCGGGCGTGGCCGGTGGGATCGTATCTTGGAAGGGCCCTTGCGCCCGCCGGGCTTGTCGCTAGCGTCGCGCATGCGGACGTCCCGCTCCCGTTCGATGAGACCGGCGCTGCGGAGCGCACTCGCGGCGACGGACGCGCTCGGCTGGGCGGATGTGGTGGCCGATAGCATCGTGGACGGCGAGCTCATCGTCGTCGGCGTCGGCGGGCGATGTGGACGGTGGAGGTCGAGGGGTGAGGCTGAGGCTGCACGAGACGGGTCGAGAAGTGGCACAGTTCAGAACTGTGCGGTCACCGGATGAGGCAAGAGGAACCGCGCTGGGTGAGTCGGAGAAGGCGGTGCATGAAATCATTTACTTCCACGTGACTCGTCGCTACCGGCGCAAAACGGAGCTTGTTGTTCTGCGCCTGCACGGCACGATGAGCAAGAACAAAAAGGGCGCGCGTAGAAGCACATAACGACTCAGGAGCTGCTGGGTCAAAAGCGTCGACGAGGACACGCTGGCTTGCCTCGGTGAGCAAAACCAAGCCGTTCAGCTCGGCTGGTCGAGCCGGTGTGAAACCTCTGCGAGGATTCCCACGGGGTTAATGATATCGGGGTTTCCGCCCCTTGTTTCCTTTTCGCCTCGCTTTGCGCCCTCGCCTGCATTCCTCGAGGCCCAAAACGTCCGCGAACCGTGACACCAATAATCCCCTCGTCGCCGGCCCGACCCCACACAGCAACGCCGAGCCACCCCCGCCCGCTTTGCCGCTCAAGCGTACACAATAGGCGCAGATGGCGTCCACCCTATCGCATGCCCTGCAGCCTGCGTACGGCGATGCCCAGTATACGCCGTACAACTCCCACGCCGTAACGTCCTCCGGCGGGGCGAGCGCCGCCAACGCAAGCGCGAACGGCGCCACCGCACCCTCCCATCAGCGTCACGAAGAGGAGGAGGAGGAAGAAGAGGAGGAAGAGGAGGAGGTCGTCGAGGACGCTCTAGACGACTCCCGCCGGCATCCGAGTCACTCCACCGCCTCGGGGACGGCGAACGCAAGGTGACCCTCTGAGCGCCGAGCCACTTCTCGCCGTGCCGCAGTCGGACTGACCGCTGGGTGTTAGCGCGGCCGCTCGTGCAGCTTCAGATGCCAAAACAGCCGGGACGTCCGACCCGGCCGCGCGTGTCGAGGGGCACGATCCGAACGCGAAGCGGAGGCCCGGCCGACCGAAAGGTTCGAAGACGAAGAGGCCTCGTCCGGACGCGCAGGTGGCCTCCAAGGGCGGGCAGTATCCAGGCTTCAAGCAGCTCTCTCCCCAAGGTGTTCCGTCGGATCTACACCCCCAACACCAGTCGTATTATGATTTCCAATGGAGGGTGCTGAACCTCTGTTCGGAGTTTTATAACGCCGCGGAAGAGTTGATTGTGGGTGAAACGGACGCGCGAATGATTAGCTGAGACTGATAGGTCTGTTCATGTTGACAGAAAGGGACACAACCTTTGGTCATCGCCCAAAACTACCAGATGGGTCCTGGTGCCCACGTCGATCCCATGGCCATGCTCGCCGAAGCGAAACGTATCTGCGATACCTTGGTGACGCTTCTCTTCATATCGCGCTGCTCTATTTCCTTATCCGCCTCCCGTAGATGGCAAATCCGCAACAGCTCGTTGCGCGTCCGCCACCCTCTATCTACCCAGTCGTCCATCATTATCCACCGCCTGCGCCTGCGTCCACCTCCAACGCGACGACGTCCAGTCCTTCCGTCATTAGCACCACTCAAACCTTCGCAATGCCGCTCGCCGCTGGCCCGCACCCGCCTCCGCACCACATGCCCTATCCGGGCGTGTACGCCCCGCCTCCAGGCGCGCAGTATCCCACCGCGCCGTACTACCAAGCCCCGCCATACTTCTACGCCCAGCAGCCGCCGCAGTCGACGTCATACTCAACGTCCCAGAGCCAGACGCCACCGACGACGTCGTCCACGACGGCCCCGTCATCGTCCGCCCCTTCGGCAACGACGAGCGCGAGCACCGCGGCGACGCAGCTCGCGTTCGCGCGAAACGGGCGCGAGGGCGCGTGGAGCGCGGAGGAAGAGGAGCGGCTGCGGAAGCTGGCCGAGGATAGTAAGACCGACGGTTCGCTGAAGACTGGCGAGATCGACTGGGATTGGGTCATTTCCCAATGGGGGTTCAGTCGCACGAGGTCAGTCTGCGTCCACAATCTGATTGCGGTCCAATCAAACGAAGCTCATATCTAACCCGCCCACAGACACCAGATTCTCATCAAAGCGACCGCTATGGGCCTGAAAGAGACCTCGACGCGACCGACCAAGCGTAGGCGTGAAACGGATTCCGTGCAGCCTCAGGACCCAACGCCTGTCCCGACGCCCACGCCAGCAACAGGTCCGGCGCCGACGGCGTCGCCCCACAGCCACGCGTCCTCCGTGCACGCCTCGCCGATGCAGCACCACCCGCCCACGCCTTCGCAGGCGCATACGCGCCCGCCGTCGACTTCCTCCCACCCCGAGTACGCCCACCCGGCGACGAGCGCGCCGCACCTGTCCTGGCCGACGCCCTCCCCGACCGCGAACGGCGGCGGGCCGCCCGGGTTCTCCGGGTTCAGGCATATGACCGGCACCGGGCAGACGATGAAGCCGAACTCGTCGAGCTCCGCTCCGGGCCCGCCGCTGATCAACTATATGTATACTCCCAACGGGCAGGGAGGCGTCACCAGGAGCGCGAAAGCGTGACGAGAGATCTGTGACGCGCTGGCGGCCCATAGATAAAACGTTGCCTGCTAGTTGACGTACTTATCCCGGGGTTTCGCTTTCCGGCCGGGAGGCCAAACATACGGACCTTGGTGTGAATGTAATCCGCTGTAGCTTAGATGTCACGTATAACTTGTTTAGTGGTCGGGATCGATTGTTGATTCTATCCTTTCTCTGGATTGGACGAGTTGAGCTTGCGGGCGCTGATCGGGGTTGGCCCACGTGGCAGCGCAACTGTAAAACGCGCGGTTCGCCCCAATGGGCATTGGTGATATCGGACCGTGGCGGGCGTTCGTCGTTGGTTGCAGTCCAGCGATTCGCCCAGACCAATCCCACTGCGGTACTGCTCACCAGGATCGCCAACGATCGCGAGCCGCCGTCGCCATCGTCGACCGCAAAAATTCGATTTGATCCCGCCGCGGGTTGCAACCCAGCTACAGCATCTGCCCACGCCGAGCCGGTTCGCGGGCACACCCACCGCACACAGCTTCCCTCCCAGCCGCCTCGGTTCGCTCGTCCACCTCTCGGCGCGGAACAAGGGGGCGCAAGAAAAAAATGCAGGCGTCGCTCCAACACTCCCCCGCCGAGCTGAGCCACGCCTTCGGGCCCGTCGCGCCCCATCCGCACGGCGCCCCGCCGAACGCGGGCCTCCTCCCTAACGCGGGCTACCAGTACCGCCTCTCGTCGTCCCCGCCGCTGCTCAACGCCGCGTCCGAGCAGCAGCAGCAGCAGCAGCAAGGCATCGCCGATCCCTCGGGCGTCGCGCTTCTGCAGGTCGCGCAGTCCGCTTCGTCGTCCTCGTCGTCGGCCCAGCAGCACCAGCACAAGCGGAAAGACGATCAGGCGGGCGCGAGCGTCGCGATCCCGCGCAAACGGCGGCGGCACGAGGGCGCGGATCCATCCGACGAGGGCCCGAACGGCGGGCCCAAGCACTGGACGGACGAGGAGAAGACGCGGCTGTTTCGATGGGTGATGGGCCCCGGCCGGGACCTGCAGTTCAACTCCCTCCGGGCGAGCAAGAACGGCTGCCTGCGCGAGGTTCGTCGGCTCTCTCTCTCTCTCCCTCTCTCTCTCCAGCCTCGTTTGATGCCGTGCGATACTCACACCCGTTTCCACAAGTGCGCGCAGCAGGTGTTCGGCGGGCGGAAGACGTACCAGGCGCTGAAGGGCGCCTTCGAGCGCAGCTTTGCCGTGTTCAGGCAGATCTACCAGCTTGAGTCGGTGACGGCGCATATGGCGGACCGGAACGTGAACGTGGTCGACGTCCCCGCCGCGCGTATGCAGGAGTACGAGCGTCGAATACAGGCCGCCCGAGAGAAAGGGGTTGACACCGGCACGCTCAATGCTCGGACCATCGATCAGTGGCATCGGCTGGGATGGTATGATCTATTCTACACCCGGTCAGCGAACGCTCCTCTCCATCCCCCCTTCCGTCGGTCACCACTGAGTCCCACTCGTCGCCAGATACCACGGAGATCCCGCCACGACCAAACCGTCCTCGCATCGCGAGCGGCCCAACCAGTCCGTGAACGATGACCGCGACGAGCACGACGACGAGCACGGCCGATCGGACCTGTTCGGCAACGACGGCTCTGGCGGACTTGACGACGCCTTCGACCATCCGCACACGCAGGACGAGCCGCTCACGAGCGACGCGCACCTCGCCTACCTCCCGGCGCCGCCGACGCCCGAGCCCCGGCCGGCCGTCCGCGCACCTTCGTCCTCCTCGTCGCTCTCTCATGCCATGCCCCCGTCTCCCTCCGCCCCGCGGCCACCTCCGCGTCAACTCCAGCCTCAAACCCAGCTCCAACCCAAGCCGTCGGCCATGGCGCCGCCGCCGCCGCCGCCGCCACCCCCACAAACGGCCGCGACGCTCCCCTCCCCCTCCTCCAGCAGCACGCTGTCTCACCTCTCGTCCCCCGCTTCCACAGTCGCCACCAGCGTCAGCGCCCTATCCGACGACGCGCCGCCCGCCGTCTCGCCCTCCAACCTCGTGCCGACCGTCGCCGCGATCCTGAAGACGCAGAGCCAGGTGATCGACTACATCAAGAAGCGGGACGCGCGGGAGGAGGAGGAGACGAGGAAGAAGGTCGACGGCGAGCAGCTGCAGAAGGTGCAGATGAAGGCCGAGTTCGCGACGAAGATCGTGAGCGATCCGAACGCGGACGTGACGGTGAAGGCGGCCGCGGCGGACTATCTGAAGAGGCTCTTCTTGAGCGATTAGTAACATATATATAACGCACACCGTCGAATCTTGAGCGGTTTGAACGCTTGTGGCGTCGATCGTTTGTATACGGGCGGATGAGTGCCGTTGTCGTAACAGCGCAGCGGCCTGCCGTCTTTCTGTATGTACCGTATACATATTATAAGCATAGCGCGCGTTCGGCTCTGGAAGATCTGAACTGCGGAACGGACGCGCGCGGACCTCCGTCCCGAACGGCCGAGCGACCATTTCTTCTCCGAGTTGGCTGTCGACGTCGATCATGGGCGCGCTGATATCGAGCCAAGCCGGCGCGAAGCCCGCGCTCGACACGCTTCTCGCCACCAGCCTCCTGACGCCCGACCACCGCGAGCGCCTCCGCCCCTACTTCCGCGAGATCGTCTACCTGCCCGGCATCGGCAAGGAGCTCCCGGACGACGTCCTGCGGCGCGTCGACGTCGTCTATGGACTCCTCCCGCCCAGCGTCGACAGGCCCGAGCTCGTGCCCCGGCTGAAGCTCGTGCAGCTCACGAGCGCTGGCGCCGATCGCGCGCTGGAGAACCCGTTGTGGAAGAGCATCGGGAAGGAGGGCGGGGAGGTCGTGTTGACGACTGCTGCCGGTATGACCTCAGGCGTTCTATATGTTTTCCGACACGAGGAGGCTGAGGGTCAACAGGCGTGCATGTCGGGCCCATACCGCAAGTTGGTACCAGTGACTTTCACCCGTCGTCGATATGAAGCTCAAAAGAGTCGATTCCTCCAGTGGTTCATCGCCACGACGCTCTCTCTTTACCACAAGCTGCACGAGCAGATCCTGATCACCCATGTGAGGATACCCGACGCGCATGCTCGGCGCCGTGCTCTGATGATCTACCTCATCCTGGCCCCAGGTCGAAAAGCGATGGCCCTCGGGTGACGAGTTTGGCGGACCCATGTTCGTCCAGGAGCTTCGCGGCAAGACGGTCGGCGTCCTCGGATACGGTCATGTCAGTTCCCCCCCCCCCCCCGCGACGTGCCCGTTCGTATGTGCGACTGACGCTGCTCTTCCACACAGATCGGTCGCGAGGCCGCGCGTCTTGCGAAAGCTTTCGGCGCGGACGTGCTCGCTGCGAACAGCGACGGCAAGCGGAAACGTCAGGAGGGTTACATCGTCCCCGGCACGGGCGACGTCGACGGCAGGTGAGCGCTTCTCCCTCGAACGCGTATCAGTCGCATCATGACCGACCGGAGAGATGTTCTGGCGCGCAGCATACCGAGCGCGTACTACTCGACGACCTCCGCCTCGTCCTTCGCCTCGTTCCTCGCCAAATCGGACGTCGTGTTCTTGTCCCTGCCGTCCACGCCGTCGACGAGGTATATCATGAACGAGAAGACGATCGCGAAGATGAAGCCCTCAGCGATCCTGGTCAACATCGGACGCGGCGATTTGGTCGACACGTCCGCGTTGGTGCGAGCACTCGACACGGGCGAGTCACTCTATGCGCCCCATCTCTTGTCGCTACTAGAGCCGCTGAACGATATTTGGCGTCGATAGGTATCATCGCCGGTGCCGCCTTGGACGTGACCGATCCCGAACCTCTGCCGCCTAATCACACTTTGTATGGGCGCAAGAACGTGATCATCACTCCCCACCTCTCGGGACGGACAGTCAAGTACGTCGCATCCCCGTGTAAAACCGCTGCGCACACGACCGATGCTCTCTTCCCCGCCCCTCCAGGTATTTTGACCTCGCGGTCGACATCTTGGTCGAGAACCTAGATCGTATCAAGGCCGGAAAGGAACTGGTGAACCGCGTCGATCTTAAGCGCGGATATTGATTTCATCTCTTGTTGTTGTTGTTTTTTATATCAAAATATGACCGGAATCGTTTTGCTGAAGCGGAGGGTCGTAGATCTGAAGTTTACGTGATCAATCCAACAGATGTAACTGCTCCTTGCAACACCCTTCCTGAGCTCGTCACGACAGTCAATATTCTTGCCGTTTTGTGCCCATGCCATCAGCGAAATATGCGGATGGGTACGGGATACGGGTACATAGGAATTAGTTTACAAGATCAGGAAATGTGCAAGAGGCGTTGAGCACTCGTTTCTATTCGTCATAAGAATTCCCGGCCGCGCATCGTGGTTATGGGTTAAATGTCAAGCCTGATCATCGTAGTTGTTGATATAGTTGTCGTTGCCCCTGTTTGCGTTTTTGTCCACCGTCAGTGCATCGATCAACGTGGCATCTCGGGAGGACTCGACGCCACCATGCAGAAACCCGTGAAGGCATTCTCAGTTACTCTTGACACCGCTCTCTCGGGCTGGAGTAGAATCCTGCGATTCGATCCAGAATGATGACTTGTATTATGGACTTGGTCCGTCTTGAAACCACGCTTCTATTCATACTCTGATGCCTCATTCAGAAATCCGCTTCTATCACGCAGCTCGATATCCGTGGTTTGTTCGATGACAGTAACTCTCCTACGCGTCTCTATCGCGAAACTGTTGCCGAAGACTACGTCCCGAGAATCGATCTCTCCATACCCCAACCTGAGCATGTACCTGCTCATCCACCTGCACGACATCCCTTGGTTCCCTCAGTTATGCAGATATCTTTAGGTCCCAAAATCTCTCGCGGTCGTGTGGGTATCGCCTACCGAGTTGAAGCAGCTCAACTGTATTCTGCTGATGGGTCAACAATCTCTGAACCGCGCATCCCTCCGCTCGTGGTGAAGATTGCGGGTGAAGATTTCTCCGATGATCTCGCTCGAGAAGCTTGGTTTTACGACGACATGGAGTCTCTGCAGGGATCTGTCATCGCTCGGTGCTACGGCTTCTTTGAGGCGCCGTTGCCGGAACATGCTTCACCCACGCCTTGGATTATGCACAAGGCCGGAGAAGACCCGTATTACCCATCTTTCGATTCTGACTCGGACTCGTATGGGTCAGTAAAGCAGGAACAAGACCCCAGGTTCCCCGTTCCCCGCGGTAAAGGGAGGCAACTCTCCATTCTCCTCCTCGAGGACCTCGGGGAGGAGAAACTACCATTGAAGGACAATGACATGCGCCCAGGCCGTGCTCTCTAGTGCGATGGTTTCATTTCTGATCTCAAATATGCGCTCATCTCGAGACGACCAGCGAGGAAATCCTGGACCTCTACCTGGAGCTCAGCCAGCTCAGAATCGTGCATTCGGATGTCAGGCATAACCACATACTTCGCGCTCCACCGTGCCCCCCGGCGTTGCCAAGCTTGCCTTGTCCTCGCACCGGGCGCACGTACGGCTGGCGTTTGATCGACTTCGACAGGGCCATGAAGATGAACGCTGGTTTGAAATATGTGAACAACACCAACCGCAGTGGTGCCATAAAGCCCATGGCCAACTTACGCGATGGTCAGATTATCGAGCCTTGGGAATGAGACGGGCACGGGTGAGTTACTGTACGTCTATTTATTGTCGCTTGAACCGCCGGTCAATGTTCGACGCCGGTAGATATCACTGCCGGTGCCGCGTTGGACGTGACCGATCCGGAACCTCTGGTGCCTGACCACACCGTACAATCGTCAGAACGATATCCTCATTACTCGTCTCTTGGGATGGACATTTCGGTACTTGCCAGTGTATAGCGTAGAGAAGCAGGGATAAGACACTAGGAACCCTTCCTCCCGTGGAACAGGTAGACAATTTTGCGTGCTTCTGATTGAGGACCTTGGGGAGGAGAAACTGCGTATTTTTGAGACAGGGTCGTGCAATTTATTTGCTCTGTTGTTCTCTGTTCGCTCATTAGATCTCATCATATACAACGAGGAATCCACAAATATCTTTCAGGGGGTTAGCTAGCTCAGAATCGTGCATTCCGACATGCCATGAGCCATGATCACGTCCTCCGCGCTCCAACGTGTCTCTTTAGATCACCGAGTCTTCCCCGTCGACAAGACGCACTTACGGTCGGCGCGTGCCCGACTTACAGGGACTGCATTACCTAATCGGATGTGCTGTCATGGAACAATCAAGCTTGTTAACCTTGTGCTACGCCGCTTCTATACGAATATGCGATTCATACCTTCTCAACTGAACGACGTCGAAAATGCCGAGGAGTACATACCCGGCGGCTTCCATCCAGTGGCCATCGGTGACATCTACGCGAACGGTCGTTACAAAATTCTGCACAAACTTGGCTTCGGGGGCTCCTCCACCGTCTGGCTGGCCCGCGACTATGGGCAGAATACTCCGCACGGCAGACTAGTTGCTCTCAAAGTTATGTGCGCCGACGTTTCAGCTATAGCCGACGAGAAAATGCCCGAGTTGGTGGTCCCTCGGGCGCTCCATGCGATCATGGGCTCTTGCGATTTCCAGATTGTTGACCATCATTTCCTGGTGCAAGGCCCGAATGGGTGTCATCGTGTTTTGGCTTATCCACTCGCTGGTCCCAGTATTCGTGATATGGTAACGGGATCAGGCCGAATCGCCGGCAGTCGCCGTCTACGCGGGGATTTAGCGAGAGCCGTTGCGAAGCAGGCAGCTATGGCAATCAGGCGCATGCATCTTGCAGGCATTGTTCATGGAGGTGAGCTGAAACAGGCGCACTTTAAAGACGTCTTGCAACTCATAGATACACACGCAGACCTCACGACATCAAATATTTTATTTCGTGTGGCCAGGTCTGTTGTTGACTGGACGGATGACGAGGTGTACGCCCATTTGGGTTTACCTCGCTCTGAAGTGGTCAGAACCTTCGATGGTTCACCTCCCGGATTGCACGCAGCCACCAAGCTCGTTGAGTCGGTAAAGCTTTCACGACTGGCCCATCTATCGCTTATTCAAGAACGTATTACAATCATCGACTTTGGCCAATCCTACTTCATTCGCGATCCCCCAAAAGACTACGAACCCGCCACAGCAATCCATTACCAGTCGCCGGAGATGCGCTTTGATGACCGTGCAGGCGCCGAGGCCGATGTTTGGTCGCTCGGATGCGCTATCTTCGAAATCCGTTCGGGATATCCGCTCTTCGAGCCGCTGTTCGGAAGCACAGATATAATGAGGCAAACTGTCGAGACTCTCGGACGGTTACCTGACCCCTGGTGGAACTCCTTTAAGCAGCGGGTTCGGTGGTTCGAGGACGACGGTGAACCAAAGGATATACTGGCTCAGAAGCAGTCCGGGGTCAGGATAACTGCCCGCAAAACTTCGATTTCAGAGAAGCTGCGTTCCATAGGCGACGTTGATGAACCGCCTTCTGCGTACGAGGGCCCGATGATAGAAAGGTGTGGGGTCAAGCTATCGGAGGAGCAAGTCGAATCGCTTTCTGATTTGTTGGGGAGGATGCTGAAGTATCGACCAGAGGAACGCCCTACCATGGAGGAAGTCATCCACCATAGGTGGTTCAATCTCTGAACATTAATGAGTAACAATTCCCCGGGCTCGACTACAGAACGGAAACAATCTCTTACTATCTGGGTCACATGCGTATCATGTATATAGTACGTAAAAGTGCCTGGTGACCGAAGATACGGTGATCCGAAGGGAAACCAAGTCGTATACATATGAACGTTGGCTGGCGGCTAGCGGATACAGACGATGGAATGAACTCGGAAATCGGTGACTCCATAGAAGAAACGAAAGGGACGTACACCAATCTCACGGTTTCGATCCCTAGGGTCCCAGTTGAGGCGTTAATGTGTTTCATTGTAAACCGAGTAGAACATCTCATCGCTACATTTTCGACCCTGTCGGCATCCGTTCAGAAACAATCGAGCATGAAATGGGCCAATCGTGGTCACGGCCTCCAAGCAACGACTACTTAACCCACTACACCCTGCAAAACACTTGTTTGCTCTTGTGCTGCGCCGCTTCCGTACGAAATGCGATTCATACCCTCTCGACTGAACGCCGTCGAAAATGCTGAGGAGTACATACCCGGAGGCTTCCATCCAGTGGCCATCGGCGACATTTATGCAAACGGTCGTTACAGAATCCTCCACAAACTCGGCATCGGGGGATCCTCCACCGTCTGGATGGCTCGCGACTATGCGCAGAATACCCCATACGGTAGACTGGTCGCTCTCAAAGTCATGTGCGCCGACGTTTCAACTACAGCTGCCGAGCAGATGCCCGAGTTGGTCGTCCCGAAGGCGCTTCGCGCGGTCGCGGGCTCTTGCGACTTCCAGACTGTCGACCACCATTTCCTGGTGCAAGGTCCGAATGGGTGTCATCGTGTTCTAGCTCATCCACTTGCTGGCCCCAGTGTTCATAATATGGTAGCGGGATCAGTTCGAACCGGTCGCCGTCTACGCGGGGATCTGGCGAGAGCCGTTGCGAAGCAGGCAGCTGCGGCGATCAGGTGCATGCATCTTGCAGGCATTGTTCATGGAGGTGAGCTGAAACAGGCGCACTTAAGACGTCCTCCGCTCATATATTGACACACAGACCTCACGACATCAAATGTCTTATTTCGTGTAGCCCGGTCTGTTGTTGACTGGACGGATGATGAGGTGTACGCGCAGTTGGGTTTACCTCGCACTGAAGTGGTCAGGACCTTTGATGGTTCACCTCCCGGATTGCACGCAGCCACCAAGCTCGTCGAATCGGCAAAGCTTTCCCGACTCGCCGATCTGTCACTTGTCGAAGAACATGTTACAATCATCGATTTCGGCCAATCCTACTTCATTCGCGATCCCCCAAAGGACTACGAACCCGCCACAGCAATCCATTACCAGTCGCCGGAAATGCGCTTTGATGATCATATAGGCCCCGAGACTGATGTTTGGTCGCTCGGATGCGCTATCTTCGAAATCCGATCGGGATATCCGCTCTTCGAGCCATTCTTCGGAAGCGAGGATATAATGCGGCAAACTGTCCAGACTCTCGGACGATTACCTGATCCTTGGTGGAACTCCTTTGAGGAGCGAGTTTGGTGGTTCGAGGACGACGGTGAACCGAAGGACATATCGGCTCAGAAGCAGACGGGGGTTAGGATAACTGCCCGCAAAACTTCGATTTCAGAGAAGCTGCGTTCCATAGGCGACGTTGATGAGCCACCTGCTGCAGACGAAGGTCCGATGATAGAAAGGTGTGGGGTCAAGCTATCGGAGGAGGAAGCCGAATTGCTCTCTGATTTGCTGGGGAGGATGCTGAAGTATCGACCAGAGGAACGCCCTACCATGGAGGAAGTCATCCACCATAGGTGGTTCAATCTCTGAACCTTAAGGACTAACAATTCACTGGGCTTGATGCTCATGCGATCATAGTAGGAGTCCGGAACGGAAGCGATTTCTTACTATCTAGGCCACATGCGTATCATGTATATAGTGCCTGGTGAATGAAGTTATGGTGACCGAGGGAAACCAAGTCGTGCTGGCGGGTAGAGGACGATGGAATTAACTTGGGAATCCATGACTCCACAGTCGCACACCAGTCTCACGATTTCGATCACTGGAGTCCCAATTGTAGATTATCTCATCGCTACATTTTCGACCCACGTCCTTGACGCTGTCGTCGTAAGTAGTCGTCTACATGGGGTCGTAACATTGGTAAAATCGTCGTCCGTGAGACGGATGGCCGTCAAACCCCGTTTGTCCACACCCGATGCGGCAGCAAGCAGCCTATTACCACTGCAACGCAAACCAACACCTCCATTACCACGTATACGAGCTTCCCGTCGAGATAATGATGCTCAGCGTCGATGGAGAGCGAGAAGAGGGAGTTGGCCGCCGCCGGACCGATGGCGCGCATGATGGAGACCGTCATCTGGCACAGTCCTGGACCGCCAACACGAACTCAGTCAACCGATGTAAGAGGGCGAATAAGATACACGCACCATTCGTAGCGCCGAGCGACGCCCGGTTCGGCGCGGAACCCGAGATAAATATGAATATACAACCGTAGCTCAGACTGATCAGGATCGACAGTACGACTTGCGCCGCGACCGCGATCCACACCAGCCACCCTTCGCGTCCCGGGTCTGCCCGCGCAAGCGCGTTGATGACGGGGAATAGGGCGAAGACCGGGATTGCGCTCGCGATGCCGGCGATGAACACGCGCTTCGCGCCCCACCGGTCGTGAATCTTGGCGAACCAGAGCACCTGGAAGAGCCCGTTGAGAATCCCGAAAGCGGAGAGAATGGCGCCGATGCGGTGCGGAGGGAGGCCGAGGCCGCCGAGAGCGATGGGGGTGGAGAGGAAGAGAGGCTGGATGGCGCGGAAGGCGATGTCTACGAGGGAGAGGGAGGCGTAGTTCGCAGCGGAGACGAGGACGGGGAAGGTAAGGAGCGCGCGGAAGGGGAGGGGGGTATAGTCGTCGGAGGCGGTCTTGGAGGGGATGGAGGAGGCCGTGGGATCGGTGGAGGCGGCGACGGTCTGCAGGGCGAGGTTCGACTTGGATTTGCGGGTGGCGATGAGGGAGGAGAGCGGCATGGGGTTGCGTACGGTCTGGAAAACGAATGAGCGAATGAACATCGATTTTGCTGGTTCGTCGTTACCTCTTTGAGGAAGAGAAGCGTCACTAGCCAAGCTAAAACCGAGAATGTGGCTGGTACCGCGCAGGGTAAAAAATACGGGTATTCCTTGAGGAAGTCCGAGTTTCCGAATACGCTGGGGAACCGTTCCGCAGGACGAGACAACACTCCGCCGATGATAGGCCTATAGCAGGGTTAATTGACTGAACATTGCTTGATCGACGATGCATACCCTAGAGTGCCGCCAGTGCTCCAGGCGATTGGCATATATGCATATGCCTGTGCAAGGTTTCCGGAGTCCATGAGCTCCGCCATCATGCTTTTGATTACCCCAATGTTGCCTGAACGGTATAGTTGAACATGGTTCACTGGCGCTAAAGTTACACTGAACGCACCATTAAGAGCGCCATTGAGGGATCGGCTGAAAACGAGACCCCAGAAGGTCTTGGACAGCCCGAAGCAATACATTGAGAGAGACAAGCCGAAGAGTCCGGTCAGGATTACAGGCTTTCGGCCTAGGTAATCGGACACCCGGCTCCAGTGCATGACGGTCATCGCTTGCGTGGCAAAGAAGATGGATTGCTGTGGTATATTGAGAATATATGCGCGAAACAAGGACAGATTGCGCACCATCATGCCGACATAATACCCAACCTTGGCTTCATCTCCGTTGGTGATACCGAGATCACGGATGAGCTACACAAACGGTAAGCAACCTGCCTCACCTCGTCAGCGGGCGTACACACCTGAGGGGCGAAGGGGTAGATGACCTGGCTCGTGAGCGGCTCAGCCAGCTGCAGGAACAGTACAATCGAAAACTGGTTCCACGGGATCGGACCGGGCTGGGGCTTTTTGTCGTGTCGCTCGTCAAGCAAGGGCGTCTCCTCGTCAGTGGGCCGGTCTCTAGCCACAGTCATGCTCGTCTACGTTGTCCTAAGCAAGATTGACGGCGGGGGCGCCTCGATCGCAGAGCGCTCCTGTTCAAGGAAAAGTCGGCAGCGAGGGAAATAGAATGCCGGGGCCCTGCAGGGTTAAATGTTCGCTCGGAGCGCGAGCCGACGGCCGCTGCCCGCCATCGATGAGTCAGAAGACGTCAACGACGCTCACTCGCCAGGACACGAGGCCGTATCGAGCAGCCGCGACGAAGCATCGAGGACGTGTACCACGATGGCGGTGGGAGTGAAATGAACTGATCGTGATCGGCGTTGTGGGCAGGTGGGGAACGCCAGCCGGGTGCCTGTTGACTTCCTGGCTTCACTCTTAGCGTTCGCATACAAGCTTTCCGAACCCTGCTGGCGACCTCGACGACGGCGGCGACGACGGTGAAAGAGGATGACGAGGAAATCAGGCCACCCGGAGGAGGTCGATATCGGCTCCCTCACTATCTCGAGGGCGGGGCAGCAGCATGTGGTGGAGTCGTCGTCCTCGAGCGATGTGGAACAAGCGATCAGGCAGGAAAATATATCCGCGGGCGACATCGGCATACCTCATCAACCATCACGAATCCGTCCTAAGGCGAAGACGATGCCAGATGTTACTACAAACCAGCCCTACGCGGCGCCCAGTATACTTGGTTTCGCCATGGAACCTGAGAAGGTGCAGAAAATGCAGCGGTGGATCATCGGACTTGTCGTCGGTATGTCAGCTGCGTCTTGTCCTGCTTTGGTGCTGCGCCTAATGCTGCGCTGCAGTGAACTTTGACCTCGACCTGGGTCCCGTCATCCATTCCATATACCCCGACCTTGCTTTCTCCAAGGAGACGAATCAGAATATGTAAGCTTGCTACGTCTTTCGCTTCTGGTTGCTTCGAAATGCTGATGATCACATCAGAGCCTTTTCATCCTTCCCTGATTCCCTGCAATTTGCAGAGGGCGTAATGGATCACTCATTCCGCATCCGCGACTCGGGCACGCGCTCAGGGCCAGCAGATATCGATGGTTTCATCTATGGCTTTTCGCACTTTACGCAGCACAGGGACAGCTCGTCCAAGCGCGGATACCTGCAGGTGCGCATTCACGTTCGTTCATATCCTTCGCAAGGACCTCAAACGTAACGGCATTGCAGCGGTCATTCGTGCTTCTTACCCAGCACGCTTACCCAGCTTTGTTCAGTCACATTTCAGCCAAACTCGGCTCACTGCACAACAGTCATGGCGAGGCCATGCTAGAGGCGGCATGCCACAACATCGCTAGCTGGTATGTACTCCGTTACTCCACATCTCCGATCTCTTGTCCGACGAATAATGTCTGCAAAGAATAGGTCAGACCCGACGGCAGGGTCAACCGTCGAACTTGGTTTTCTAGGCTCCGTGTTGCGTGTTCAGCTCCCGCAGGACCTGGACGAGCCACAGCTATCCCAGATCGCGTCGGACATGGGCGAGCATTATGTTTGTTCTTCAGCCTATATACGATATACCATGTGCTTACATCTTCCACGTTGCCTCCCTTTAGATACCCGCCTCGTTAGCTCCAGCGTCGCCTGCTATTCTTGCTCAATTGGACGCGGCTTTATCCCACCTGTGGTCCATCTGGGAATGTCTGGTTCTCTGCGAACCTTTGCTGATCTACGCACCCTCTCCCTCCATGACGTCTCAAGTCGTCTGGTGGCTACGCGATCTGCTCAGACCGGTGCGCGACTCACCGATGGACTGTAGCGACGATGGCCCTGAGCTTTCACTCTCTAGATACCGTCAGCCACAGATTTCCGGCCCTACTTCACGATCCACGATGATGAATACCCGGCACTCGTTAACCCCCGTATACGACCGAAGTCAGGGCTGCTCCTCGGTGTGACGAATCCGTTCGTCAGCACCGAGTGTTCTCATTGGCCACACGTGCTCAGTCTCGGTCGGGAGTCCAGGTGAGTAGCTACCGGCCCCTTTCTCTCGGACGTCGTGATGTCGACCCCTTCATTGCAGCGGCAGAGCAGATGGTGCGGGACACGTAGCGGGCCCAGCACCGGGCTGGACGACGAAGACCCACAAGCGGTACATCTCCAAAGACCGCGCATTGCTGAAACGCATGGAGAATGCGCGCGGACACGCTGTTGCTGGTGAGGAATCCTCGCTGTTGACCGAACGTGAGCGGATGCTCACCATGCTTGAGCCCAGAAGCCGAGCTATCGCACCTCATCCGACGTCATTTCTCCTCGCGCACGACCTCCCTCCTCGCCCCGCTCAATCGGTACCTCAACACGCTCCTGCCTTCTGCCCCGTCTTCTCTTGCAGTGACCTCCATCACACCCTCCCCATCTCCATCGCCGTCTCTCACGTCCCTCTCTTCTCTCTCCGCACCTGGGCCCTCGCCTTCTCTCATGTCCCTCCCCAACTCCTCAACACTCTCGGCATCCCACCCGCCGCCCCACTCGTCCTCCTCCTCTCATTCGTCACGTCAGGTTCCACCCGATTCTTTCAAGAAGCCGACCGCCCGCCTAAAGCCGTTCTCGCAGACCGCCTTCCTCGCTTCTCTCAAGGCGGGCGGGGCCGCACTACCGTTCAAGTCAGCTGCGAAGCAGAAGGAGTTCTATCAGCGCTGGCTGAAGACGCCCGCGTTTGGGATGTGGTTGGCGAGGCAGGAAGAAGTGGTTGGGAGGGTATTTGGAGGGTAGATTAATCAGGACGGGTACCCCGATTCGAAGGCGTTGTTAGAAGAGGATTTGGCACAGTTGATCAGAGAGGACGAATTCCTGACTACTTCGGGATCTGGCGCTCAGCACTGTGTGGACAATTTTGTAGCTTCTCGTGAGAGGGTGATCTGGCCTGGATCGTTCATGTTCGCCGCGGGCACACGTAGGTTCGTGACCTTGGTTACACGCATCTTGAGTATAGTCGCCTTTCTTCGCTGTAATCCCTACTGCGCAGTATCCCAGAGTCGAGTTAGTCTGCTCCTGCTGGCCGGCGCTTATATGGCAAGCCAGCGCCTAAATCTGAAAAAATGCGCGTTAGGGGCCGTTAGGTGCCTGTCTCAAATTTCTAGCTGGCGACCTACCTTCTCATCGCACTTCCAAGCAAGGGGACGCCTTATCAAACTTTTGGAGCAAGATCCCGGGCAGCTTGCTAGTGGCATCACTGAGCTTGTGCTCTGGTTCAGCTGGCTGCGGGAGTTTATCGTACGCATTCGCCAGTGGCCAGAGGAGCAGGTTAAGCAGCGCGTTCTTGCTATGAATGCCACAACGCAACAGAGGTGAAGTTCAATGCGACATCCTTGGTGTACATTGCTCCTCCAAATCCGGATCATGCCGCATTCCAACGTAGTGCGCTTCCTTCTCCATCGTGGTTGGGCCCTTCTCTCGAAGACACGCTCGGTCACGATGATCGTCTAGTAGCATTGTCGTCCGAACGCAGGAAACGATTTGAAGATCACAAGCGCATAATCAGACCTCCGACACGCGATGGAGCGAGAGCAAAAAACCATGCTGGAGCTCTGCATCGAACACAATTCATCGCTCCCCGTCAATCGCCTTGCTCCCGAAACTCTTTCGTATATCATGGTCCTTGTACAGTGCACCGAATATGTCTCATCAGATGGTGGACGATCCCAGTGGTCACCGGCGTATGTACAAGTTTGTGTTCGCTGGAGACGGATAGCCCTAGCTACGTCGAAGATATGGTACCTCCTAGACGCGATAAAACCCAGGCTGGCGTTGGCATTATGCAAACGCTTCCCAAAGAACCGTCTTCGCCTCTTCTACCGACCTTCGGCAGTTGGCGAAGTCAAGCATGAGCTGGATGCCCTGCACGAGATCGTTCTCAGGTATCCTTCTCGCATATCTGCTCTCCACATAGAAGGCGCGCGTGTCGCTGTTCACTCGGCCTTGCCGCAGTTTCAGACGTACGCCCCTGCGTTGCAAGTGCTTCATCTCGAGCCTCCCGAGCTGGATGACACGCAAAGCAAATACATCACCGGCTACCTCCAAAGCCTCCACGCTCCGAACCTTCGGGAATTGCGCCTGTACCATCTATCCCCTAACTCATACTGGGGAACACCCTGGCTCAGAGCGCTGAGTTTGAGAAGCTTGACGATCACGCCCGGTAGGATGGGGTCATTGCCTGGACTCCACAACGTACTTGCTACTTTGGAGGCCTTATCTTCCTTGGAGGTGTTGGAGCTGCATGGCCGTCTGCCTGAGGAGATCCTGTCTTTGGAGCCTTCGTCCTCCACGCGCAGGGTGCACCTACCGCTTCGCCACATCCAACTGCTGGGCACAGGCCTGGGTGTTGTATCCCTTCTCAGGCACCTGGTATTCACCAAGCCTTTGCATAAATTCGTGACGAAATGCGTAGCAGATGGGCCAAAATACTTCCCTCAGATCTGGCACTACGCCGAGCCGCACTGTCCTTCCTCACCAAGGGTCGATCTCATTATCTCAGAGGACTGCATTCGGATTAGATTCCGCCCCGCGACGATCCTGGAATTTGTATCTTTGTCTTGGGATGAGACGGAACAGATACTGCAGTCGCTCAAACCTTGTTTGCCGCGGTTGAACATTTCCAAGTTGAAATTGGATGACGAGCTCGGGGCGTTGCCTCCGGAGTTGTCGCGGTCGATTCTCGTCGAATGCCGGACGATACAACATCTACAACTCGGTTCCTCTGATGCTGTTCAGATCATTTTCGACGTAATGCGTGTCCATCGCGCTGAAAACGACGGGGTCCAGCTGCTGCCCGAACTGAGGGCTCTCCGTATTTCTCACGTCGAACATGCACCACATTCCCCATGGTTTGGTCCACTGCGCGCGGAATTAGCAAGAAGGCAGGCAAACTCCTTACGAAACGGCAGCTTACCGCTTCGGACTCTCATTCTGAAGGACTGTGAAGGATTGGATGAGACAGAAATTGATCTGTTGAGAGAAATCGAGCCTCGTTTCACTGTAGAGGTCCTGGTGAGCACAATTTTCACTCCCAATTGACATTCTCAAATCTAATTTGTCACCGTGAAGCCTGATGCCGAATCGGGATCAGACGAGGAATGAGACTGGGTCGTCGGACAACACGGACGATTCGAATCACCGCATGTGCAGTGACTTATGGAGAAGTGATGTTCTATTTTCAAACAAGGCCTTATCAATATATGAACGGTGATCTTCTAGAGTACCAGATCCCAATCAGCCTGTATCTACTGACCCAGTGACCGGGGAACATGGCCTCTGCGTATGCCAGCTTTGATGGACTGCCTGGACCTATGCGAACAACGGCGAAGGTTCATTCCCAGGTTTATCATCGGATGCGGTCCTCCGACTGCTTTCCATCCTTCCTCATAATCCGGCTCCAGATTGGACTATCGATATATCCATCCTTCCCCCGATGACGACCACTGAGGTACTGATCGTAAGCGCCTTTCAGCAATATATCCATCGATTCGGATGCAACTCACCCACTGTTGTAAGGTCGGAGCTGGCCCTGCCGGCTTAATATCTGCGTTGGTGCTCGCAAAGAACGGCATCAAACCTCGCATCGTTGACAGGGATGACAAATTCCACGTAGGATCGCGTGGCTTTGGCATTCAGGTCCGTTTTTCGTGCACTTGACTCCAGGACCTTCATTATGCTGAAGTTCAGCTTAGCCCCGCACGTTCGAGCTTTTCCAAACTCTGGGCATCGTGGAAGATCTGAAGAAGCTAGCGACACCCATCCCTACCATGAGAGCCTATAAGCTCCCTGGAGGAATAGAGCCCGTCAAGACGTGGGATCTTTACGAGAAAAGTGAGATCTGGCCGGATCGCCCGTATGTAAGGAGTTCCAACATGTCTGGAAAGAGTACCGCCGACTCACTCGTGCGCGTCTAGGCCAATGGCGCCTGTCTCAGTCAAGCAGTGCTAGAGAAGGTTATCAGAGCCCACTTGGAGAAGTATGGCGTGACTGTCGAACTGAACAAAGGTCTTATCGCGATCGAGCAAGACGCCGACGTCGTAACAGCTACTATTGCAATCCATAGATCCGGTGTCCCGACGGAGGAGCGTGAGGTGGTGGTCGCGAAATACTTGATTGGCGCCGATGGCGCTAAAGGTACGCAGGATTTGACCACTACTATCATTGTTATGACCGACCTTGAAATCAGGATCCTGTCGCAAGCTGTTAGGCTTCACCTTCGGGGGAGAGACACGCGATTCAGATGGCATGGTATGGGGAGATGTCGAGATTCAAGGACTTACAAACGATGTGAGCAGTCTCCCGATTCTGCGGTTGCGGTTGCTTAACGAAACATGTGATCGAAGTACTGGCATATCTGGGGAAAGCCTGGGCAATTCACGCAAGTAGATGACCATGCGGGACGTTCGTCTTGCTCAAACCCGTTATTAGGATCATGGCGCGGCCTTTGAGTCCGTCAGGCAACACGTTCGGCATCGGGATCACGGGCCAGAACTTCGACCCAACAGAGCTCGCACAGCGCGAGAGTGTGATCTCGTTCATTCGTCGGGAAACCGGTCGGGGTGATCTAGAGTTCGGAGAATTCAGCTGGCTTTCTTACTTCAAGTACGCGCAATCACCCGCGCCTGACTTTTACTCACCACATGCAAAGACCTAACATGCGCATGGTCAATAAGTTCCATGAGGGCAGAGCGTTCCTCGTTGGAGGTAAGGGCGGTGGTGTGAACTACGTTCATCATCGTTGATGGTCGTACGCGTTGCTTTCTCCAGACTCTGCGCACGTCCATTCTCCGACTGGAGGCCAAGGGATGAATTGTAGCGTCCAAGATGCTGTAGGCGCTTCTCGGAATAAACACGATGATTGCTATCATGCTGATTGTCTCTTAGTCAAACCTCGGGTGGAAGCTCGCGCTGGTGATCAAAGGCCTTGCTCCTCCGTCATTGCTCCTCTCATACACGGAGGAAAGGTTGCCGGTGATCGCCCAGATGTTGCACGCAACAACGGCTCTGTACACTCATACTGTGGCGAAAGAGCGGCCCCTCGAGACGCCGGTAAAGGAGGCGTCCGAGGGCGAGAACGCTTCCGGCTGGTTCCGATGGAGGAACTCGGCTCTGGAGATGTATGGCATCAACTATCGCTACAGCGAAATCGTCCTCGAGCAGCGCGACCCGAACGACCTGACAAAGGAGGATGCCCTGGGACGGGCATATTCCGGCTACGAAGGCCACGGCAATCTGCGAGCGGGCGATCGCGCACCAGATGCCCCGGGACTCGTGGCTGGAGATGGAACCGAAACGTCGCTCTTCGGCATTTTCAAGGTCGAAAAGCATACGGTTCTGGTTTTTACGGCATCTGGCGATGCTGACAACGTCGACTTGAAGAGCGACATGCCCGACTCTGTGGCTACCCACAGTCAGATCTTCCAGATCTGCAACGAGGCGGGCACCGCTTACCAGAGCGACGTCCAAGTACTCCATGATCGTGACGGCCATGCTCGCGGAGCCTACTTCGCCGAAGCTAATACCACCAACGTGGTGATCGTGCGACCAGACGGCTTCGTAGGCGCCATCGTCCGCGACCAGGACGGGGTAAGACAGTACTTCTCGAAGATTTTTTACTAGCATTGAGTTCTCGTGCAATGTCAATGTTCTCAATAGCAGCGGGCATATTCTCGGTGCTCATCAGCAAGACTGGGTGACTGAGTTGCACCAACCCAGGTGGTAGAGGCGCACCAAAACCGAACCGATCCTGAGAATATTCGCGCAGCTCCATCCACGTGCCTCATGACGCCAACTGCGCTTCATTACTGAGCAGCAACCGAAGTGAAGTATGGCCGCTCAGGATATGGGCCATATTCTATGCAACTTGTCTCTCGACACCTCCTAGCACGACTGTGCAGTACTGCCAGGAGAAACATGTCCGCCGAGCCACCGCAGAAATTCACGATCTCTAAGCTGCCGCTGCCCCCGACGTCTCATGTCCTCACTCACAAGCTCACCCCGGACAACCGCGTCCCGACGGTGGACGCATTTCGGAAAGTGCTGAGGAACGAGAAGGTTCCGGAACTCGAGGACAAGACGGGTCCGAGCATACAGCGACGCGCTCGTTTGCTGGATCCTCCCTGCCACTTCGCATACGTAGCGCCGTTACCTCTCGGCTTCCCGTACGAGATCACGCCGCCGGAGAACGAGGAAGAGATAGAGGACAAAGGAGCTTGGGTGGAGAAATGGCTGGCTGACAGAGAGGCGGTGAATGGTACGGCTGCAGAACCAAATGGAGACGCAAACGGTGCCGGACATTTGGGAAGCCGTCTGCGAATCTACTACCCCAAGAACCGCGATCAACCCCGGGAGCTCATCGGCCTCTCTGAAACTGGCCTCAGGGACTGCCTCCCTCACTTGGATGTTGGAGATGCCTTCGCCGTCTTGGGTACACCCACGCTTGCTCACTCTTTCGAGGACGAGGAGATACAGGAAGGTGACGAGGCACAGAAGAACGTGAGCTTGTTCTAGAAGTGGAGTAGTACGAAGAACATTTTCAAAATTGCTTATAGGCACGTCAAGAACTCATCGACATCGTCAGTGGACACGCTACGCTCATGTCTGACGAAAATTCGGACATGAACTACGCACCCTGGTCTCTGCGTTACAGCGGTCATCAATTCGGCTCGTGGGCTGGTCAACTTGGAGATGGTCGTGCCATCAGTTTGCGTATGTTCGTTGCTTTCACGCTGTCGTCACGAGATTAACGATTCGCTGTAGTCGCGACTCCGCATCCGGCTTCACCTAATCAACCGGATCTTTCGTATGAGTTACAGCTCAAGGGTGCCGGTAGGACGCCGTTTTCGCGTTCAGCGGACGGCTTAGCCGTTTTGCGAAGCTCTGTACGCGAATTTTTATGCTCCGAAGGTTTGTTCGATGCAGAAACGTATATTCAACCATCGCTAATCCCGCTTGCTTTAGCAATGCACGCGCTGCGCATTCCCACTACGAGATCGCTCTCGCTTGTCTCTCTACCCGCGCTCTCCGTATATCGAGAGCGGGTCGAGACAGCGTCCGTGTTATGTCGCGTCGCGCCCAGCTTCCTGAGGATCGGCAGCTTCGAGGCTTTGAACCCGCCAAAGGGTACGTGCACGCTGTCACTCCACCCTTTGCATTTCATGTCCTCAACTGGGTGACGCCTGTGCCGTTGCACCTCAAGTACCCCCGAAGATGACCTCGACCGCTAACAATCTCACAGGCATGTTTTTCTTTGGCGGCGGGCAGCAAAAGGCCGACTACGACGCGCTGCGCATCCTTGGCGAGTGGGTTGCGAAGAAGGTTTTGTTCATGGACGTTAAGGAGAACGAGGCGTGGGGCAAGAAGATGCTGTTAGAGATTGCGAGGCGTAATGCGAGGATGGTGGCGGGTTGGCAGGCGTATGGGTTTATGCACGGAGTAATCAACACGGACAAGTGGGTATCACACCCTGGGAGCTTGTGGCGCATCACTGATGTTGTCTTCAGCGTCTCGGTGCTGGGCCTGACTATTGATTACGGTGAGCGTTGTCATTCAGGGTCCGATCGAGGATTGGTTCTGATCAATGGTGTTGCTCAGGTCCATATGCATTCATGGATGTGTTTGATCCTTTCCATATTTGCAACCATAGCGACGAAGAAGGACGCTATAGCTATCAGGTATGTCAAGCATCGATGTTCCCGTTTGCCCTTCCATGACTCCGTCCTTGATGTCCTGTAGAATCAGCCGAGCATGATGTAAGGACACATATAGCTCCTTTCTTACTGGACTCACGGCGTCATACTTACGCAGTTTATTCGCCATGCGCTCACTTCTAAACGCACTTGCGCCTCTGATTGGAGCGGAGGCCGAACTGGGTAAGGCGGTTGGCCCTCAGTGGGCCTCCGAAAAGTCGAGCGACGAGATTGCAGCGTGGGCGGAGAAGGGTGTGGAGGACGTTCAGGACGAGCTTCAGCAGGAGTTCCAGCAGATATGCGCAGAAGAGTACGGCAGACTCATGCACCAGGTGCGTTCTAGAACAAGATGACTGAAACGGTGATGCTTATGCTACATCTCAGCGTCTTGGCCTTAAAGGGCAGGAGCCGACGGACGAAGCTGAAATTGTTCGGCCGCTGCTGGATCTGATCAAGAACCACAAGCTTGATTTTCATTCGGTGTTCCGGAAGCTCGCCTATTTCCGTCCGAGCCTTCTGGAGTCTTCAGCTCACGTCGACGGAGAGGCAGCTGGAAGCTCGTCAGAGCCAAACACCGGGGCGACGCAGAGCCCGCTTGAGAAGTTCCTGTCTGCCGTCCTGAGTCAGACACCGTACGAACTGCTAGACAGGGCACAGGCCGCGAAGGATGTTTTGACGTGGCTGGACAAGTACGCGGAGAGGCTCGAGCGGGATACGGCGCAGTGGGGCGAGGATGCGGATGCGAAGAGGCAGGAGGCTATGTTGAGCGTGAACCCGAGATTCATCCTTAGGCAGTGGGTGTTGGAGGAAGTCATCAAGAAATGCGAGCAAGACGTGGACAGCGGGAAGAGGGTATTACGGAAGGTGCTGCAGGTCTGTCCACCCATAGTTTCGTCGTGATAGAAGAGTATTGCTGACGAGAATGTGAAAGATGGCATGCTCGCCGTACGAGAAGTGGGGTGCTGAAGATCAGGTTGAGCTCTCGGACGATGTCGATAAGGAGGTAGCGGAAGAACGGCGGTATTGCGGTATGGGCGAGAGGAAGATGCTGGGCTTCCAGTGCAGTTGTTCTAGTTGAATTGCATGGTGCGGCATAACGATGCAAAATAGCTAGGTCAGATTGGTAAATCTTAGTACATAAGCCCTGGAACTCGGAAGCCAATGTACGGACTCGAGTAGTAAGGTGCAGCCCGTGTCCGCCGCAAGCGCAGGCTGAGCCGCAGTTCCCACGTACCACTATCACGAGCCTGTGAACTCACCTACCGCGACGGCGATGCTCCCGCCGGTGGTTAGATCGCCAAGCTGACACGCCCCATGTTGCCTTTGGATGGCATACGTGTGGTTGAGGTGAGCGCGGTGGACTCCCCTAGTCGCGCGAGACCTCATGGAACGCCCTAGTTCGCCGGCCTTGCGCCAGCGCCATTCGCTGGTCTTGTACTGGCCGACTGGGGTGCAGATGTCATTCGTATTGACAGAGCTGGCCAGGCGACTTCCACAGATGTCCTTTGCCGCGGAAAACGTTCCTTTGCTGCAAATCTGAAGCATACGGCTGGCAAAAACATCGTGCTTAAGCTCATTTCAAGTGCGGATGTCTTGATTGACCCCTTTCGCCCTGGTGTGCTTGAACGCCTCGGATTCGCCCCCGAAGTTTTCCTTGGTCCAGAAGGAATCAATAAACGCTTGATATACAGCAGAATTCGGGGGTGCGTAAGTCGATCGTTCTGTGGCAACTGGCGTCACAGGAGTATCTAGCTTTCCTATCGGAGATACTCGACAGAATTCGGCAGGTGGGGTCATGCAGTACATCGACTCTTTCAGCACTCATCGATGTTTTAGGACATGATATCAATTATCTTGCTGCCAGCGGTGTTCTCTCCGTGCGTGAGATGACTCTCATACTCATATGCCCAGCAACGTGAAACCGGACCGGTGCAGATGCTTCCCGGAACGGACAAACCCATGTTTCCGTTAAACCTCTTGGCAGACTTCGGCGGTGGAGGATTGCTCTGTGCCCTCGGTATCATCCTCGCGCTCTTCCAACGTCAATCAACAGGAGTTGGTCAAGTCGTAACCACTGACATGGCGAGTCCTCGGGATAACGTGATGTAACACGAGAATTGAGGGAAAATCATTAGGTCTCAGGAACTCGCTACATATCATCGTTCCCATTACTGAATACTGCGAATATGTCGTCACCGTGGTTCTCCGGCTCCCGAGGCACCAACCTGCTGGATGGCGGCGCCCCATTTTACGATATTTACGTCTGCTCTGACGGTGGATATATTTCGGTTGGATGCCTTGAACCGCAGTTCTTCACCGCATTCATTGACAGCCTACGCTCGGCTTTGCCACGCGACTTCTCTGTGGGAGGATGGATACCGAGCTTGGCGAGTCTCGAGGATCGAAGTCAATGGCCTCAGCTACGCGAATACATTGGTACAGCTTTTCGCGCGCACACCAGAGACTATTGGGCCGGAGTTTTTGACGGTGTGGATCAGACATAACTTATCCGTAATCTCAACTGATCAACTGTTATTATTTAGCGACTGACTCCTGCGTGGTGCCTGTCCTCAGCCCCACCGAAGCATCTGCGAAATTGGGGTCGTCGATTCCGTTGCGACATCCGTGTCTGAGTGCCGCTGTTAATCCGCCACGATCTTCCCACCAATCACACGCGACGATCGCACCCGGTCGACACACTCACGAAGTCCTGATGGAGTTGGGATATTCTGATGCTGATCGACGTCGACTTGTCCTGAGTGGCGCTGTCGGAGGCTCTTCGGTGGGATTGAACATGAATCAAACAAAACTGTGATTGACTACCCACGGGCGGAGCATAGTGTATTATGTACGAACAATACGTAACAGTAACTTCCCACAAGATTCCGGTGCTGGTACTCTCGCAGTGGGCTTGCATACCCCGGCTACCAAACACTGCCGCGGTCGAAGGAATGCACTATGGCCTGGCGCATCGCATTCTGCCCAGCCTCCGGAGCTGTTAGCGTCGCATTTGGCTTTTGTATTCATGCAGGAAGAGAAGAACTCTACAGACGGTCAACGATAGCCAACGATAAGGCTGTAACTGGAATTATAGACGAGCTATGTCTACATCGCGCTGAGAATGCTACAAGTAAGGTGAACGAACGAACCGCTCAGAATCTATGGCATGGCGAAGTCCGCGGTAATCGAACAGCGGGCAACTTAATGATAAGTATGGTAAGGGACGAATATAAGGGAGAGGCTAAGCTGCAGTATAAAAAATCTAGAGAAGGAGTGACTGGTCCATGAATAAATCAAGTAATGGATAGGTGGTGAACACCCTCAATGCTCTTTGACAGCAGGGCGCTTCTCCAAGAGGGGTACGATACGAGTGCGCTTCACCTCGAGCCCGTGACGGCCAAAGTAACGCTGACTTTCGAAGCTCCATTGGTCGTTAGTGCGGACGAGGTTGCCGATGCTCTCGATGTAGCGTTGGACACTCGGCTGCATGCACGCGGGGTCATTCTTCGAGTCTTCCCAGAGCTTCACGAACTCCGCCGCGAGCTGCTCGTGACGCCGGCCAGTAAAGGCCATGGCTCGGGCAAGGTTCATGCCCACGCTATGCATCACGACGGTCACGAAGTTGTGATCGGCGTCATCCTGAGACTGCTCCCGGTTGTAGGAGTACATGTCCTGTAGATCATGGGTAAGAATCCGAACTAAGCGTGAGCTCAAGACATACGTTAGACAGAGTGATCACGTCGATTGCGATGCGAGTCATCTCTTCGATAAGCGGAAGGTCGAAGATTTCCTCCGGTATGTCCTCTTCAAGGAGCATGAGAGCAAGCAAGGGTCTGCAACCGATGTTCTTGCGCCGGACCTCCATGTATCCGTCAATGTCGCGAACGTGCCGACAGTCTCTGTCGCGGGCTTGATCAACGACGGATTCGAGGTAGTCGCCAAAGCTTTTCAGGAAACGGCGCTGCATCACATCGCTCGCATCGACGATTGCACGTTCCCAAAATCTGGTACAGGAAAGTCAGTGAGAGCATTATATACCCGAAACAAACGACCTACTGCCGAGTGATTTCTCCGCCAACCCATTCGCCTGCGGGGCGAGGCTTGTGTGGGTTGCGCAGGGCATCCAGAACAATGTCTACTTGACTGCGGACCACATCCGCAGATTGCAAGTCGGAGAACTCGTCCACGACGAAGAATAAGTTGATCAAGTCGCACCCGACTCTGAGGTGGGCTACACGGGAAGTGAGTCGCAGCACGGACGGGTGGACTCGGGGACAACACACATAGAGACATCTTAGGATAGGCGAGAGCCGCGAACAGGCCTATGCAATATCGTCAGCTTGTCAACAAGGTGTCACGAAGCAGTACTAACCGAAGTCGCAACGGTTGAAGGCATCCTGAGCCCTCGGCTCGAAGGCACGGAAACTCTCGATCCAGGACTGCGACGCATACTTCGCCTCCTGATAGTGGGGGTTAATCCTACGAGGGAAGGGCCATTGTACAAGGGTGCGAGGAATCCGGATGATTTTCTTCTGAGGACGTCCCATATTGGCTGGGTGTGGGTGACCGACTCACCGACTATGAACGAGCTTTATAGAGCCCCGACGCGGCTTCTCCGGGGTGCAGGGATGCGGAGCCATATGAGAGCCAAGTGAACGGCGAAGTCATCGGGCTCCGGCGGCTCGCGAGTCAAAATGTGGGGACGGCGACGTAGGAAATGCATCGGATATAAGAATTGAAACATTTGTTTCACTTCTGTTCTTATTTCCAAGTATAGTCGGTCTGGACAGAAAAAGCGCTGTCGTCTCGGCGTCGACGATGCATAGCATTCGTCGCGCGAACGCGGGGCTGATGGCGAAGGCGCCGCACTGTACATCGCAGGTGCGAATGTGATATCGCGCGGGGCCAATCTGGGGAGAACAATTGGTGGATCTGAGAGCATCGGTTTTCCCGCACGCGAGCGACACGCGGGATAGACGCAAAATGAAGAACTTTGCTCGGGGGAACACCTGGGAACGCGCTCCGCGCCGGCTAGGCCTTCGCGCCCCTTCCACGTTTCACAGTGCCCACGACGTACCGAGCAAGCGTTCCGGCCTATGGCAGCGTTTCCCGCGTGAATACATATCAGCGACCCCATAATATGCAGTGTATTCCGGTGCCGGTTCCGCGCATAGGTGCGGCGAGGGCTCACGGATGCATTTTCGGGAGAAATCAATGTCTGCGCTACGGCGTTGTCCGGTGTCATGCCGATATCACTGTGCGCGCGGTATACCCATTGATTGAAGAAAACTATCGTGCGTGGGTGACCCACTCACAGGAGATGTTGATCTCTCTATGTTGTTTCCAATCCTCGCGAACCACGTCAAGTGGCCAGAACTTCCGAAGCGCGCAAAGCGAACTTCTCCGCCACGCGAGCGAGGGGGTCCTGGGCGGACAAACTTGGCGTGCAAGCTTAACCGAAGTGAACAAGGCAAAAAGATGAGATCTCGAGTTGGCGCTCACCGGTTCATTGGTTCTCGCCTTCGTCACATACGGATCACTGGGCACGGACTCCGCCCTTACTTCACGCGCGGAGTCATTCGGCTAACCATTGCGCAGCGGAAACACTCACTCAGCGGGTCCGCGAATCGCACGGGTTATGTCCGCCTGCAGTAGCGCTAAACTTTGAGACATCAACACAGCCCCGAGCGGCTTTGTTACCATAGGGAGTGTAGAGTTTCGGAAAATGTTGAGAGCAAGAAGGAACGTTTTCAATTTGGGGGTTCTGGCATTACACACGGATCACACGGTCAGGTGAGAGTTATCGCGCGCCACAATGTACTGTAGTTTTACGACCTTATGTTCAGGTTTGTAGAAGGGGGACAGGGACACGTTAGTTCAACTATCCGTGGGAAGTTCATTTTGACCCGGCCCGTTGGTCCTGAAGTGATATACATCACATTTGTGTTTTCCACAGTCAAAGCATTATTTTCCCACACTTAGTTACGGACGTCCGGCAGGTGAGGGGACAGGGGACCACCTGTCATTTTAGGTTCAGTTCATGAAGCCATGGGGACAGGGGACGAACATAAGGTCGTAAAACTACAGTATTACACATTACATAGACTTCCCCCGACTTCCTCTCACTGCCACGCGCATCATTCAGAGCTCCCGCTGCAATCGTAGTCTCGTAACCACACTGCCTGGGCGACGAGCAAGCAAAGTGCCTGTCGGCACTTTGCTTGCTCGTCGCCCAGGCAGTGTGGTTACGAGACTACTGCAATCGCACCGCTGTCATTGCATGTACACAAATGGCCTGCAGGGTCATGCTATACAGGGTCATGGGTGTATCACTGACCAATATCTCAGTTCACACCGGATCCTTTTGTTCTACAATAGCTTCCAGGCGCGCTGGTGGACGATGATGCACAGGCATCAACGGGACCCATCAGCGAGACCCATCACAGATCTCGTATCTGGTCAGGGTCGACGTATTTGCGGAGCAGCGCGAATTTGGTCATGCTATAGCATCACGGAATTGGAACGCGTATTGCGGAGCTTCGGTGCGACGGCCTCGTGGATTTCATATTCCGAACATCGCGTCTTCGAGAGACCGGAAAACTGCGAACGGTGCTGCAGCTCTTTCAATCTTCACACTTTTGTTCCCAAACTCTGCTTGTGAGACAACAAGCGGGAGCGACGGGACCATGCCTTAATAATATACGGAGAAACATAGATCCCTTACTCACCGCGGTCGCAATACTTATCAGCACCATAATTGCACCACAAGCAGTATCGGTGTCATACACCCTCTTGCGCGTTTGCATGGGCGCCTCGAGCGACAAATTATTTTCTCCGCACTCTGAAGCTCCGTCTTTTACTGTCGGATCTTCTGATCAGCCACCGTCGCGGTACTTTGGACGGCATCAGCCGCACAGATCGGAAATCGCTCAGCTGGGAAGGGACGAAGTTTAAGTTGAATAGCACGAGGCAAGGCGTACAGTCTCATTGCCAGCTTTTTGTTCTCAACCCATTCAATCTCCGGTGCCGCGATGAGCGATGATGAATGCCGCAAAGGTCAATGGGGCTGAGAGCTCATCGACATCGATGAACATTCTTTTCTCCATCTGTCCTCCCATCCAAGCGCCGTAAGCTCGTGCCGACGGCCCTTTCCTTTGGGAAAACAGCGCGCTCGGTTGTCTCGGTCGAACAAAAGGGGAGTGGCGGTGGACTTGCCATATTTGGACCCGTATTGTCCACAAAAAGCAGGTGGGCACCGCCCCAGACCCGACGCTTCGGGCTTGTCGCTGTTGGTGGCTAACCAATGACCGACGCTGTCTCACCGCGCCCAGCATCGTGAGCGGCGACGGCGGTCATTAAACCTGTCCTTCCTCTTCCTTCATCTCAGCTGGCCTGGTCTTTGCTGTCGCGTCCCCTTTCTTCTTCCTTTCCACTCTTTCATCGACGTACAAAACCCCTGTTCAAGTTCTTGTGTCTGTCTGCGATCACGATGTTCAATCCGGAGTCACTTTGCGGTCATCAGCGCTTTGCGCTCAGCGTACGTTTCACGTTTTCTTAGCTGGGCCAGAGCTAATACGCAAGCCGGGAATGTAGGGCTCGCCCTCGACCTGCGCCCTTGATGTCGTTATAGTACCGATTCCGTCCATCCTCTTCATTCTCGGTTCCGGGGTGATTCTCCTCAAGTCTGGAAGGTCCCTGTGGCACCCGCAGGTTGCCGGCGGCCTACCCAAGTGGCTCCATATTCTCTACGCAGCGCTCGTGTTCGCCGCGTTTGGCATGGGCGTGTTGGAAATCGCGCGGGACATCGCTGCGGACTTTGGCGTCGGCTTGCTGCCTATAGATCTAATTGCTGTAGCGTTCGCTTTCTTGCTGCTGGCTGTCAAAGGCCGCAGGAGGTCCTCAACGATCAGCCTCGTGAGTTTACCGCCCCTACTCAAGCTCGGAGTGATTTGACAACTGACGAATTCACGATGGCAGCTGTTGGTCGTGTATTGGGCGCTGTACGCCATCGTAGCCGTAGTCAAGGTTGCTCGCCTGCACCTTCTGGAGACGGAGAACCCGACGACGATGAAGAACTCGAACTACCCAAGCTCCGATTTGTTCCTGGATAACGCAGTCATGGTAAGTGCTGCATCCCACCAGCATCGAATGGGCGCGTTTCGTCTGATGTTGGGTGACATTAGCTCGGGTTGTACATTTCCTTCACGATATTCGAGATGACCCAGCTCTTCTTGGTACGAGGTATTGAGGACAAGGTGATCAAGTTTGGCGCCATTCCGACCAAGGTCTAAGCCACTGGCAACTGTGTGCAATCGGATTCATTGCACTCGCGACGCGCACGGCGTTCTCGATTATGGATGGTTGTATACTACTACTGGCCTGGTGTATCAGTATAATATTGTGTACGTGCTTGTATGTCCAGGAGGAATATACGCTGCAGCATGTGGAACAACCAGAACCATAAACTCGGGTTCAGCTTTTCTTCCAGTGCATCTTCCACCTTTGCCCGAGTTTGTGACATGGCCTCCGCCGCAACGACCTCGAATAATGCGGGCTCGGCAGTGGCAGGCCTACCCACCGCCTCTTCGTCAAAGGTAGATTCACATCGCGCCCGTGTTCCATGGTGCCAACGATTCATAAACAGGCTTGTAGGGCAAGACGAAGGCGAAGCAACGATATCTGAAGCGGAAGAAGGAAAAACGTAAATCGAAAAAACGCGCGCCTGCGCTCGCAGACAAAGGGGGGAAGCAACAGGACAAGGCAAAGGATGCCGACGCAGATGTTGACATGGAAGGCGAGGGAGAAGAGGACGAAGATTGGGAGGATGTGCAGGAGGAGCGGGAAGATCAGGAACAGGAACGGGGAGTAGATGAAACAATGGAGAGGAAGAAGCGGAGGAAGGAGAGGAAGGAAAAGAAAGATGGAGAGCGGAAGGATAAGGCGGGGAGGGAGCGCAAACGGCGGAGGCTCTCGCCACCCTCAGAGCACGAGGAGGAGGAGAAGGACAAGCCTGACGAAGATCAAGACCAAGTTGCCGAAGCAGACGCAGACCGGGGCGATAAACCTGCGCCGCCGAAGAGACAACCGACGCCCGACCTCCCCGGCGCGCTCCCGTCGTTCCCGCTCCCGCGACGACCAGACGCGCCGTCCAAGCTCGATCTCGCGTTGCAAGGGCTCGACAGCGCGCTAGCGAACGCGGAGGTTGTTGATCCGGCCGTCACGCGATCCGTGGACGATGCGTCGCTGAGCGAGAAGATGCGCAGGCGGCTGAAGGAGCTCGGAATCGGCGAGCTGTTCGCGGGTGAAGTCTTTCTGCACCATCCCCCCGGTTATTCATCTCGTACTCACTGCTGCGTGGTGTGCAGTGCAGACTGCGCTCCTGCCGTTCCTCCTCCCGTCGTCGCCCGCGCAGCGCGCGCTGTACATGCCTTATGATCCGCCGCGCGACGCGTGCGTCTCGGCGCCGACGGGTAGCGGCAAGACGCTCGCGTATGTCATTCCTATAGTCGAGGTACGCCCCCCGCCTCCTCTTTCTCGTTCGTTTGCCCGAGGATCAACAGCTGACGTCAGTATAAATTCGCGCAGGTATTGGCGTCGCGGATTGTAACGCGGTTACGCGCACTGGTCGTGCTCCCGACGCGCGATCTCGTCGCGCAGGTGCGCGAGACGTTTGAGGCGGTTGGGAAAGGGCGCGGGCTCAAGGTGGGCTTCTTGATGCATGCAAAGAATTCCTTTGAAGCTCATATACGGTATAGATCGCCACCGCGACAGGCCAACATTCGTTTGCCCACGAGCAAACGCAGCTTATGGCAGACCGATCGAAGCCGTATGTTTCCTTACCACCTCAGTTCGGAGAAACGAGATCTGACGAAGCATATGCGCGTGATCGCCTTGTTCAGGTTACTCGGCGGATCGAGCAAGGTCGACGTGCTGATTTGTACGCCCGGGCGGCTGATCGACCACCTCGAGGGCACGCCCAACTTTACGCTGCAGCATCTCCGCTTTCTCGTACGTTTGTCTGTTGATCATACCCTGAATCAGACCCGACGTGCTCAGTCAAAGAACAGGTAATTGACGAGGCGGATCGCCTGCTCGCGCAGTTGTTCCAAGACTGGCTTGCGAAGGTACTGGCCGCCACACGCCCGCCGTCTTCGCTGTCTTCCGCCTTTGCCTTATCGTCGCCCTCCTCCTCTGTGGTACCCCATGCGGACGCGCTTGCGCCCGCGTTCGCCTCGCTACTCGGACTCAGTCCTTCGTCCCCCTCGGGCCTGCTGACGGAGTTCGACGAGCCCAAGGCTTCCTCGTGCCAGAAGCTGCTGTTCTCCGCCACACTCACGCGTGACCCGGGGAAGCTCGCGGCGCTGGCGTTGAGGGAACCCAGGTACTTTGTCGTCGCCGGCGAGCGCAAGCGTGCACAAGGAGCAGAAGAAAGGGAGGAGGAGGCAGGTAAGATGGACGGCGTGGTGGACTTTGTGATGGAGAAGTTCAGCGTGCCGGAGACGTTGGAGGTGCGCTCTCTCCTCTTTCTCTGGTCTGAATCCATGGACCTCCTTTCTGAACGGCGATTGTGCAGGAGCATTACCTCGTCACATCCGCGGCGCAGAAGCCGCTCGCGCTCATGTACCTCGTGCACGCGCGGGGCGTCGGTGCGGACAGCGGGGGCGTGCTCGTGTTCGCCAAGTCGGCCGAGGCCGTCGCGCGTCTGGTGAAGTTTGTCGAGTTTTTCGAGGAAGCGCGCGTTGACGCTCTCCCCGCGGATACCGGTCGGCGGCGGGTGAGCGTGAAGGCGTATTCGAGCGATCTGGCGCCGGGGGAGCGGAGGGCGATCTTGGAGGGGTTCAAGGCGCGAAAAATTGACATGTGGGTAACTTGACTTCTCTTTTTCGACTTTGGGTTGGATGCGGGGCGTTTGCTGACGTTATGGGGATAGGTTGGTGTGCTCGGATTTGGTGGCGCGTGGGATGGATATTAGCCATGTGGAGCATGTTGTGTCGTACGATGCCCCGGTGGACGTGCGGAAGTATGTGCATAGGGTGGGCAGGACGGCGCGGGCGGGGAGGAAGGGGTGTGCGTGGAGTTTGGTGGAGGAGCAGGAGGTGAGGGTTTCTTACTCTTGCGTCCTTGCAGTGGATGTCCAGGCTGACGTCGGTTGCAACGCAGGCGAGATGGTTCAAGGAGATGCTGCGCGAGGCGGATCATCTAGCGCGGGTGAAGCACGTTAGGGTCAGAGACGAGGAGAAAAAGTGGAAGGAGCTGGTGCCGTTCAATGAGGTGAGCGGTAGCCGACTGGTCATCCTCACAATCAACTCATGTTTGCAACTCAGGCGGCATTGAAGAGGCTCAAGGAGACGTATTCGCGATGATCATGGCGCGTGCCACCGGTACTCATCCTACTATAGTGGTCTGCATCTCACTGGTCGGTCTCGGCCCCCGCGAGGAGGAGATAAGATCGGGTGCTTATCAGGACAGAGGGCGCGCTTCGGTGCAATGAGGCTGTGCTTCACGTCGGGACGGAGGTGAGCATGTGGCGCAGGACGTGCCGTTGGCGAGCCGGGCATGAACGCGGATGTGGAACTCCCGTCGGAGAAACTGAACTTGGGTCAACCTGTTCGCTCGTGGCCGTTCGGGCATCGTCGACTGATCGCTCGACGCAGAACAAAGCGGTAATAGCGAGCGTGCATTGCAAAAGTAATTGTAAACGCGCCCAATATGACGAATTTGACGGTGATATATCATTCGCTGTACCTCGTGCTGCGCCCCTCCGGTAACGCTCCCTCCCGCAGTTGGCTGTGATTGCCTCTGATTGCACGCCAGGTCTAAAGATGGCACCGCGAACCGCGGCCTCCGGCCTCGAGCATGCTGCGGGGCGCAGGGCGGACCGCATGGGACGCTGACTCAGGCCAAAATACAAAATCTCGCCTCCGGGGTGGGAGCGTTAGCTTTGCCTTTGCGCTGCTGCGACCTTTCGTGCTCGTTGCGGGAGAGAACCGTTTGGGTTTTGGGTCCTGCGCTTCAGCTTACGAGCAGTCGATCCACCGGTAATAGGAGGTGGGGCAAGGTCCGATTGACTGTCTTCAACTGGGAGCCGGCATTCGTCATCGACTCGTAGACGCCCTTCATCCCTGTCTCTTCAGCAAGGAAGGACGACGTCGAGCAGTAACGCAACGATGGCACGGACGAGCACCGACAAAGTACAGGAGAAGGAGATGAAGGACGTCGAGGCCGGCAGCATCAAGACCGAGTCCGCCGAGGACGATTTGAAGAAGGATATTCAGCAGCAGCCGGAGTTGGTGGGATACGATAAACGGCCGATGTGAGTAGCGTCGTTGTTATATATATTCTGCAGCGCATTGCAGAGCGAGGACCTCCTGGATGACTGTACTCGTCCGGTGCTCATCCCGCTCGGCGATCACCTCATACTCCCGCTGCGCGTCCCACACTTTTCCTAATTGCTCTCTTCGTCTCATTGCAACAATGGTATACTGATTATGGAGTTATGCTCCACAGATGGCTCCGCGTCCCCTTCGTATCCAGCCACCGCCCCCCGCCATCCGGATCCGTCGCCGACGCGCCGCCCATCCCCGAACAAAACGCGGGTTGGTTTTCGCTCCTCGCCTTCAACTGGATTACGGACCTCCTCGCGCTCGGCTACGCCCGCCCCCTGGAAGCGTCCGACCTGTACGCGCTCCAGCCCGAGCGCTCCGCCGCCCTCATCGCCGACCGGATTGAGGCGAGCTTCGAGAAGCGCAAGGCCAAGGCGGACGAGTGGAATGCACGCGTGGCGAGAGGGGAAGTGAGGGCGCCGGTGTGGAAGCGCGCGCTGTGGTTGCGGAGCAGGAACGGGGTGGAGCTTGAAAAGCGGTGGAGGGAGCGCGAGGGGAGGCGGAAGGCCAGCCTAGTGTGGGCACTAAACGACGCGGTGTTCTGGTGGTTTTGGAGCGGAGGAGTGTTGAAGGTCATCGCTGATACCGCGCAGGTCACGTCCCCGCTCATGGTCAAGGTACGCGAGTGCTTCTTCCGTCGAATTGTGCATCGCTAAACGCACCGCATATAGGCACTCATTACGTTTGCGACCGATTCCTATCGCGCGCACAAGCTGCACGAAACCTCGCCCCACGTCGGGCGCGGTGTCGGTCTCGCCATCGGTCTCCTCCTGCTCCAGCTCCTCGCGTCCGCATGCACCCACCACTTCTTCTACCGCGCCTCCTCCACCGGCGTCCTCCTCCGCGGCGGACTCATCACCGCCATCTACCGCCGCTCGCTCCACCTCTCCTCTCGCGCGCGCTCCGCGCTCCCGAACGGCAAGCTCGTGAACCACATTTCGACGGACGTGAGCCGGATCGACTGGTGCTGCCAGTTCTTCCACATGTCCTGGTCCGCGCCGATCCAGCTCGCGGTTTGCCTCGTCATCCTCCTCGTGCAGCTCGGGCCTAGCGCGTTGGCCGGATTTGGCTTCTTCGTGCTCGTGACGCCGTTGCAGACGTGGGCGATGAAGCGGTTGTTCGGGATCAGGAAGAAGAGCATGGTGTGGACGGATAAGCGCGCGAAGCTGCTGCAGGAGCTGCTCGGCGGCATGCGCGTCCTCAAGTTCTTCGCATGGGAGGACGCATTCCTCGCCCGCATCGCGGACTATCGCAAGCACGAGATTACGCGAGTCACCCCCTGCCTCCTTCCTTTTGTGTACGCTCGTCTGACCTTTGTATCCGTTAGGCACATTCGGAGCTTGCTCCTCCTCCGTTCGGTGGCCAACGCGGTGGCGATGAGTCTGCCCGCGCTCGCGAGCGTGCTCTCGTTCGTCGCCTACTCGCTCAGCGGGCACGCGCTCGAGCCGGCGGTCATATTCACGAGTCTGACGCTCTTCCAGCTCCTGCGCATGCCGCTCATGTTCTTGCGTGCGTTCACTCCTTGACCGGACCATGTCATCCCCCATCGTTGCTCACGGAACACGTATCTAACAGCCGTGTCCTTCTCGGCCATCGCGGACGCGCAGAACGCGATCGAGCGCATCTACGGCGTGTTCGAGGCTGAGCAGCTGGACGAACACAAGACTTTCGATCCCGACTTGGACGCAGCCATCGAGGTCGAGGACGCTGATTTCACGTGGGACAGCCCGCCGCCCGCCGAGGTGCAGAAGAAAGAGAAAAAGAACCGGCTCAAGGGCCTCGGGCGGGCGCTCAAGGGCAAGAAGACGAAGTCGTCCCCGGGAACGCCGTCGGGCACGGGCGCGGTCACCCCGGCCGTCGCGGAGGAGAAGGACAAGGGCGAGATCTTCCGGCTGAAGGGGATCAACCTCTACGTGCCCCGCGGCAAGCTCGTCGCCATCGTCGGCCCCGTCGGGAGCGGCAAGACGAGCCTGCTCGAGGGCCTCATCGGCGAGATGCGGCGGACGAGGGGCGCGGTTGCTTTTGGAGGGAGTGTCGGCTATTGCCCGCAGAACGCGTGGATACAGAACGCGACGATCCGGGAGAACATATGCTTCGGCAGGCCGTGGGAGGAGGAGCGGTACTGGCGCGCGGTGAAGGACAGCTGTTTGGAGGCCGACCTGGAGGTCTTGCCGAACGGCGATTTGACGGAGGTGGGCGAGAAGGTCAGTGTTCGCGAGCTGCCTGCGGGAGGAGCGTGAGGCTGAGGCGCGGTTACGACGTAGGGCATCTCCCTCAGTGGCGGGCAGAAGCAAAGGCTGAACATCTGTCGCTTGATCTATTGCGACACGGACATCCAAATCTTCGACGTGAGTCTCCCCCGCATGTGACCCTCATCGTTGAATGTCCGACACGTGTGCCCTCCAGGACCCGCTGAGCGCGCTCGACGCGCACGTCGGGAAAGCCGTGTTCACCAACGTGCTCCAGAACGCGGCGCCGGGAAAGACGCGCCTGCTGGTCACGCATGCGCTGCACTTCCTCCCACAGGTGGACTATATCTACACGATGGTCGAGGGGTGCGTCGCCGAGCGCGGGACGTACGCCGAGCTCATGTCGCAGGAGGGCGAGTTTGCGCGCTTCGTGCGCGAGTTCGGGAGCCAGCTCGCCCGCGAGGAGGAGGAGGAAGAGCGCGCGGTCGAGGCCGTCGAGCTGGCCGTGACGGACGAGGAGGAGGAAGCGGAGAAGCGCAAGGTGGAGAAGAGGCGGAAGATGATCGCGGGCAAGGCGATGATGCAGGTCGAGGAGCGCAACACGGGCGCTATCAGCGGCGGCGTGTATGCGGCGTACATACGTGCGGGCGAGGGAAAGTTGCTCGTGCCCTTCTTGCTGCTCAGTTTGACGCTCATCCAGGGCGCGACCGTGCTGTCGAGTTACTGGTGAGTGCAAGGAAATACCGCCGCGTACATCGAGCTGAAGCAGGCGCGGTGCAGGCTCGTGTGGTGGCAGAACATGTCGTTCAACCAGTCTCAAGGCTTTTACGTACGTGAATGCTTGTCGTCGAGGTGGACATGCGGGCTCATCTAGGGTGTAGATGGGTATTTACGCGATGCTTGGTGTTTCGCAAGCGGTGGCGTCAACGTTCATGGGCTTCGCATTCTCGTTCCTCACGTACTACGCGTCGAAGAACCTGCATCGAGACGCAATCACGCGGGTGATGCACGCGCCGATGTCGTTCTTCGAGACTACGGTGGGTGTTGCGATCACCTCTTCGACGACGGAGGTGGTACTGAGGCCGTGACGCTGGCAGCCCTTAGGACGGATCATGAACCGATTCGCGAAGGATATTGATACCATCGACAACACATTGGGAGATGCCTTGCGCATGTTCGCCAATACATTATGTACGATATTCTCTTTCTTCCTGTGATTGCCTGTTCCTGACGGTGTGTATAGCGGGCATTCTCGGCGCCATTATCTTGATTTCGATTATCCTGCCCTGGTTCCTTATCGCCGTATTCGCGATCCTGTTCGTCTACTATTTCTATGCCATCTTCTACCGTTCAAGCGCTCGGGAGCTCAAGGTGAGGTTCCCAATGCTCCGCGAGATTAGATACTAACGACCTTGCAGCGTTTGGATGCAATCTTACGATCGTCGCTCTACTCGCATTTCAGCGAAAGCTTGTCGGGCCTGGCCACCATCCGGGCGTACAATGAGACTGATCGGTTCATCAAGGAAAACAAGGAGCGCATGGACATTGAGAATCGCGCGTACTGGCTTACGGTCACGAACCAGCGCTGGCTCGGGATCCGGCTTGATTTCCTTGGCACGATCCTCACCTTCATCGTCTCGCTCCTCACTGTCGGCACGCGCTTCTCGCTAAACCCGGCGCAGACGGGCGTCGCGCTCTCATACATCATCTCCGTCCAGCAGGCGTTCGGCTGGATGGTCCGCCAGTCGGCCGAAGTAGAGAACGACATGAACTCGGTTGAGCGTATCATGCACTACGCAACGGCCATCGAGCAGGAGGCGCCAGCGGAGGTACCTGGGAACAAGCCCCCCGCGGATTGGCCCGCCAACGGCGAGGTCGAGATGGAGCAGGTTGTGATGAAGTATCGCCCCGAGCTTCCGCCAGTGATCAAGGGTATCAGCATGCGCGTGCGTGGCGGCGAGAAGATTGGTATCGTTGGCAGGACGGGCGCCGGGAAGAGTAGCATCATGACCGCGCTCTTCAGGATCGGTGGGTGTGCTTGCGACGGTCATGGAAGGTCGCGGGTACTCACATCAGTGGATCTCATTAGTCGAGCTCTCCTCCGGGACGATCAAGATTGACGGAATTGACATCTCGAAGTTAGGCCTCAAGGATCTGCGAAGCCATGTAGCTATCATCCCTCAGGATGCCTTGCTGTGTACGCTACCGGTCTTGCTCTTTCTAATCCGGTGCAGTTACTTACCCATAACTTTGCAGTCTCTGGCACACTGCGCAGCAACCTTGATCCCTGTAAGTCAGATACATTTGATGACAATGCATACGTCATTAATCACGCACCCCGCAGTCGGATTGAAGGATGATGCCTCGTTATGGGATGCACTTAAGAGATCATACCTAGTCGAAGACACCAAGACAACGTCACTCGATCTCTCCTCCGAGAACGTTCCTGGCGGAGCGCGGAGCCCCGTGCAGCGGTTTACGCTCGACAGCCCTGTCGATGACGAAGGCAGCAACTTGAGCATTGGCCAGCGATCTTTGGTTTCGCTTGCCAGAGCGCTCGTAAAGAACTCGAAGGTTCTCATTCTTGACGAGGCTACGGTGCGTGATGTCCCCATTTGGCGCTGCACCGAGACCATGCTGACCACGGTCGTTCAGGCTTCGGTTGATTACGAGACGGACCAGAAAATTCAGGATACGATCGCCACCCAGTTTGCAGACCGGACAATACTGTGCATCGCTCGTGCGTTACCCATCCTTCGCCCGTTTTTCAAGCCATGTTTACCTATGTCACGCCACAGACCGTTTGAAAACTATCATAGGCTACGACCGCATCTGCGTGATGGACCAGGGAACAATAGCTGAGTTGGACACGCCCGCGAATCTGTATCAGAAGGCGGACGGCATATTCAGAGGCATGTGCGAGAGGAGCTCCATAACATTGGAAGACATCAAGCATGCGGCGAAAGAAAGAGACATGGACATGGAATGAAAAAGATGGGATCTTGTTCATTTCCCTGCCGTTAATCGTGGCTGCCTAACGATTTAGTGAATGTGGGTGTAGATAATAATGTATAATGCAACACTTAGACGCGAGCATTCGCCATGAAGCATCTAGAGAAAGTCGCGCGAGGTCATAGTCCTTCTGCAGGTCACAGCTAACTCGATACATTGCTGAACAGCGCTGTGCCGTGCTTCTCGCGATCCCCTTGTTCGTCTACTCATCCCGACTGAAACAAGCGGATGAATGCGGAGCAGCTGGATTCGACAGCGGGAGCAATCCTTATTAATAGTAAATTGAGTGGCTATGGACTGCATGCTGCAGGCGCCAGTAAGACGAGAGCAAGACATGAGCTTTCCGGGGATATCGGCGTGTTCTTTCAACCGCCCTAAGTATCAAGCTGGAAGCGGACAGGATGGCTTGAATTGAATCAGCGAGCGCTACAACCGGGAGAGCGCCAACGGTTAACGGTTTGCGCGTGAGGCCGTCCGCGTTGACACAGGTCCGCAGCTCGCAGTGTCAGTCGCATCCAGTCAAGTAGTACAGTACAAGAGTGTGGCAACCAGTGCGCGGTGGACGGAGTGAGGGTGTGTGATGCTTTGATGGTACATACATATATCAGACTCCGCGTCGGCGCTCGGGAGCGAGCCACATCCGGGGACGAATGACGAGCAGCTGATTTCGCGCAGAGCAGTGTGCCATGGGGGAAGAAGCTGAAACATGTGATTACGCGAGGAGGTCGGTATAATATCTTGTCAGACCAGTTGCCCGTCGTTCATTTCCAAGACTCCTCGTATATACCCCTGCGTCTGTTGATACAGGGCTGCGGTGATCGTTCGCAGTGACGCTTGTGGCCTTGACTGCGCACCTTGAACCTGTACTTTGCACCAACATCGACACCACAATGGCCACGAAACAGCTGAAGGAGTTCACGAGGGAGGAGGTTGCGAAGGTGTGTTATCTTGTCTCTCACATACAAGCAGGCGCTGAATGGGATATTGTGTAGCATAACAAGCAGGGAGACTTGGTACGCTGGTCGTTACGGGCCTAACCGCGACCTGACTAACCGGATGAACACGCAGTGGATCATCATCGATGCCAAGGTCTACGACGTATCGCGCTTTCAAGATCTCCACCCGGGAGGCGCCAGCGTCTTCTTCAACGACGATATCCCCGGCGACGACGCTACGGAAGCCTTCTACGGCCTGCACCGGCACGAGGTTCTCGAGAAACCGCAGTACGCGCGCCTCGTCATCGGCACGATCAAGGATGAGAAGTCGGTCGTCCTCGGACACCAACCCGGCGAGCTCTCGGAGGTGCCGTACGGCGAGCCGACGTGGCTGACGAAGGGATACCATAACCCGTACTACAAGGAGAGCCATCGGAAGCTGCAGCAGGCGATGCGCAAGTTCGTGGACGAGGTGATATATCCGGACGCGCAGGCACGGGAAGAGGACGGGAAGCGGCCCAGTCAGGAAGTATTCGATAAGATGGCGTACGTTCCTCCTCCGTCTTTATGTGTATAGTCTTCTGGAAAGCTAACTGGTGACGTAGTGAAATGGAGATTCATGCTATGCGCATGGGTCCGGGCAAGCACCTGAAGGGACGGAAGCTCATGGGCGGCATCGTCTCACCCGAAGAATACGACTACTTCCACGAGGTTCGTACTATATTCCTGGTTTTGCTCTCTTCATCTCGTGCTCACCTGACGCAGCTCGTGGTCACCCAAGAACTGACCCGCATCGCCGCTCGCGGATACGGCGACGGCCTCCTCGGCGGCAAGGTCATCGGTCTCCCGCCTGTGCTCAATTTCGGCTCTGAGGAGCTGAAGGCGCGGATCGTGCCCGACATTCTCGCCGGCAAGAAGTTCATCTGCCTTGCGATTTCGGAAGCATTCGCGGGAAGCGACGTTGCCGGGTTGCAGACGACGGCGAAGAAGACGGAGGACGGCAAGTTCTGGATCGTGAATGGAACGAAGAAGTGGATCACGAACGGAACGTGCGTATTGTCTTTTCCCTCCGTCGCGCGCGATTTCGATTGAGCATGATATGCTCGCAGGTTCGCAGACTACTTCACGGTCGGGTGCAGGACCGACGACGGTTTCACGATGATACTTATCGAGCGCGGTGACGGCGTGGAGACCAAGTCGATTAAGACCTCGTACTCGCCCACGGCCGGCACGGCCTACATTACGTTCGAGAACGTTAAGGTGCCCGTCGGGAACACGCTCGGCCCGGAGGGCGGAGGACTCTTCGTTATCCTCAGCAACTTTAACCACGAGCGCTGGGTGATGTGCTGCGCGTCCGCGCGGAGCCAGCGCGGTATCGTGGAGGAGTGCCTGAAGTGGTCGAACCAGCGGAAGGCGTTCGGGAAGCCGCTCAACTCGCAGGCCGTCGTGAGGCACAAACTCGCGGACATGATCGCGCGCACGGAGGCGATCCAGAGCTGGCTGGAGAACGTGACGTACCAAATGTGCAACATGGTCAGTGTCGGGCTCTGCGCGCGGCGTGTTACGACTTCGGACCCGTGCTGACGTTCCTGCCTTGCAGTCCTACAAAGAGCAAGCGGTCAAGCTTGTGGGCCAGATTGCCTTCCTCAAGTCGTACTCAACCCGATCCGCGCAAGAGACCGCGCGCGACGCCGTCCAGCTGTTCGGTGGACGCGGTATCACGCGCAGCGGCATGGGCAAGTTCATCGAGCATTATCACAGGACAGTGCCGTTCGATGCGCTCCTGGGTGGTGCGGAAGACGTGCTGGGTGACCTCGGTGTGCGGCAGGCGATCAGGGCGATCCCGAAGAACGCGCGGTTGTGAGTATGGCGGTCGGGTCGGAAGTGAAGAGGGAGAGTTATAACAACTCGACGACATATTCATGCTATACTTATTGTCTTCGTGTTACTGTATCAATAATCTGCAAAAGACTCTGTCGCGTTCGAGTGGGGTCCGTGAACTCGGCGAGGCCCGGCCTGGCCCGGCGCTGCGCCGCCGTCCCTCTGGCCGTGGCTGTGTTAGCTTTCTGGCATCCCTCCTCCGCCTTCCAGCGCCTTCCTTTTTGCTGGCCCTGCGTCCGGTCGTTTCTTCGTCGTCGGCTCTCTGGCTCATAATATTGCTCTTCCATAAGGCAAGGGCGCCAGCGGAGGGATATATCGAAAGCGCCTTCAATCTGGTCTTCACGGCGTACTGCGCGCTGCCAACATGCTTGCCAAGACGACGACCCGCGCCGTGTCGCGCGCATCTCGCTCACAACACCCCAGCTTTGGGCGGTGTATGTCCGCGGCATCGAGTGAGCATATAGCTTGTATGATTTGAGCGATGCAAGACTAACAGCATGTAGTCTCTCTCCAAGACTTCTTCCGCGATACCCCGCCGCACGACCTGCTGAGGGATGCCCCGCCGAAGCCTGAAGCCGAATCGACGATCCCTACGCCCTTCCGCGATCCGACAGCGTACATAGTCGACCGCGTTGCACCCTCTACGTCTCGATCACCGAGCACGAAACGGTTGCCCAAGGGCTACTTCTCGTCAAGAAGCAGGGGCCGGTCCCCAAGTAAACGGGGATACGCGACACAAGCTGGACCAGCTGAGCCCTCCGGCTCGGGCTCAAGGTGCGCTGTCCATCTTCGAGTGACAGAACGTTAGACAGCCCTCTGACGCTAGTTCTATCGTCAGCTCGATGGACGCTCCCGACTCGCTCTTCGGGTCCAAAAAGTCCGCATGGGATCGCATCTTCGACCCCATCCGCTCCGGCCAGACCCCCACCCTCCCCTCCTCTGCGCTCCTCCAGACCCGCCGCGCCGCGCGGCACGGTCGCTTCGGCGCGCCTGGCGATATGAAGGTCCGCAAGCAGGCCATGACCGCGAACGAGCAGAGCACGTTCGACGAGATGTTCAACCTCATCTTCACCGCTGCCACCGAGACCGGCGTCGGACACGGCAAGGGCAAGGCCGGCACCCCCTCGCACCAGATACAGATGGAGGCGCTCGGCATCGGTCGCTCCGGCGCGTTCGGCGGTACGCAGAGCATCGTCGGCCTGTACGACAACCTGCGCGGGCGGGCGAAGAACGTGGCGTGGACGTCTGACGCGGACGAGGCGCTGGATAGGAAGAAGGAGGAGATGGAGCTGTGCGACACGGATCAGCAGCTGCTCGAGTGGGCGATGCAGGAGGTGTTTGGCGAATCGCAGCGCTACGAAGCCGCCGCGCGCGAGGCGATTGCGAAGGCCAAGGCAGACCCGGACCGCGCGGGCAGCGTGGAGATGCCGCCGCTGCAACCTCCTGCATACTCCCACCTGCTCGCGGAGCTGATGCGCACGTTCAGGGACAAGTACCGCGACCCGCACCTGGCGCTGAGTATGTTCGACCATGCGAGGCATCTGTCGATTCCGTCCTATGTGTTCGGGTGCACCACCCCGGCGTATAACGAGTTGATTAGGACGCGGTGGGCGTGCTTTCGGGACCTACGGGGCGTGTTGGAGGCGCTGGAAGAGATGCGGGTGAACGGCGTCGAGCCGGACGGGACGACGAGGTCGATCGTGGAAAACCTTAGGCGGGAGGTCGGCGAGCGCAACCTGTGGGAGGAGCACGGTCAGGATGGCGAGAAGGGGCTCGTGGCGACGACCGGGAGCGACGCGGTGTGGGAGATGCTGGAACGGATCGAGAAGTTGAGCGTGAAGAGGGTGTCGAAGCGGCAGAGAATGAAGGATGCATTGGCGAAGAGCGGGGACCAGCACGAGTCAGTGGCGAGAGGGAAGAAGAAGTGGACGAACAACCAGGAGTGGAAGCAGAAGGCGTTGCAAGGGCGGCAGGAGGACGACGGCTATGAGTTCGGTAGTTGGGAGGAGAATGACAGGCTCAGGTTCGCCTGAGTGCCTACAGCCGTCGTTGCTCATGGTAACCTATAAATTACGCACAGTTAATGCTACATGCCACCTCTGAATATCATCCGAGCCTCCGAGTGTCATAGCATACATCGTCAAGCAGCATTACATCCAATTAGTCTTCCTCTCTGTCATCCATCTCATCGAAGAACAGGCAAGGCCCTTGGAACACCTCGTCTTCGACTTGCTGCTGTGAATCGTCAGGATGGCTCCCTTCGACGTTCTGCTTGTGGGTCTCGTCGAAGGCTTCGTACACACCTTCAAAGGGTGCTATGCCGGAGCATACGGGATTCCGGTGAGATGGCGTTCGACTTTCCTGAGTAAATGTGATCGGCGGGCTGTGCCTATGCTCCTGCAGGACAGCTATCAGCGGCGCTGATAGAATGGGGGCCATCGGCGAATCCTGTGCCAGCGGGATAGGATCGTCCAACGGAAATCGGCCAGCGGCCGGGGGCGAAGATGTCCGGGGGTCGAGCTGTGTCGTCGCCGGAGGAGATCGCAATGCCACCACTTCGTCGCCAGGCGCAGGTTGAATTGTAGGACCCGTATTAGCGAGTCCTGGGTCCTGCAGAGGAAGCGGCACAGACAAGTCTTCTGTCGTTGTGTGATCAGCGAGAAAGTCAAGGTCTTCGACGGAGCCGCTCCGCCACATCGCCAGAATATCCGACACGTCCGCCTGGGAGTCGTCCATCCAAGATAAATCGAGGATATCCGGAGAGCGCATATAGTCAGGAGCAACAACATAGGCCTGCGAACCCGGCATGGGAGATGACAAATCCCAGTTCAGCTCGTCTTCTGGGTATGGCCCGGCCGGAATAGGAGACAGTGTGGGAATAGGCTCCGGAACCTTCGCGCGCACAGGCTCGAGCACGAGTGGGCCTGGTTTGTGGGCGATCCCAAGGTCGGACGATTCTTCATAGTGTCGGGGCGAGCGGTAGCCCACTCCTCGCCGGCTATTGCCATTTACGACGTCTAATTCGTTGGGGTATCGGCGTGGCGATCTTGGTAGACCGGTTCGGCGTGTTGTGCCTAAGAGTTCACTAATCGAGGCCCAAGGGTCGGGAGATTCAAGGATATCAACGATAATGTTTCGATGGGCATCATTATGATCGAGGCTCTTGACCGAGGAGACGAGATATGGCGATGAAGGTCCTGTTGTATCCTCCCGGCTTCTTGAGCTGACGTCGCGGTAGGTGGGAGGAGAGGTGAGACCGGACGATACTTCCCGTTCCCCTGAAGGCAGACATTGAGGGCGATCCGGATCGCGGAAGTACGTGGGCGAGAATTGTTGAGGGCGGTAAGGTAGTGCGCTGGTGTTCAAATCGGACGTCAAAACGTATCCGGCAGAGGCGGAGGAAGGTGGTGATCTGGACTTCTCCCAGTGCATGCCCCATTCGACGCGTTTCCCGGGAGCTTCGGCACCGGATGGGCCAGATGACCGATCTCGAGGACGTGACACTTCGGACGATCCATGCTCGGAGTATTCACCAAGAAAAGCAAGGGCAGCATAGCGGACGCTGCGTCCTTGAGCGTTCCCTAGCCCATTGCCGTAGGATCCCGGAGATGGTATTGAGGCTGACAATGTCTGACGGTTATCGGTGTCTGATGGATAACGTTCGTCCGCGATGACATGGTCCGGGTAGCGGTGACGATCAGCGTATTCTTCTGAAACCGGAAGTGGATCAGAAAGATAGGCGCCAAAGACCCTAGACAAGCGGGATTGCTTGTTAGCAGTAGGTCGAGAATTCGGCTGCGAACTGGAGTTAGAAATAGATATGTCGTTCAGGGGCACGGAGAAATCCGACTTCAACCGAGCATTCGTCCAAGTGATAGATAAGCTAGGGCAATCGTCCGATCTCAGCAGAAACGCACAACGTAGTATTCCTCGTAGGTAGAGTGGTCGTCAGAAAAGTCTTCGGAGCGCATCTAAGGAAGCATGCCCGCGTCAGTTGTTTTCTTCTTCGAGTTGTTCATTGATATGGCCTGCCTTTGTAGGTGAAGTAGTGGTAGAACGGATATTCTTGTGCGCACCCGTCGAGCCAGATCGACGAGGTGAGGAAATCAACTTGCGCCGACGTGCATTAACGTTGGAGAGCCCCGCGAGATCGGACTGAGCCAATATTTGGTCCATTGCCGCACGCATAGAGACAGCTGATATCATGAAATAGGTGAACTGGACGCATATACGCGGTCGACTCACGTTCAGAAGCGTTGAGGGCCTCTATGAGACGAGATCGTTTCGACGAGGTGCTGGAAGAGCTCTTAGTGCTCGGGCTTCTGCGCCCTTCCGGAAAATCCGAAGATTTTATCCGTTGTTCCGGCACGACATCGTCATGCTTAGGATTGTTCCTTCTTGCGTGAGCCAGTTCGATGTCTTGGCGGGCCTCGGTTATAGCATTTTGCAGGGTCGAGTTCTGTTTGAGGCCATTCGTAAGAGCTGCGATCCGTTGTCTGCCGAAGAATCCTTTCTGCAGCCGACCAGACACGTCCCTTGAGCGTGCCTTCGCAGCGTGTCTGCATGACCGTATGGAATTCTAGCGAGAGAGTAACATGAAAACATGCTGTAGCACCTCTTTCCGCCCATGTAGTTTGTACCCGCCATTCTCGGCTATTAATCGAGAGCAAAACACATAGACAAAACGATAGCAGAAGCACTGTCGTTGCCGTCGTCGCCGTCTCATCTGTGGGGATGAGCAACGCCAGCGAGAATTTCCCGCTCCGACGTAAGTTCACACGCGTCAGCCACCTTGGCTCGCAACGGTAAGAACGGCTCGTGGTACGTCCGAGGTGGTTGACGTGCCCGGCACAACAGTTCACAGAACATCTTGCAGAGGGAAGTTGGTTATCGAGACTTTCCGGACAAAATGTTGGTAATAGAATTCGCGTCTTCGGCCTACATAGTGAGATCCTTGTATTCTGAAGGGATAAAACCAAGGAAATACGGAAATCTGTTCCCAACATAATGTTTGGACGTACTCTGAGGGCTTCCACTAATATTTTCCGCAATAATGATCCTGTGGCCAAAGCTCAGCGCGGTGTTCAAGGAGACGGGCCCAAACTCCCGGATCTGCTTATCTAAGCAGCGGAAACTTGCCCGCCACCTTATCGGCACGCCTCGCGGAGTTGGCGAAAGCTCGAGATGGCCAAGCGATCCGCGCTCCAGAAGTTACATCTCCAGACTATCGGCCCCAAGGCTCATCTAGGTGATAGTTCTACAAACTTGGACACCGAAATCTCGATGGCTATGGACCTGACTGTGGCAAAACTCGTGCTGGTCTCTGCTGCTCTGGAGAAAGCTACCGGCTCTCTGGATTACTACAGGAGGAA